ACAGAGATAAAGTTCAGGATATCACTTACCTCTGTACTGAAATGCCTGACAATAAACTGTCAAGCTGTACACGCTCATATAACCTTTAGTTAAATCTCAATGTCTCCGCACGTTTTGGTTGAAAGGACAGTGGAGGCTTTGGAGTGCAGGACAGCATGTGATCAAGTCTTGTGATCTGTATTTGGATATGTGTGACTTCTTTCATGTGTGATGATGTCTGATTCTCTCTTCATCTGAGACTGGAAAGTGAAACCTGATAAGGACAGCACTGACCTCAGCCCGGAGGAGTGATAAGCAGCGGCTCACGTGTTAGGCCAGGAAAAAAACAGAATAAAAAGGAAGAGGAAGAGTCACAGAGAAGCAGAGTAATGTTTTCGTCATGGGCACATCTGCTTCTCCAAATATGTCCATTTGATGGTTAATGAACTCTGACTTATGGAAACTTATTCCTTGTTGTGGTTTGCAGACTGTCTCCTAATTTACACGTGTCCAGTTCATTCAAGAAACCATACTGCTTCATGAATGACGTATTTTATGTATGTGGTAATACTGATCCTGATCCACCAAATTAAAAGCTGCTCTTTACAGCTTTGTTTAAATCCTGTGGGTATTGTTTGCCAACATTTTAATATTTTATGTGTCATATTTTTGTGTAAATGAAGCTTTAAAAGTCAGGGAAACACACAAGTGAATCACTGTAAAGAGAAAATTAAGCCTCTATCATGCAGGGGAAAAACAAGTGAAAATGGTATCAAAGATAGGCTGCTGTAATCCTTACCTGTCACGATGTCTCAACTTTGAGTTTCACTCCTGGGAGATTAGTGAGTGATGTGCCGGATATTTTTGTCTTGAGGGAATATTTCCTGGAAAAATGAAAACTGTTTGTGTTAGTATTCGACCTCTGACCCCTAGCTGTGCTAAAAGCTATGATGATGGGTAGGTCACTAAGGTCAAGAGGTCAAGAAGAGGCTATCTCAACAACTGCAGGATAGACCACAGAGAGACTGTGGAGATATTCATGGTATCAATGTGATGAAGACTTTTACTCTTTCCTCTGAATTTAAATTTAATCCAGATTCACCTTCGCTCTTAGTTTTGTTGGCATAAATCGGGTACTGAGATTCATAGTATACTGTAAAATATCTGAACTCTAATCTTTTAACTTTTCGTCCAGTACAATCATGAAATCAGATTCTCATGAACAAATGTAGTGCTCATAGAAGAAAACAGATTTGCAGAATTTTTAAAAACCCATCAAGTTTGGCCATCCACGAAGTAAGAGTTTTTTTTACTGATTTATTATCCTAATTGCATGTTATAATATCAGATAAAGTGGCTGAAATCATCACTTAATCTCAAACTACTCTCTAAAACTCCAACAGCAAGTAAAGCCTCAAAAACTGAACGGAGCCACATAGTCCTCTCCAACGAAATGGCCAAAGGGGTTTTCGTGTTGCATTACATCAGTGAGGCGTTATAAAATTTCAGGAGTATGTCTGCAAACTGTAAATATTAGATCAGATCACATATAAATATAAAAATATATGTATATGTCTATATGTAAGGGGTCACACATGCACATATGACTTCATATCATGTTACAAGGGTCCAGACAATCCTCTCTACGCACACCCAATAAAACCATTAGTGTGACTGCTTAGCATGGCAGAGCCATAAGGGAACAACGGGTCATGCTTGAACCCGATCACTCTGTACCGGGGCCCCTGATGTGTTCCCCTAAGGGAGAAGCCGATACTGTGGGCGGCAAGTATGAGCAGTGTCAGGCACAAATTTATCTAGAAGTCCTAAAACAGGACCGCTCAGAGATGGAGAAGAGAGGCAGGTGTTTTCGTCTGAACTCAAATCATGTTAACGCAGTGTGTGATCAGTGTTGTGTAAAAGCTGTGGTACATGTGAGAGACAAAAGACTTGTTTTATTTTCAAGATTAGATCATTTTCATCTCACAATTTGACCTTTTTATATCATATTTGATATATCAGGAATTTTAATAAGCTCTTATTATATACAGCGCAACAATAAAAGACTACTTAAATATAGTTTATCTGAAAGCTACAGATGGCTGCTGTCCATTGGTGGCAACAACTATTTTAAACATTATTATCATTGACAATAAAGGCTGATATCCTTCTTAATTTTGATGAAGACGTACACTAATGTGTTAAATTTACAAGCCAATGTTAGAAGCTAAATTAATACAAGCTATTAAAGTGGTTGCACTTCAATAAATCTGTTGTCTAATGGTAGCTCACACTATTTTAAACCACCTTTCTCACTTTACTTTGGAGTACAACGTCTGGAGGAAGCCAAGTCTAATGTTACAGCTAGTTTTGACCTATTTATGAGTTATTAAATGGAAGAATTGATTTCTGCTTATTGTTTAGCTGAGGACTTAAGATGTATTAGTTGCCTTTTTTAAATCTGCAAACCTTAAAATTGTATGATTCACTGGTGGGCTTAATTCACATGACTCACAAGAGCTGCACAAGCATTTTAGCTTCAAACTGTGAGCTAAAGACAGAGAAATCACTGCTGTATAAATATTATGAGAAACAGACTTAAACAGCTGTAACTTGTATTTTCTGGCTGTTGGAGCTACTATCTGATTAAAACATTGCTTAGTAGTGCCATTACAGAACCGATCCCCCTCGTGGATCCCCCGCAGTCTGCCTGGGTTTTAATAAGATGTTAAGCTGGCAAAATCTCAGCATATGACAGGTTTGGACCGAAGAACTGGGAGGATTTCTCCACAATGACAAACATCTTCTCAGCTCAAAAATAGCTCTCTGGAAGAGCAACAGGTGGTGGGTGGAGCTCCGGCAATGCACATGTTATAATACATAACAAGTACATGTGTATGTGTACGTGCGTGCTTGTGAGAACAGTTGCTGCACATAAAGGCCACATTTAATGCATATGGTATTATAGCCTTCTCATATGCACACACATACAGGCACAATGCCACAAACGGCAGCTCAGTTGGTTTCCTTTCAACTGAACCTGCACCTAGGTTTTCCTGGTGTCACAAAACGGGCCCCTGTGTTCGATTATGTAGATCAAATAACCAGTAGCATAGTTTCAATTGCTGCAGGGAAGCCCGGCCAGCGTTGGCATGACATCACAGATACCCCGTCATTCACAGAAAGAAAAGAAAAAAAAACCTTCAATGAGAGCGTCATTAGACTGAAAACGGTGGATCAGGAGCCAAAAATCTGTGCTGACTAAGAATTTTGTCTTGATACCGACGGCAACCATAGAGGCTTGCTCTTTCTCCTCTTCAGAGGATGACCTCGCTGAGCAGCATGTAAAAGGATCGCACTGCAGCTTCCATTGACAAACAGCTGAATTGTTTACTCAGTTTGCATAGTTTTGTGAGCACTATTTCAACCACATGTGACCTGCCTCCTCTGCTGCACATTGTAAAAAAAACTACCTACTGTGTGTTTGCTTATGTTATGCATGATATTTAGGGTCAGGGAACACATCCGCAACATTGGTTCAGAAATAGTTTGAGGGTCTATAAGTCAAGGTAGGTTTCTGAATGATGGTATTTAGTTTTATTTTGTTCCATTATTCATCATAAAATCTGACACAGGACCTTGTAAGGTAACACAGGGTGGACACAAATAGGATCAAGACAAAATAATGCAATATTACAACATTTAACTGAGTCTCTTTGCAGAGAGTTTTATTACATTATATGAACTTCTAATTTCTATATTGTACAGACCAGATTATGCTGTTTCAAAGTGTGACTGGATGCATCATAATTTAACCTTCCTACTGTGTTAATTTTTACTACGCACCCACCATGTTATGGGTCGGTTTTGTCTTAAATCAGCTGTAAATTACACTAAAAACAATTCTCTATCATCCAATTTTGGTTCTCATCTCTAGGTTATCCATGAAAATATGGCTAATGATGGTTTTTGTCAGTATACCCCTCATACAGACATCTATACTGAAATGATCTCACATGGACATGCCTGACGTAGTTTTTTGTGCAGGGAAATATGTGGCAAAGTGAGAATTTCCTAAATCTCACACAACTGGAAGAGGATCTGACTGTCAGTGTGGTGCCTAACAGTGAACATATGAGTTTAGTTTTTGCTCTGATTATTAGATATTGATCTACCCGGGTCAACAGCGACCCTAACACGACAAGTGCCATAATTTTAATAAGAGCATTTTGTAATTTGGTCAATTTATTTTTTTTTATTTTGTTGAAATAGAAAGTCAAAAAAGTCTTGATTTAAGTGGTTCTTTAAAGCACTTAAAATCAAAAGACCCAGACTGAACCCAAATAACACTTTCAACAACAGATTCTGACAATGAGAACCTAATTTAGGTCCTCTCTGATAGAGGAACCTTAAGTCATATGCAATCAAATGATCACATTCAAGAAAATCCGGATGACTTCTTGAACTCAGGGTGCATGATTGTTCCTGTAGATAGAAGAGGGTACAATTATTTTCCAATTTTGGGTAACAAGATAACAACAGACCTCAACCAAAAGATTAGGAAGTGTTCACAGAAAAGACAGCATAAGCCTGAACCACAGTGATTTCCTGTTGGTAAAGCATAATTTCCATGCCATCAGCAAAACGAGAAAACAAAACAACACATTGAGAGGTGTGTAATGCTCACAGAGCGTGGTCACAGAGCACGCTGGCGTCGTCAGCCTGTTAAAGCCGAAAATACGAAGTTAAAAGCAGTGTAGGGGTTTAATTTAGCCTTCTGTCGGCGTGTGTGTGTGTGTAAGTGTGTGTGTGAAGGGAGGACAATGCTGCGGTTCTCTACAGTATGCGCGTCAACGGAATCCCGTAGTGCGTCATCAGACGTCTATTCTCTAGAACGCGCCTCGGGATTGGCTGGGGACTGGAAATCTCCCCGCCCACCGCCCAGCCTTGTATGGAAACCTTCTTCCGACGTCATGGGTAGAATACAACCCATTCTATAAATGTGTAGGGGAGCCGAGAGCGGAGCGACTGCTGTTCAGTGTTGTTTAGCCGAGGATGAGAGACGAGTCTTTTGAGGAGTATTGACAGTTCGAATCACCTGTAGAGGAGCCCAACAGGTAAGACATTTTTGTGGTTTCTAATATGCAGAAATGTCCTGCTTTTAAAATGTGTTTATATCTAAAAATGGAGTGATACCAAAAGGGAAGAGCACACTTACTGAGGTGAAAGTTGATGTGTTTTTTATCAATTATTATTAGTATTTTTTTTTTAAATAAAGTGCACAGGTAGGGTTGACTCAGGGTTTAATGTAACGTAGCTCATGTATTAGTTGGCTCTCTGCCTCTGTCTGAAAGTCAACCCTACTTACTATATCCCCCTGGCATGTGCAGCTCATCATATTTACTACATAGCAAGGCTACTTCTTCCAGTATGTACTTGACATGTCAGTGGATGTATGAGTGGGGAAATAAAACCTGTCACGGTTTACAGGTTCTCTCTTAATATAAAGAATGCTTATCGATGTTTTACAGCTTAAATTTAAGGAGGCAAGGCTGTAACTGGGCACCAAGGCACCACACCCCCTTGGGATGCCTTGAGAAACTCTGGATTGCTGTATGATTTATGATTTATAATTGAAAATACAGACTTCTTTGAATATATTTTTGAAGAATATCCCTTTCTCAATTTGAAGCTTGGCTATAACAAAGCAAATCCGTCCACTTTAACTCTTAACTGTGCACAATGCAGTGGACATGAGGGTCCAGACACTTTTTTTTTTCAAACTTGCATTGGGTTTGAAGTTTAAAAATGAGTGCTATGAATATTAAAAGCAATTTTCTTTATGCTGACATTTCTGATTGCATCTTTTTCAGTCTTGCAGTCATGACGTGCATCCACCCCCAGCATGAATCTCAGCCCTATGAGAACAGTCTTGGCAGCTTAGAGCTTCAAAACACAGACTTTATCTCCAAGCTGGCGGTCGATATGAGCAACCCACGGGACCACCTCTCTGCTCCACCTCTTCCAAGCATTAGCTCCCTGGTGGACTCTCACGCAGGCGAATTTGACGCATATTCATGCCAGTTTACTGCAGCTCCTGCCCACGTTAACACATCCTTGGGCCAGGAGACCCCATTCAAGCTGGACAACCTCCAGGTTTACGGTTGCTACCCCGGAGCGTTTGCTCTAACGTTCCCTGAGGAGGCTGGGTCCCCTGCTGGGTCAGATTATTTCGGTAGCCCTGTATCTGCCTCATCTCCTTCTACCCCTGGATTCCAGCATACGTCCAACTGGGACTCAGCATTCGGGCCTTTTTCACCCAGTCCAGGATTCTGGGCGACAGAGGAGACGTCTGTACCACATGTGCCTTCGTTTTTCACTTTCAGCTCTGGCTCTGTGGAGGACATGTCTCATATGGGTCAACCACAGGATCCTTTCACTTTGGCTCAGCCTCATTCTCACTCATCTGCACTGACCTTCCCGGCCTTGGTGATGGAGCAAGGGCAAAGTCTTGAAAGCTCTGACCACTTGGATGGGAGCTCATCGCCGAAATTGAAGAGTCCAGGTGGGAATGACGGCTGCTGTGCTGTGTGTGGGGACAACGCCTCCTGTCAGCACTATGGGGTTCGAACCTGTGAGGGGTGCAAAGGCTTTTTCAAGGTAGTAAAATCTTGTCAATCTTTGAGCATGTTGGTCCAACTTCCAGACAAAGTTAAAAGGGAAAAGAAAACTAAGTGCATGATTTTGTTCCACAGCGCACGGTCCAAAAAAATTCCAAGTACGTTTGCCTCGCCAACAAAGACTGCCCGGTCGACAAGAGGAGACGTAACCGATGCCAGTTCTGCCGCTTTCAGAAATGTCTTGCTGTCGGGATGGTGAGAGAAGGTGAGTCAAATGCAGATGAATGTGTGGTGGGATTATGATGACGTTGAACTGAAACTAACAGCCTTTCTCTTTGCAGTTGTGAGAACAGATAGCTTGAAAGGACGAAGAGGCCGCTTACCATCCAAGCCTAAAGTCGTCCAGGACGTGACGTCAACTGTGTCGCCTGTGAGCATGATCGCTTCACTCGTGAGGGCCCACATTGACTCAAACCCTGGGGTCGGGAGAATAGATTACTCCAAGGTAAATAAGACAATGAACATCCTTATAAAGGGTTTTATATCAACTGTTGCATCTTTTTAAACATCTCTTTTGTCCGAATTTTCAGTATGAAGAGACAGAGGTCACCCCAAACCAGAAGGAAGATGCGAGCGACATCAAACTGTTTTACGACTTACTCACAGCCTCCATGGAGGTCATCAGGAAGTGGGCGAAGAGCATCCCTGGTTTCTCTGAGTTCTGCACAGAAGATCAGGAGCTTTTGCTTGAATCGGCTTTTGTTGAACTCTTCATCTTGCGTCTTGCATATCGGTGAGTACAAAAAGCTTTGAAACCTTTCTGACAGTGTGACTTAGAGAAACTTGTTCATTCAAACCCCTGTTTACAGAGCAACATACACACTTTGATAGAGTTAGTAAAAAAGTAGAGTACTTACATGTGAATCCCTGTTCCTCCTGAAAGTTCCAACCCCGAGACCGAGAAACTCATCTTCTGCAACGGCGCCGTGCTTCACAAGACGCAGTGTGTCCGAGGCTTTGGGGACTGGATCGACTCCATCTTGGACTTCTCTCAAAGTTTGCATCGCATGAAGTTGGATGTCTCCTCCTTCTCCTGTCTCACAGCCCTGGTCATAATCACTGGTAAGGAGAGCGCTCATCATTTAACACCATTAGACGTGGACACAATTGGCTTTTGTGGCCTGAATCAGTTTGTTTATTTCAAGCATGGCCAAAGTCTGCAAAAGGAAACCGGTGTCATTGGTGAAGACAATACAAGGCCGTTACATAACACTAGACTGACAGGACAGGTGTTTGACAAAATGCAACACGACTGAACATATAGTACAGGGAAGTTGTCATATATCACAGCAGACTAAACATAGCCACAATGAAGGGGATATATATTAACATTTAAAGCTCCAGTGAGGAGTTTTAAGCTGGTTATGAAACAGAGTGAAATCTATACTGATGCCTCTGTAGGAACCACCAAAGCAAACCAGGTCATTAGCGACAAACTGTTAATTTCTATACAGTTATTTTTAATGCTTGTAAATTCTGCCACCAGAGAGGTGTCAGATGAGAGGATTAACAGCACTTAGCTGTTACAGCATCTGTTTACATTTTCCATGACAGTGAGTCACAGTGGATGTTCAAGTATACAATCAAAACACAGCAGAATACGTTTTTTTTTAGAAACACAGGACAGGACAACATAAACCGAGAGATAAGAGGTACTGCTTTGTCCACATGGGGCGCCAAAGTTAACCTAAAACAAGGGTTCCTCACAGGAGCTGTAAGACTCAAGTGCAGTGTGTCTTGTTTAGTTGTGAACTATTAAAGCTTGCATGGTTAGTAGTCTTGAGTTGCTTAGAGCTCCCGTGTTTCTCAAATGTGTCTGATTTTCTTCTGCAGATCGACATGGCCTTAAGGAGCCAGGACGTGTGGAAGAACTGCAGAACCAGCTTATTACCTGTCTCAAAGATCACGTCTCCGGCTGCGGCTCTGAATCAGTGCGGCCAAATTATTTGTCCAGACTCCTTGGGAAGCTGCCCGAGCTCAGGACTCTGTGCACCCAAGGCCTCCAGCGCATCTTTTACCTGAAATTAGAAGATCTTGTGCCCCCACCCCCGATTGTGGACAAAATCTTCATGGATACACTTCCTTTCTGAGTGTGGGAAATTGATCTTCTGTGATATAAAATCTGATTTCACTGGCAGCCAAAGAGAACAGAAAGAGCACTTATACCCCAGGTGGTATCAACACAGATCACCTGAAGAGGAAAAAGACTAATGGATTCTAATTTTGGAGGAAAAGGGGCTACCTGTGAGTTATAAAGAGACAAAAAACTTGAAGTGACAAAAAAAGCGGAGCCAGCACACAATCCTTTTCCTCATTTGTGTTTGTGGGATATTGTGCACTCTGCAGAAGAAACTATATTGGCCAGCTCATGGACCAAAAGGTGACTGTTTACATCCAACAATGTGCCAGGATCTGAAACATGTGAAGAAGAGATGATTGCACTTTCCAAACACTTATAGTTTGAATAGATTAACTCAACATCTGCACCATCATTTCAAGAAACGAGCACATCTTCTTTCTTTTCTTTTTTTTTTGTTACATTTTGGTGTGACTTGTATGACTGTAAATTGCACATAAATGTCCAACAAAGCATTATATGAATGTGTTAAATGAGTAAATGATTTCACAGAGCCACTCTGAAGCCTCCAAAGCATACGTTTACTGTATGCTTATACTGCCATGTTTGGTGATTTAAAAAAGTAGGTGAAACCTGCAGGATTATTCAGACGTATCATTCATGTATCATGAAGTGACAGTGAGCAGCTAATATACTGTGTATCAGTCAGTACAGTCTTGTACACTGGTCTTATATGTAAAATTGTTTTGAATCTACCATGGACTGTATGCTGTAACTTTCTTTTGAGCCTGTTATTTTTACATACTAAGACGTTCTATTTTACTGCAGCTAAACATGAAATAAAATGGAAAACTGCATTTTACAGTAGATTTGGTTATGTTTACTTGGGTTATGTGGAGGTTTAAAAGAAGGACGACAGTTGGATTACACAATAGCTGACTTTGGCGCCCCCTGTGGACAAAGTAGTTGTTGCTAATTTTGTGTTATCCTAGTGTAGGTGGTGTTTAATGACAAAAATCTCCTCCTGTTGTCTTTTCAAAGTGCAATTTATGACTCAGCTTGAATATTGTGCTGTGGGTTAATTAAGTGGTTTCTTCAGCGTACCGACCCCCTCACAGCAGCAGCAGACATTAAAAATGACAGTATGGACATCATCAGTCTTGTCATTAATGGTGTCATTTGCTTTTTCACATCATGGAGACACCACACCTTTCATTTCAGTCTGTTTTACAATCTGGCAAAAAAAAAGCTTGTGCCGAGTAACCTCCTGTGCTCCCAGCCTGTCAGCCTGAGTCCTGTGCACCTTTTTCTTAACACACCTCCAAACATGCTGCTGAAACATGTCCCCCTGTTCACCTCCCTCCCAGCTATGTGCCAGGCTCTTTTTAGAAGCCGGAGGAATTCCCTGTCCTGTCTCAAGTAACTCAGACTACTTCATCATTGTACAGTGCCACATGCTAACATACAACAAGTGTCACACTGAAGTGCTTGAAGTGAATGTTATGGAAAAACTGTATCGTGTCTGCAGGGCAATAAAAACTTTTGATATGTGATATAGATCACTCAGATATATCTGTTTATGGAACACAGTAAAACAGGCAAAGTCAGCAGGAGGAGTGATCAGATATGATAAACAAAAACAATTAAGGGAAATGGTGACCACTCGACTCACTGGTCTGAGATTTTCATCGGTACAGCAACTATCACGGGAATTATCACACAGTTTTAAGGCCAGATTAAATTCAGTTCAATTCAATTCAAATTGATTCGAGTTATTTCAGTTCAAATCGTTTCAACTCAATTAAATTTAAATCAATTTAATTGTGTATGATTCATCAAATCAATTCTATTGGATTCAATTTAATTCAATTTTATTCGATTTGATTAAAGTCAAATCAATTCATTTCAGGTTGATTTAATCCAAATTGATTTAATTCACGTTGGTTCAGTTTAATTAGGTTTAATTTAATTTAATTTTAATTGAATAAAATTGGATTAGCATAAAATAACTGCATGGTGCATTCATAAAAACAAAAGTTAAGATTTTAATACCAAATTTAAGTTATGAAATATATGGTGGGATACGGATATAGGTGGATAGCGAGGTCAAATGAATGTGTAAAAATGATTGAAGTGAATATAGTGCATGAGAGCAGTTGTACTGCAGGTAATAAATAGATAAACAGTAAAGAATGATGTGGTCATGTAAGACACTGATACAAACAGGAAATAACTGCGTCACTTACTGCATGAAATAAACTTATAATGAATGAAGTATATTCATAGATACATTCCATTGGGAGTTCACAGCTTAGAGTCTGAGTAAGATACTTCACTGTACAGCTATAAATACAGGAATGCAATATTTCATCCAGGGCAAAGATGTGATACCTCTAACTCACCCATGCTGCTGCCAAACTGTCAAACTTTACCATGTCAATGTCCTGTTCAGAGCCTCATCATCTTAAGAGTGGCACAGCTGAAGCCAATCATAACTAATTGTTTTTGTGGGTCATTCATGCTCAGTTTCCCAGAGACAGTTTGCAGCTGAATTACTATCCACCACCAGTCACAGTGGACCACAGAGGAATCAAGATGAGTAAATAAACGCTTCATGATCTCATTCAATATTGTGTCTCACAGGTTGAATTGAATCTAGGGAATTAAAACGATTCGACCAGTGTCAGCTTTTGCCCGACAGCAGACCAAACCTAATTAAGAATCTCCCACAGGAGCCACTGGGACTATCTGCCATCTATGCCATCCAATTTCATGCCATGAGTTGTTCAGATATCCAGAGTTTTAATGTTTCTTAATATAAAATGAAGAGGACTTAATAACCTTGCACATGTATGACTTATGCAACAACAAGGACAGATGGATAAAGTCAGCATCACTCTAATTACAGAACATACTGTATAGTGATACGTGGTTACGATAAGGTGGTCATGCCAGGTCTTTTATGATCCTGGCACCCTGCCTCAGTGGAAACTGGGGCAAACAAGAGAAACTTGGAGCCGCTCACTTGATTTGAAAACCAAATGTTGGTGTTAACCGAGGATCACAAGCTCTAGTCCCCAGAGGTTGACCCCAGGGCATGCGCCATTTAAGGCACAATGTGCAGGACTCTGATGTCTGCGAGAATATGAGAATGTCACATTTATATGAGGTGAACAGGGGAGCTCTGGTTACATTGGCAGGCGACAAGCCAGGAAAGTGTGCTTGACACAAGTTCACAGAATAACCAGCAGCTAGTGTGAGCACGGTCAGTTTCATAAGAGTCATATCTACATAAGACGAGAGCAGGCAGTGGCAACTTCTGCTGTGTCAGAGTCCAGAATCTTGAAGAGGAGTATGGCCTACCTGTGAGCAGGTATCTGAATCCACTATGCCAAGTTTAAAAGTTCAGTTCTCTCTAAACCCTAAAAAAACAACACACTGTTTGTTAAAGATGATTCAACCAATTACACTTTGAGAAAAGTTGAAAAACAAAATTATACAAAAATACTTTTAGACAAGTGAGAAGGTCAATGAAGCAGATCTTTTTTCTTCCAAGTCCAGTTTTCACAATTTCAAGTCATAATTTTCTATTTGGAGTCAGAACTTTAAATTTCATGTAAGAATTCTGAGTTTTTCTTCCTCGGGATTCTAATTTAAAAATCTAAAATCCAAACACTGATTTAAAATTAAGAATTCTGAGTAAAAGTCAGAATTTTGAGTATGAAGACAAAATCCTGATCTTTAAATCACAATTTTGATTCTAAACTCAGAAACCAAAGCCCGGCGTGAGCTCTCTTTAATGCTCTTGTTCTCGAAATAAACCTGTCAGGCGTTTCACAGAATGTGCCAAGTAAATGATCGGGTTTTCTACCACTGGGCAGACACTTCACTGGATGTACTTGTTAGCTGGCAGATTGAGACTCTCAGACATTTCTTCATTGTGTCTGATGAGGGATCATCATCAGCTGACTGCAGTCTCATTTCTGAGCATTTTAATGCCTCTAAAAAAACTGCCTTATCAAAAATATCAGCTCATAAGGAAAAAAACCCTGCAGAATCTGCTCTTGCAGGTAAACTGTCATGAAGGTGTGGGCACCAATTAAAAACGCTGACTCTGGTTTAAAAGCCTATAACTCAGTCTTTAGGTGTGTTCCTTGACAAGTTGAAGAGTTCAGAGCTAATTCGATCCTCTTCTTGTCACACAGTAAACACGCTGCATAGGGAACAACAAACGTACGCATGTCACATCCAGGAGGGGGCTGCGGTTTCTCAATATACACACGGAGTCCTGTATAGACCAGTGGTCCAGCACGTACTCTGTGTCATCGGAGTCATATCTCATCCTTACAGATGGTGACAGGGCAGCACAGGGCCTGTCTGGACACCTCCAATAATAGACACAACTAAAATAGACAGTCATCACATGAAATCAATAATGCCACTTAGATATGACAGAGGACTCTGGCTGACAGCACACACTTGGGTATTATCTTAGAGCCCACTACCATGTCTCCCACCTGGAGCTGGATTAGATTAGATTAGATTAGACAGACATTACTTTTCCTTAGCATGAAAACACGCCCAACGGTTTAAAGCACTTAAGTGAAAATATTCGAGAACTATAAGGATTTATCAAATAAAAAAAGATGATGAAATAAGAGCAGAACGTTTTTAAAAGAAAAACTGGGGCAGGCAGACAGATTGTGTCACATCTTGGAACTGTAGCAGCTCGAGTTTTGTTGAAGACACTGTCAAGTACTGCCCCCTGGTGACCATATAGTATACCATATCATAGGTTTGGTATGCAGCCATTATCACTAATGTTGTTTATGTATTTCAGAGTTCATGCAGCATCCCACTGATTTTAACATAAAATCACAAGGATTAAGCATAATAATCCTTCTCATCAGCCATGTGTTATATTTTTCTCATAGTTTAACCCCATAGGTTTCATGCACATTATACAAATGATTCTTAAACTTTAGGACTCCCATAAAAAAGGTTTAATAAAAATTCTTGAACCTGCAAACCTTTTTTAACAAAATGTCAGCTGCTACAAGCTTTTTTTCTCAGACACCACTCTTGTGCATTTTGTGCAATATAAAATTAGAAATGTTCCATTAAAGTGGGTTAAAACTGAAATTGAGTTATTCAATCACTCACACACTTGCATGCTTAACAAAATGTACTTATATTTCACACCCTAAATACAAGAAACATGCAGTGTACAACCAATACAGTGGTCACTCATCCAAATGTAATGCAAATAGCAAAACAAACAAAAAAACAGCCACCTGCCACTGTAACCATGAATTATCTTAGCTGCCACGCCAAGTGATTATAAGCTGTCAACATGAAAATGCAAATCAAGCTGTGAATTTAAAACTTGAATAACTTGTAAAACAACCTTTAAGAACAAACACTAAGCCCACATTATGTGGACAGAAAGTCGAGAATTCACAGTAAAGCTCGACTACCACGGGAGCGTGTTTGGTGTTCTCACACTCTGGCCAAGGTTGTTGGAGGGTCTGGTCTGCGTTCTGCAAAGCAACAGGACAAAAGGCAAGTTTGAAATGAATGAAACAAAATCTTCAAGAGCTGAAAAACTCTGAGTGGGCAACTTACTTCAGTTCCAAGGCGCTATTTACACCCCACACAAACGGAACAGCATTATCATCAACTTCTGCAAAACAGATAAAACATGTTTCTTACTTACAAACTCCACTGAAATTCTGTGTGCTCAAGAAAGGAGAAAGGCTCTTGGTAATATAACTATTGTAGACTTGATACTTTATGTTAGCACCAGTTATGACTTTAGTCATGACATTTTCCTGTGGAGACTTAACTATTAATATTAACAACACTTAATTATCTGCAAGTTAAATATGCAGAAGATACAAAGCCTGATAAAGAATAAATGTCGCAGAAGACGTCTATTTTTTTATGATTTACAACAAAAATGAACATATAAACATATAAATAAATTAACATTCACAAAATAACATTTTCTACAATGTTTGTTCAATCTGTGATGTAAAGATTGTAAATACATGAGAGGCATAGTAATGGCAATACCTCGATCCCAATCCTCTGTCATGTTTGGGTTCACCCAGGTGCTCACAGGGACCTGCCGCTGATGATATCCATTTGTGCCTTCACATGTAAAAGAGCATAATCCAACTAAAACACTGAGCACATAAAATCTGTGGTGTTGAGAAAGAGACTGGGTAGAAAAACTTACCGTTTTCAAACTTTTCAGTGTGCACAGGTACTCTGTCCTCACAGGTTTCTGTATGGTACATCAGCTCATGCTTGGGAACCAGGTGGCTCGCGTTGTAAGGACAAGTTTTAAGTTCCTTGGCCAGCTTGGGGTGGTTCTACACGACAGAGAGAGGTAACAGTCAAGCTAAGAGCATGTTTATACTGCAGGAGCAGAAGGAAACTAAGAAGCAGGTAATGTCTGGAAGTCTCAACTCAGTTAGTACAAAAAAATATATATATATATATATATATAAAAAAGGAGTAGCACGTCTCCTGGAGTGGAAGTTCTTCTTTCTTATTTAAGCTAATTTTATTTGAACTAAAATAGTGTACGACTAACCTTTCTACATTTGATCAGATGGTATGGGAAACGGCAGACCCGGATCTGGTGGTTTTTATCAAATGGGCACTGAACGAGTCTTTCTGGATCGATGTTTCTCCTGTCATCTTGAAGACAAAGGAACAAAAATTACTATCTGCAATACATAATAAAGCAGAATACGTATGTGCACATACATTACCGAATTCATCAGCACACTGCGCCCTCTCTGAAGCAGAGATCCTGCAAGGATCAGTAGTAGACCCAAACCGAAATGTCTCTGACATCTCTTGGATTGATGGGATAACTGCAAAGATCAGAGATTAATTAAATGAACTCACCAAATGATAAACAGACAACAAATGCAACTACCACTAACAGTTTGCTAGATGCACATCCACATAAAAATGCCTAACCATTGCAACCAACCAAAAGATTCTACTTTACTCTGCAGGGAAATGAACAGGTGTGTCAAATTATGCATCACTGATGAGCTTATCTAGATAACATCTGCAAGCACTTACCTTCAACAAAGATATATGTAGTAAAATGGTGCAAAAAGATCAATTGCTCTCCGGGACAGGCTCTCCTTATAATCCTAAAAGTTTAAAGCAAAGTTGGCTGCCATAACATGCACACCTTAATAGTTCAGGACTGTTGACTTAAATCGCAACACATCAACTCCCCCTGCTATGGTTATCGCATAGACTGTATTATCGCTGCTATGACATTCTTCAACAAGGGAGCAAAACTCGCCATAACACTGGCGCCATTTAAACTTCCATGTACTGGGCTGGTTGAAATTCTTCTGTAGAATTACAGTAACAGGAAACTTCTATAGCGCCACTTTGTTAAATTATTCATAATGGTTAAGTTGTTCTTGATTAATAGCTCTCACTTTAAGATTCTATAGATAACAAACGGTGAGAAAAAGCAGCCGTTATGCATTACCTCAAAACTGTGCCAGGAGCTGGGCCTCTTCCAACGCTAGCAAACAACTTAATTCGCGCTCTTAGCTAGCAAAGAAAAGAACAAATTATTATCACAGTGGCTGGAAACTTCTCAACCTCCTAATTCTGGCTGAATGGCTCGAATATTTTCTCTCGTGCAGGACGAAAATGTGGGCTTTTCTCCAATAGTTGATGCTTTGGTGACCATCAACAAAAAAAACTCTTCGCAATGCCGGAGCGCCACCCCTCGGTCAATTTTATAAAATCCCTTCAAATCACGTGAACTTTGGTTGAACCCATGTAAAAAAAACGAAAATTAAAGAAATAATAACAATGATAATTTTTTAACTCAAAACAGTTAAAAAATTTTTGGGGGCTTACATTTGTAGATTTGCAGTTTATTGTTATCGCAAACAATAGACATTACGGTAACAGAACTTCTTTTCACCTTGCGGTGTATTAGCGTCGTTACGGTAACTACACTTCCTCTCTCAGTGTCAAACATGGCGCTGTCCTGTTCGAGCCTGTGTAGCCATTTGTCTTTGATCCGACTGTTTGGTTTCAGGACAAACATCATAAATAAAGGTCTCTATTCCCCGTACAAGTCCTGCCAGTCTAGGTATGTCTATGATCCCTTTTGACTCATTTATACACGAGTATCCACTTTATTTTACTTGTATGTGTTGAACCCTTGGTAAGCTGGTCGCATATCTTGCCACTCCTAACCATTTTTAATGATGCAATGCTCGCATTTATACAAATTTGAAATGGTTTTGTGCGCTTTATATCAATATTACATTTAATAATTGTCGCCTAACCTTAAAATTCATTACTATGTGCTGTAATTTAAAACAAAAATATATGTACGGCGTGGTAAAGTGTTAAATTTACTTCATTTAAATCCTACTGATGCTTCCTGCTGATGTTTACCTCTTCCTCTGCCCCTGTTTAGACACTATTCATCATCCAAAGTCAGACGAGGTGTGGGAAGATATGTTGCCTCCAAGCTCCAGAAAGCCAACAGCAAATATGAAGCTTTTCTCAAGAGGCGATTTCCTCGCTTCTATCAGCTCTATCACACATTTGTGGAAGGTAAGCTCGCTTAAAACTAACCCCTGCGGTCCTCCATGCTCTGTAATAGACATTACACACTGAGAATAGTTTTGTTACAGCTTAAGTTTGGGTTAGAGATAATGTTATTTTATTTCTGTCTTGATTATATTAAGTATAACGATATAATATGAAATCTTGTTTACCATTCTACTAAAATATCTATATTATACCCTGCTCTTTAGCATTTTTTTTTGCAGAAATCCCCCTCATCACTCACCAAACTTGTATGAATTTAGCACACATTAAGGGGTCACTCTGTCTTAACTTACTGGGATGCCTATATAAAGTTAAGTTTAATGCTCAAGAGCTGGATTAATTAAGCCAAGTCTATCAACTACATTAAGGCAAACTCAATTGTCAGGTTATGGCAGGGATTGTATTACATAAACATAAGCTTTGTATAGTTGAATAAAGCAGTTATGTTAATTTGTTGTTGTATTGTTAATTAACATGACCACAGTTTTTTCCCATCGGCTTATTCCAGGATTCAAGCTACTGTACCAGGATGCCAAAACTGTGTACACGATAAAATCAAAGATGGCCTCTGCTGGAGTAGAGTTAAAGGATCTACCCTACAGGGAGATGGAGATGCTCCGACAGGTGATTACCATGATTCAGTGCACTTCACACAGAAAAGAAAAGTGCAGGCTATTTGAACCATTAGAGTCTATAGGAAATATTTGCTCTTTTTACTTTGTCATTTACGTTTATATTAGAACTTATTAAAACAAGGTGAGATGATTGTTATAATTTCAACTTCAAAGTAAAATATGTAGCAGCAGTGTGTTAATCGAATCTTTGACAGATGGGGATATACAGCAATTTGTGAGGATATTTTCGCTCAAAATTAAAATGAAAATGACAAAATTGGATTACAAAATGCAATGCTACGATAATAGTATGACATTTGAGTACTCATGCTTTAGTATGATAATCAAAAAAGGTCCCTATCTGCTCACAGTGATGGGTATGGCTCTAATTCGGGCCTGGACATCATGTGTTCTACACTTTAATCAATATAAACAAAGAAATATGAATTTTTTATTGTGATATTTGGGTGTTAAAATCTTTCCTCTAATGAGTGTATCAATTCAGATCTGTCATGTTTCTCGTCTGATTGTAGATTTTCTGATTTTCCTCTCAGTTTCGCAGAAACATGATCAAGGCTGTTCCGCTGGTTCTGATCTCCATCCCTCCCTTTGCGAATTACCTGGTTTTTGTGTTGATGTAAGTTACTTTAAAATAACCATCTCTCCATTCCAGTCAGCACCATTCAACCTTTATTCGGTGGAGAAATCTGGGAATCATTGACTCAAAATTTCATGATCATCCTGAAAATAACGTTTTGTCCTCCATTGTGTTGGATCCTCCTCCTGGTCCTGTCCCTGCTGACACACATTTTCCCATCACTCTGTGTGTCTCTCCTCTCTCTGCTACCATCCCTTTCCGTTCACTGCCAGGTACTTTTTCCCCCGCCAGCTCCTGATCCCCCATTTCTGGACTCCAGGCCAGCAGGTGGAGTTTCAGAGAGTTTACCATTCGCTCAGGGCTCAGCACCACCAACCTGTGCTTCAAGGGCTGGAGAAGTCGAGCCAGCAGGTCAAAGACAGACAACTGCAGGGCCGACTGAAGGACCTGTGTGCTAAAGTGAGTGAGGACATGTTTCATCTCTTGTTCTGGTATCAACACCGATGAGTATGGCATAAAAAAGAAGACCCTTTTATCCCCACACCATGATGAATCTCTCTTGTAAAGAGGACAACTATTTACTCATTTAATGTAAGCAAAATCTGAGTAACACTTCATCAAAATGTTTGTTTTCAGATACAAAATGGAGTAAACCCTAAAGCGACAGAAATCCTTGCTGTTCGAGGTTTGTTTTCTGGACCTCCTTTGGGTATGAAGAGGATGAGCACATATCAGATGGTCAGTAAAAACCCTCCATTCCCCCCTCACACTCGTTTAGATTACATGAAGACATTACGTGCTGACCTTAACTTCACTGGAAAATATCTCCTCTGTCCTCATGGCGAATGCAGAGACACATCAGCCCCCTGCTCTTCCTGACGCCCCGCCTCCCTGGCTTCTTCATGGGCTGGCGGCTGAAGAGCCACGCCCTGGAGCTGCTCCAGCTGGACCGGGCCCTCTGCAGGCTTGGCCCTCACCAACTGAGCGAGGCTGAGCTCAGACAAGTCAGTAACCCAGCATGACTCGTAAATTTCCTCTTGTGTGGAAAACCAGGCTGTGCGGTGCATTCCTCATTGAGTGTTTTGGGTGTTTCCTTTTCAGGCTTGTTATGTTAGGGGGCTCAACTCTGGTACACTTGATGTTAACCAGTGCCGTGAGTGGTTATCCCAGTGGCTCGATGTGTCTGCCTCATTGAAAGGTAATGTCATGTTTTATTTAATTAATATGTCTGCTTAGTCTAACATTTCACAAAGATTTAGCACTCACGTCTGTATGGTAAATCTAGATTTTTAAGCAGAAGATGAGTTGTTTAAAGACAGAATAACAACTCGATTTTTTCTTAAGTACATTGACTTTTAAAACATCACTTGTGTTATTCCTGACTTTGTGCTTTAGCTCCCTCTAGTGGGGATCTTCATTAATAAACAGATTGAAAAGTTGCATCCATCTCGTCATCTTACTCCTGCCAAAACTTGAAACTGTTCCTTTAACCCTCGTCTCTGAAAAGTCTTGTATTGAAAGCTATTTCTGTGCCACTTTTTGCAGAATCAGAGGTGTCCCTGCTTTTGCACAGCCTTGTACTCCTCTCTGCCAACTACCCCAAAGGTCCCCGCCGACACTGACAGGAAGCCTGCAGCAGCCTGATTGTGTGTTTTGTTGTCTTTCTGTGCGCTGGGCAGCACCACTTCCTAAGAGCTGTCAACGTTTCCCTTTTTTTGCCAAAGAAAAACACATTCAAACTGGTCTTGGCAAGATTTAGAGGTTTAGGAGGGACAAAAAAAAAGGATCTTTAAGCTTAAACTATTTAAAAGACTACAATGTAAACACTAGGGTGGTAGAGTATGAGATTCAACTTTGTAAAAAAGCACGTTAAGAGAGATTTATTTTGACTTAAAAAGTGAAAGAGTTCTCATTCAGGCACTCACAAGGGACTTAACATTAAAATGCACTGAACTATAATAAGTGGTGATGTTACGGTAATGACATGATTACCAGTTATCTCAAGCTTGTCTGTACAGCACAGACTGGTCATTGTTTACTCTTAACATATTATTACACAGCTACAGAGCAAAGCAGGGAAACAAAGAGGATCCTGTTTAGTAGAATTTCAGCAGCACATTTCCTGCTGTACAAAGCTAAACCTATTCAGACACATTCCTTTCATAGAAACACAGGTAAAAGAGCTTTTATGTGAGCATGTTAACAATCCTTTTTTTTTACATGTTTTATCATATCAAAGTTCAACTCTCTCCTCAAACATTTACCTCACTTTGTGCTTTGCTTGTTATATTGAAGTATGCAGGTCATGATATAGTTATTCTATAAAAGCCGAATTTTGTTGCGGGGAAGGAAATGCTTTTTTTTTTTTTTGTCAAATATGTTGAAGTGGTTGATGTGAAAGAAGTCATTAGATTTAACAAATGCACCTTTAAAAGAGTCTAAAAAGAGAAAAAAAAAGCCAAATTGTTGCTTAATTGCAAAGACGTCTGAGCTGAATATGTTGTGGTAGATTAAAATCCTCTTGTTGTGCAGCTCAGTACTGACAGGCTGTCTGAACAGAGTCGTGATGGCACTTTAATGTTTACTTGATTTGTTTCTTTCTTTGGAGGTTTGAGACGTGGTCGACTTTGCGGTCGCTTTCACTCCAGCACAAATTTGTTTGAAAAACATCTGCACACGTCTCAGTTAGGGCTTACAGGAACTGCACATCCCCTTCACCCGCGTTTGGTGTTGTAAAGTGTAAAATAGGAAGTGTCATTTCTTTGTGTGCCTTTTGCATGAAGGGCACAATACATCAGAAACATAAATTCTGTTCTGTTTATGATTTATTGTAAAGCATTTTTTTTTCCTCTACAGGTTAAAATGTTGTGTTGCTGTGCCAATATGATAAACATTGTAATAGAGCCGTGTCTGAATTAAAAACCCTTTATGATCCGTTTGTTTCGCCTCTTTCCTTTAATCTTCAAGCAAAAGCAACATAATTTAAAGTGTCTTAATAAAAACAGGAACTCATAACCAGAAAAATGTAAAAACTGCACCAAAACAGATACCAAGCAAAGTGAAAGAAGTTAGAAAACCAACAATTTACATCGACGAACTTCTACTGACCGTTAATGGTTTCTATCATTTAAGTTCTAATCACATAGAGTATAAAAGCTGGGATATTTGTAACCTATGAAAATATAATCCAAACCAATTTGCAGGAAAATAAATTGTTCTGTGCCTGGTATTTTAAGTTTTAACATACAAAAGGCCCTTTAAATGGAGCTCCTCGAAATTTGCTGAAAGCCTGGATCACATGACTTCGTAGCCACTGCGGATGCCTCTCATCAACAAGCAGGCGAACACGATGCCCATTATCTGAAAGGAAAGAGCAGAAGAGGGAGAGGATATTAAACACTAAAATCAGTCAAACATTCAGGTGGGTTTAGTTAAAGTATAGTGATGCTGCATATTCAAAGACGCTTCATACCTGCAGGAAAGCAATAATAAGAGCTGCAACGATGACCCACTGGATGTTTTTCTTCAGGTTAGCCTCCACAGCATCATGACAGCCCTGTACAGGAGAGGAAGAGTTAGAGCTGATCTAAATATGTTACAGAAACCCGCTGGTAAAACATTAACAATCACATTTTGTTGACCTTGACTTAACTTCCTCAATAATTCAAAGTTCAATAAGCCCAAATGCTTTATGGACAATAAATCCAATAATAAACCTACTTTTCTTTACATACGGGACATCTACACCAGTTCCTTTATTTGGCTTTTGTATAATCCCAGGAAGTAGCACTGAAATGGTAACCCTGAATTTAGCGCATATCACAAAAAGACAACTTCACCTTATGAGTCATATCACATTTGAATGAACAGATATATCCTTTTTTGTTAGTTAAATGTTTGGGGTCAGATATTCTTGTTAGGGTCACACGTATTTGTTAAGACTCACACAACTTTACACACCTGTTTGGCAAAGAGTAACATAATCCCAAGTGAGACCAGTTTCCACTGACTGTTTACTTTTCAGTGAGCAGCAATTTCTTTTTCATAAGTGTGACTCTTTACTTTGAACTGTATTTAAGTTTTAATGTCATGAATCATCTTGAATTTACTTGTTGTTTTTCACTGTTAATACTTGTTGGATTAAACCGGCTGCTGTAGGAGACGGGGGAGCACGATTCTCCATAATTTTGGCACAGTACCCCGCCTTTTACACTCCATGCTAAAAATCGGCTGTTAAATTAACCAGGATAGATATTAGGTGAGTATTGATATTTCTGTAACACCAGGTTTGTGTGCTGATTATTCACAGAGAATATGGTACATAATAGGCAAAAGCACAGAAATAGCAATTTGTGTATGTAGGGACCGAAACGTACATGGCCAAGATCTGTGCAAACAAATGATTAAATAATAAATCATCCATCTGCCTCCTGTTTTGATGAATTATTAAGCTAATGAGGAGCTTCAGATGAGCAATTTTAGAGAGAGTTTGAATTTTTAATGTGAACTCTTCAAATATTGATGTTTGAATACATTTCATAACAATTTTAAGTCCATTAGAGGACCATTTTACTGGTTATGCCACGTTCAAAGTCACTTGAATCCCTGTTTATTCCCACATCTCCATGCCTAAATGGCTTGAGATGCTGCCACGTGATTGGCTGATTAGCTATTTGTGTTAAAGAGCAATTGAACAGGTGTATCTAATAAAGTGGCAGGTGAGTGTATCTTTATATTAGTGAACAGTAAAGCTGATGTTTGCAGATTTTTGTCCACTAACATCTGTGTGGTGTACTGTAAAAACTCTTCGTGTGGACTGTGAAGGTGTTTCCCTGTGACACATGCTCTTACGCATGCATGGGACAAGCTAACACATACAGTTAGGCGTCTTTCTGATGCTTGTGTGGGTTGACTTCACTCCAGCCAACGTCACTGTATGAGTCTTTGATAGAGGAGCTGCCAAATGACTGTTTGCTGTAACCTTTAATCACACTTGCAGTTGCTACCAGCAACCATGGGACCCGCCAAATCCCCAAGTTTTGAAATCATACGGGTTTTAATTCTATCTTAATCCTATGTTTACTGAAATCAACCACAGCAGTTTACCTCCTTGAACAGTTTGGAAGGGTCTTTCAAGGCTCCATCTCCACACCCTTTGGTGAAATTCACGCAGCATGAGTCAGGCACAGACTCTCTGTCAGGTCGGTAGTTCTTCCAGTCAGCAGAACTGTTCACGCCACAGCATTTCAACTGGAAGGGCAAACAAGTCAGAGGAAAACCAATTAATATGGACGTGCCAACCATACAGTAGTGGGATAACCTGTGTGTAGTGGAATATAGCTTGTGTCAACAGGTGGCTCAAAAGAAAAACATTGTCAGGTCATGCAGCTCGGACCAACAGGATGCAGCAGTGTTATATGAAGGTGTTGTCAGAGTAAAGTAAACACAGAGAGCGAGACTTGATACTAAACTCACATCCTTCTGCAGTTTATCCACCGAATCTCTAAAGTGTTCTGTACTGTTGTACTTGGAGATCATTTCAACAAGACTGTCCTGGACCACCGATGAGATCTGGAAGGGAGACACAACAAGGAAATGTTGAACTTCCAGTAGGATCACAAATAACAAACAAAACAGTGAAATGATAAGATACTCACTTTGCCTCTGAAGATGTATCCAGCGATGGCAGCTCCAATCTCAACGATGATGATCAGGGACAGAAGAACGGCAAACTGAAGAAATAAAGATAAAAATGTGCGCTTTTAATTGACATTTACTGACATTAAACTTGATAACATAAAGACATTAGTGTGGCTTTTCTGTTCTTACACCTTTAATAAGACATTACTTAATAAGTTACCGTTGTCACCATGCAGTAGTTCTCCTTCCAGGCTCCGCAGCAGCCAAAGAAGGCGATGAGGAAAATCACCACACCGACCCCAATGATGACAATGGGAGCTCCTGAAGCTGACACATTCTTAATCTCGATGGTGTTGTGCAAAGCCACTTGGCCCAGGATTCCCACGACAACCAACGCAAGGCCACATAACTGCAGGGGGGAGAGAGCGGAGTTAGCTCAGGGTGGTAGCGGAGGTATAATTTCCATAGAGGACCAGCTGTCTGAAACACAGCTGTTTAAACCAGGTAGGTAAACAATCTGACTGGCAGGTGGATGATTTAGGACGAGCGTCCGTGTGTTCCAGAGTTGCCAGGGAGATTTCGATGAAATGGTTTAGAGTTAAGGGAGGACAAAAGTCAAGATAAAACTTCCTGAACTTTGAGCTAAATTGTTGAGAAATCTCCTTGGGTTTGTTGGATTTGGGTTAGAAGTTTAAAAGTTGAAACATTTCTCTGGTGAGGATTAACAGGCTGACTATGTGGGGTGCCAATTCCAGATTTGACCGATTTAAACAGGATTACGACTGTGATTAGCAATGAGTTGTGAAAAGTGGATTTCTGTACTTCTTTGACTTTACTCGAGTACAGTAGGTGTTTACTAGGAACAGTAAAGGAAATATTTGATTTGTCTTTTTTTGCCCCTTAAAAATCTCTAATTCCTTATTCAGCCAAGGCAGAGAAAAGGCTTTCTACTCAAAGGTGAGGGGGGATTATTTTGAATGATGAATGATTTTGAAATGCAAAAATATTTCCCGGATGAGTGACAGTAAAGGGGAAGTGAGACCAGAATTAAGACCGGTAACATCTGGACCTGCATTTTTAGAGACTTAATGCTGATCTGGGTCGTGCTCAGTAAAACATCAGTCAAGATTAAACCACAATGAAGTAGAGGTGGGAATCACTAGTGGCCCCACGATACGATATTATCACGATTCTTGAGCCACGATACAACAACATTGCGATCTATACTATTTTTTCAATTGTTTAGCTAATATAGCATTTTGTTTTTCTTTGTATTTTATTCTCATGTAGCACATCTTGCAAACATTCTATATATTTGTTGCACTAATTTTCTTCTGCTCTATAACGTCACCTCTGCCAACCTCACCGGACAAACAGGTGATTTTATTTTTCCATTATCACTGATTTGACCTCATATCAACAATAAATTTGAAAAAAATCAATATTTGGTCAATGAAACAATACGATATATCACCAGACAAATTATCACGAGACTATGCTGTATCGATTTTTTCTCCCACCCCTTCAGTGAAGCCAATTAAACCACAATAAAAACTGTTAATCAGTACAAATAAAGATATATTCACTTTACACCACAATTTTTTCTTGACAAAATCAGCATCAGGCCTCCCAAGTCTGGTACTACCATTATCGTTTCTAACTAATAACACGAGTCTTCCAGTGACGGCGTTTCACCAGAGGAAAAACTTTAAACATTTCTTTTCTTCCACTCACACATTGTGCAACAAAATGATAACGCAGTTATGCTAAATAGACGGCCAAAAGCCGTGACAGTTGTCAGTTCCTGTGTTCCACTGTAAAATGATCAGATGATAAAATGTGACAGTCTTGTGTCATTGTTCTGGGTGGGGCGTAGAGTATTTCATTAGATCTTCTGCAAACACTCGGCTTGGGTGAAGTGTTTGACCATGATCTGCAGGGATCAACAAGCTCTAAAGCAAACATCACAGTCAGCTGAATAGACTTTTATTTTGACGGTGCTTTAGAGAGAAGAGCTTATGATGAGGACAGAACAATCAGAGCTGGATTTAATAGACCAGGACTATTTTGGACGCCCCGGGGTGCTTACTATGATGAACATGTCAAGATTTACTTCTCTGGAAAACCCCTATCTTCCCCTATCGTGTGACTATGACTTCACTTGCACTGATAACAAAATAAAGAGATATGTCTTTTACTATGAAATTATAACTGTAAATATGATTGCTTGGGGTGTTAAATGTCTCAAAAATACCAGGTACACCATGTCCCACAACCTAAATTGACTTCCTTTTTATTTGACTATAAGTTTAACACCTTGTTTTTTTTTTTTACAAACCAGCACATATTTACATTTTAAGAGCTGGAATTGCTATTTCTAGTAAGGTTTGCTTTAAAAACAACTTAAAAGTATTAAGTTGAGCATTGAAATTGTTGCAGATTAAAATTCTAGATTGATAGATAAGCAAACAAAGGGTACAACTTCATACCAGATCATGACAGAGAGAAAAAACATGCGTGAAGTTTTGGTTTTGTATCACTTCTTTGATCTGCGTCACCTTGCAAAAAAACCCACACAAACAGGAAGTGAGAGCGTGACTTTAACCCAACTCAGGCTTGACATATATGCACCACAGTGACAAGTCAAATGTGACCCTCGCTTTATGTTCCTTAAAACAGCCAATGCTGCGAGTTACTAATCCGTAACTGTTGTTTTTTTTCAACATATCAATTATAAAGCAGAACAATGAAGTCGCTGCAAACAAACCCTCAGGTAACAACAGCTTCCTGACAAAAAAAACTGGTCCGAGCGCTTCTTACTGTTCTCATTTAAAATTTTAAGCCAAATTTAGGAAAGTGCTCCACACAAAAGCCTGCAGCCTCACTGTCAGCTGCTCCACAATCAGCCCACTCCTTGTTTGTATCCACTGAAGCCCAGGCTGCAGCTGAAAACCTCTCCATGCCGGCACCACCAGTGTCAATATTTGAGTATGGGCCAAACAGGTGGTTAATGATTGACTTAAGAAAACAAAAAGGAGTGAAGAGAGCGGGTAAACAGTGACGACAGATCGCATCAATCAATCCCAGAGGAGCACATCATAAAAAAGGACAATAAGAATAAAAGTTACATCTTTTTAACCTTTAGTTGACCTACTTTTTTTATCAACGTGAAGCAGGAAACAGAGAACTACCAGTCTGGAACTATAACACACTCGAATATTACATTTCTGCTGAAATTGAATGCAAACAAAGCTCATCTTTGGACTACATGTCAGACATTTATAACAGGGCTGTGACTAACAAAGTTACAGGCGTACATCATAACACTACATCTGATCATTTTGGTCACTAAGAGTTCAAACAGCCATGCTATTATAATTATGACAGAGAGGAAAACAGAATAACAACCTTCACCTATAAATGGGCGGTTTCCTTAACCCCTCCAATCCCCTTCCTTGTGGGTCTATATCTGAATTATTCATAATAATGGGACAATTACAGTTAGTCAGGGCTATAAATAAATAGGTGGCTTATTACATAACCAAATGGTTTTAACAGTGATACAATAATATATCAGGAAAAAATGAAATCACATCATAGATCTGTCAGTGAGCCCTTACAATCTATTTTAACCATAACCTGTCTGAGTCACAGAGAGCTCCATTGTTGAAATTTCTATTACCAAGATAATCTGATGTATATAAAGAGAGTGTGAGGGCTGCCAACTAATGACTGGATTCTCTACAAAAGATTTTTTCTATTTTCAATAACAAAGAACCATTATGAGAGCGTCATACTTCTGTTTTCGTCTGAACATGCCAGGAATGAAAAATACACCCAAGAGCAGTGCTCAAATGTCTTGCTTTTCTCAAAACCCAAAAATTAGTTAAAGAAATCAAACTTCCTTCTCTGCTGTAGAAACCAATGAATCATTTTTATTTCTTTCAAAACAGCTGGTGATTAATTATCCTGTGATCAATGACAGTTTGTCACAGATCTGTTTCTCACGTACAGCTCTGACCACAGGAAGTCTACTCGAAGAGAAGACAGCCATGATAATGATGTAAATGTCGCTTTAGTGTCAAATTTGTAGGACATTTATTGGACACTTTAAACATTACTCTAAAGCTTTTGTGAGAAGATAACAGGAATAGAGGTTACAAACGATAGATAGATAGATAGATAGATAGATAGATAGATAGATAGATAGATAGATAGATAGATAGATAGATAGATAGATAGATAGATATTTTATGTTATTTCAAGCTTTAATCTTGAATATTGTTTGTCTTCTGTTATTACATAAGATCTTCTTTCAAAGTTGGGAAAGTACATCGAAACTTTCTCACTTCTTCAAAGTAGGTATCAGTTTCCAAACTCACTGTCTACATTAAACTGACATGATATTTTATTATCTCATAAAAGCTTATATATGCCGTACACAAAGAGGTGGCATCAATCATATTTAGAGCTGCAGACCATGAAATGTGCACTTGTCAGGGTGGTCAGTAATTCTTCCTTTTTCTTTACTTCCCTGATTATTATCAGGTTTGTTCTCAGTAGCACAGACTTTTCTGCACAAACCCCCTACGTCTATGTCCTGTGTCCAAAGCTTCATCTGGCATTGTGTCAGGAAAGAAACCAACGGAATAAAAGAGAACATTACGATCTGGTCGAGTCATATGTTACGCTTCAAAATCTGGTCATAAGATTCTCGCTCAGACATCAACACCTCACGCTCGACGGCTCAAACACACACAACAGAGTGGCTGCAAACCATGACACTCAGGAAATGTTCAGGTTAACCCAGGACATGTGAGATAAATATCCTCATGTTTCATCCATTTTTTTTTGTATTTGACTTTGAGCACACATGCAAGATGATCTCAGTGTCCAAGAAAGGACATGCGTAGGCGTGTAATTGCTCATCTGCTGATTTAACTGTGTTAACCTCACAAACCAGAGTTCATGGTCAAAGTCATGTGGCTGGCAAAAATGTCACAAAACTAGTCTAGCTTTAAAAAAAAGATCAGCTGATCCAACACAATTACACTTGAAAAAGGACAACAAAACCTGGCTTTATTTCCTGATAGCTTTCATGTTGTACCACCACAAACCTCATTGACTTTGCATTATAAAACATCTTACATTTTTTTGTATAAGAAACACTTAAAAGGTGATTTTAGCTGCTACTTACCCAGAAGATGAAGTTGAAAAAGAAAAGCAGGAACTTCACACATTTCATGCCCCCCTCAACACCACCCATGTCTGCTGCTGCTGCTGATCAGTTTCCTGGATCAGAAAAGTACAAGAAAATACTTTTATCCAGTAAGTTACATCAGCATGACATCAGCTGGATCCCAACTTCTGCAGAAACCCCCCCTTGGAGGATGTGAGTCATTTTTCGGTGGAGCTTGGAAAGCCAAGCCAAGTCAACATATTGTCTATTAATGAAAAAGTAGCTCCACGCATGTCCCTATTGTTCGTGGGAGTTAATTAGAGTCCAGACAATGACGCACATTTCCAACACAATTACAGAATAAATCTAATTTAGAGACATTTTCAAAAGCAGTATAAGTCAAGTGAAAATCTGTTTATAGTTACCATTCAATGAGAAGTTTCAGTTGTAAGTTATTAAGGTATACAGAGGCCTACTCAACACGTTTTTAAGACCGTGAAGGCATCAAAAAACACCGTTCTGAAGAGGAGACAGAGCCCATCCAGCCCAGCCCCGAACCGCTAATCACAGCCAGCGACAACGCCAGCTTTGTGAGCGGACGAATTACATCGACACGGAGCATGTCCTTTTATTGAATTTGTTAAGTTTGTGTCAATTATATTAGTCTAAGATAAACAGAAGCAGATAGGTAGAAGTTACAGAAACGTTTCCTTGTTTAGTGTTGAGGGGGAAAACCTGTTTGTGAACGAGGACAAACCGTTAACTTTCCAAACGATTAACGGTCAACATAACAAAGATAAAGGTGCTGTTTAGAGTTTTGAGGCTTACCTTTCAGATGAGGTCTCTTAAATCCTGCGATGAGGGACGAAGACTGCGACAGTGAGGGATTTTTAGACTAACTTGTCTTGTATCGTTTGTAGTCCCTCCTCCGCTCGGCTCATCTAACTGTTCCCCACCTCTTTCTTTCTCTTTCTTTCTTTCTATAGTCGGGACTTCTCCTTTCAATGACCGTAACTTTAGTGCTGCCTTCAGGGACTCCTCGTACAACACACAACTCTGCTATCAACACTGTGTGTGGTCCTTGTCAGCTGTCGTCCTATGGAGTTTTTCATTGAAAACACATCATCCAGTGACAGATTGATAAAAAGGCGAGGACACGGAACCTTAAATAATGATTTATTTATAACTAGTTTATTTTGTTTCACCTAATGACAATAATGTCATATTGTGGTATGTTGTTACGTTTCATATCACTTAGAGACCATAAGGGACGAAAATAAAAACAAAAAATAGTTACAATGCAATTAAAAGGGGAGTCGAAAGAGGAAACAGAATGGTAAATTTAAAAGACAATATCAACAATTTATAATAAAATAATAACAGGTAATACTGATAATGATAGTATTGATGAAATAGAGCAACAGAAATGAGCAAAAGAAACAAAATCTTTTAGAAGGAAACAATATTATGTAGACCTATATCACAAAGTTTGAAGTTGCTTTGCTTGTTACCCAATTAAACATGCCATTGTTTATGAAAAAGAAAGAGAAAAACTTATCCATAACACTGACTTTGAATTTTGTCTGAATTGTGACAAGAATGTCATGTTTCTTGTTGACTGCTTTAGAGCCAGTTCCTCTTAAAAGTGTAACAATAAAAGTCAGCCTATACAACAGGTCAAAATAGAAAGTGTGAAATTGTTACAATAAACAATAAATGTGGACTTCTACATGATTTTAGACTGAAGAAGCACTGGTCCAATCACCTGATATTAAATCAAAAGCAGCACCACTTTTCCTATTAGAGTTGCAATGTCAGGTCATGCCTTTGCCAGTTTAAATTTGATTGATGTTTAAAAACTGATCATAGAAGTTAACACCCAACATTACTGGAAGGTGTTGGGAGTTAATCTGACTTTCTTGGAATAATTCTACATCCTCTGTCGTATTTAGGGTGATTCATATTTTGTAAATATGGGAAACGAAACAGGGTGTCAAAGATAAGCATGCAAGAAATATTATTTCCTCTTTTTCCCGGACAGAGCAACGTATGCAGACAGCTGAGTAACCCTGGTTAAGCAACAATTTCAAAAGACACCATGACCACTCAACCTTATGTAATAACAAAGTACTTTAAAACCTGAAAGTATTGTTTTAAAAATCATGCCTTCTCAACCGTCAAATAAAATTTTTTGACCCACATTGGACAGAAATGACAGAACAAAGAGGTATGACTGCTTTGAGTTCTGGTCATGTGGTGAAATCCAATAGTCTGATGGGATTTCATTTGAAAGCTCACTTTTATGTTTCATTGCCGGCTAATAATTGCCTGTGTCTGAGCCTAAGGCTGGGCAGGGTTTTCTTTCTACTTCTTGGTGGTTTACTTTATAATATCAGCACTGACCTCATAGAGAAGCATTTTTTACGGCTGATTTCACTGCCTCTTATCTAACCACCAGCGTATCAAACAAAAACACCAGAATGACCCACATACCTGAGCAGCATACTGCACTGATATCATCAGCTTCACCTGGTTTACGATAAAATGTCCTTTTGAACTTCACCACTATTCTCAGGAGCTTAACTTTGTCGACATTAAGAACCTTGTTAAATTTGATTTTACTGGTATATAAACTAGTGCTAAGGATCGTCATAATGACAAACTGTATATTTCAAATTCAAGACCCATGCAAGGTGCCCTCTGTTCAGCCCCTGTTTGGTAAAGGGGTCAGAGTGTAACAGTGTTTCCTCTTAGTTAATTCTGTGGATAGAACAGCTGACGAGTGACAGGAAATTAGCAACTATGAGTGGGAGATGGCATGTGTGAAAGAGTTGGCCTGAGAGTCAAACTCATAGCTGTTACAATGACGACTTAATAGACTCTGAAAGTGGGGCACCTCCTTTAACCATTAAGATAGACCTTTACTCCAGGTGAAGACATCTTTGATAGAAAAGTTAAAATACAACTTTTTGACATTTTATCCAGTGTGTGACTGCTTTTAGTTTGTACCACACAGCCTATGAAAAGTTTGTTTTTTGGATTTGATCATTGAAATCTCATTTTATGGAATATCTGATACTGGTATGACAGGGCTTTTAATTTTCTGGGTGCTCCACATTGATAACATGATTGAGAATGCAGCACCATGCACTACTTCAGTGTATAATACTAACTCTTGCAAAGGGCTTTACTCAGACACAGTGTTGCCATGCCTTCAACCTTATCTGACATTTGAACTTTGCCAGCAAATTTCATTGAAAGACTCTGCAATTAAAACATCTTTCCAGTTAAAATATTTCTTTCCTGATGGATGTCAAATTATATTATAACATGCAGTGCAGTGCAACAGTGTCATTTCCCATGTAACACTGTTGGTAGCTGCCACCTAGTGGTATAAAATTTTGTGAGTTCTGCGCTTCTGTCAGTGTTCACTTCTTGCCATGACGTCTTTAGACTTTTATGGGTGCTTACTCCCATTCCAGTGTTTACACAGCACAGATGCAAAGATAAACTTTTATTACAGAAGTTTATTCATCAGCAGCTTCCATATGTACTCTGTATTTACTTGCTCCACCAATGTCAAACTGCGGGCGCTTTTGTTTTCATTTTTCCCACAAAGGCAGGCACACAGTCTACTAAAAGACTTTCCGTATGGGCTGAGCTGTCTTAAGACGCCAAACGGAAAAAATATGTCTAATCAATCAACCAATGAAGAGTCAAAACATGTACATATTTAACTTTATAACAGGGATAAACCCAATTAGATTGTGAATGTTAAGAGAATTTAAAAAACCCTTTTCCTCTTTTATGTTACCAATCCCTTTTTACATGGATACATGGGTTGTATGTTTAATTGAACATGAAAATCATCATCATCATATTCACTTGGATTAGTAAAGCGAGACAATTTAGCAGTAATTGCTCTGAAAATGTGAAACCAGGGTGTGAAACCCAGCTGTCTTACATTGGAATATACAACAGAATATGATTAAGATCTGACAGATTTTGCATGGAAACAGCAGAGGGCAGCAATACGCCTCGAATGCGTCTAGCCTGCCAAAACCTAAGAAGAAGAAGGTGAAAGGGCGGGGCTTAAGATTGTAGGCGGGACAATGGTGCTATCATCATGGCGGGATGCATGAAAATGAGAAACGACTTAATTTCTATCAGTGTCAATGTTTTGCTTTTCACATCGCTGCTTATCTGTCTACCTCAAAACTTGCACGGACTTACGGGTAAGGAGCATCTTTTGAAGCAACTGTAGACACGCAGGTTGATTCAATACGTACCTGAAACAAGTGACATGTTAGCTAACTCGTGTTAGCTTCTGTTTGTTTGGTTTGAACGTTACAGAAGTTTCTTCTCTGTCACCTGATATTGTAACTAGACCCAGCCTTCTTCTCTCGGTTTCATCCGCTGCACTAGAAAGATCCTTGATTCTTAGTCCAATATTTAAAGGATTTTTTCGAGTTTTTCATTGAACATATCAAAAACACTAATGTTGCTCGGTCAGTCCGCCCCGCCCTCAGCTTATGTCTGACATGCTCATAAACACCAGTGTGTCAGAGAGAAACCGAAACCGGTTTTATCTCAGCATGATGTGCTGCATGGAATGAAAAAGAACAATATAAACTAGGGCTGGGACGATATGCTTCTCTGCCGATTCGATTCTTCTACGATTTTTTTAGATGCCGATTCGATTAAAATTGCGATTCTACGATGTTGTCGATTTTCTTGGCCTTTAGTCTACATTTCTCAAAACAGTGAAAGTCAGTAGACAATCATGATAATGATTGTCTACTGACTACTCCAGGAACCATATTTCCCTAAAATTACACTTCACATGTAAGTTAGTTTCATAAGATGTAATATTAAATTTAAAAAAAAAAAAAGAAAGATTTTTGAATATAAAAATCGATTTAAAAATTGTGATATTTAGGTGAATCGATTTTTTTCTCCTACCCCTAATATAAACACATATTGAACATGCTCTTGCAATCATACTTGCAAAAATATGCATTAATTATTATATTGATGATAACAATAATAATAATGGTGGTAGCTTTCTTCATAAAGATAATAAGGTTTCACTCACACCTCTGCTTCTCAAACCCAGGTACCAAGCTTCAAATAATTGATCTCCAGGATGGACAGGACTACGTCATGTCAGGGTCCAATAGGTTCTGTTACAAAAACTCAGTTGTGCCCACCTGGAGGCAAACATGGACAAGAATTCACGTAAGTTGCTAAAGCTAGAAAAGGTTTAGTTGTAGTCTTTCATGCACTTATCTTATCGCTCTTTCTGCTTTTATGAGGCCAAATTTGAAATATCTGTAGTAGTCATAGTGTTAAGTTGACATATGATGCCATTGGTGACACCCAACATTAAATCCATCTTGCATGTACTGTAGTTCCCCTTAACAGAAGACACACACTATCTCTCTTTATGACAAAACCCAGTTATCGTGCTCTAATAGCTGTTAATTTCCAACAGGTCAGAGTTTCGAGTTCAAATGTGTTCAAGGTGGTCACTGTTGAAGGTGAGGAGGAGCTGCAGGAGCTGGACCGCTTCAGCTTCTGGGGCTGGTTTCAGAGTTTGTTACGTGAGCGGCAAAATGAAACTACAATCAACATCAACCTGTTCAGCAAGAAGAAGTGCTTCAAGATCGAACCAGCTGACAAAACTCTGTACACTGTTAAGCCCCTGCGTAGTAAGTGGAAACAAAATCAAACTAATGGTATCTTTATTTTTTACTTTTTACAAGAAACTGTAAATTCACACAGTGTTTCTATCGTCCTTTCAGAATTTGATGTCTACCTGTTTTTGGTCTTCCTGGCTGGGATGTTGTTATTTCTCTTTGCAGACTCGCTCAGCAGGTAACTTCTCTCACATATACATTATTACAGTGTTTGGACAGGATCATGATGTTATTAACCATGTCCTCATGTCTTCATTTAGGAGTCAAGTTTTCTTCTACTCTGCTGGGATGAGTACAGGCATGATCGCCTCTCTCATCATCGTCTTCTTCATTTTAGGGCGCTTTTTGCCAAAGGTAAGGAAACTTATCCTGATACATCCATGACTTTGAAACCATTTTGTATCACTTACTCATACGTTTTGTATAATTTGTCTTTGCTGTTCTTGCAGAAAAGCCCTTTTTATGTGTTGATAGTTGGTGGCTGGTCGTTTTCTGTGTATGCCATCCAACTCGCCTTCAAGAACCTCAGTGTAATTTTGCGAGAACACTGGCACATGGCACTAGGTATGTACCCTTTGTATGGATAGTAACTTGAACAAATGGAAGCAACACACTTTGTACTTATTAAGACCTACAACTGAAGTTAACAAGCTCCTTCCTGATACTTTAAAATCAAATGTTTCTGCTGCTGTCTTTTTTGTCAGGTTATGTAGCAGTGGTTGGATTCATCAGTTTTGCTGTGTGTTACCTCTATGGTCCTCTGGTGGATCAGAGGAGCATCAACATCTTGTCATGGACACTGCAGATCTTTGGTCTGCTCCTGGTTTATTTAGGCATCCAAATTCAGCAAGTTGCCTTCGCCATCATTGTAGCAGCTGTTTTTTCCAAATACCTGGAGTACCCTGTTTTTCTGGTGGTGGCTGTGTGTAGGTGGGTTTTTGCAGTATGGCCAGAAGATGGCATAATGGGACAAAAATACTGAGGAGCCATGTAAAATACTCCATCTGGCTCCACTTATTTCACGCATATTGAGAAAAGCTCTGTGGTTGAGATAAAAAAAGTCATACATATTTAATACAAAACACTCTTAAGGATAGTTTCTGCACAAAACATTTTCATGATCTTTTCAATATTTGTAAAGTAATTTGATCCTCAGAAAGCTGCCTGTGATAGCAATGTTATTTTTTTTTTCTTTTATTATTTGATTGAACATTTGGGTTGTTTGTGCAGGAAAATGAAACGGTTTGTTCGCTGGAAGCCGGAGCCCCGGCGGCTGCTGACTGAAGAAGAGTATCAGAAGCAGGGAGAAGAAGAGACTCGGCGTGCACTGGACGAGCTGAGGAAGTACTGTAACAGCCCCGAGTGCAGCCCCTGGAAAGCCGTGTCCAGACTCCAGTCCCCGAAAAGGTTATTAATGTGATGTTGTCTTATAGGTTTGGCCACAATTATAACTCATCTAAAGTTGGACCTTCCATGTGCATTTCAGCTCAAATGAAGTGAAACTGTTGACTCCTAAACCAAAACTTTGTTAAATTTGTGTTCGATTAAAACATGTTCATGAGGGTTAACCTCGCTTTCATAAAAAACAGGTTGTCCCCTGTGGATCAATGTTCATCATTTTGATTTGTTAATGGTGGTGTGTGACACTGATATGCAGAAAATGTCACTACTAAGTGTATCGGTGGTGTCTAAGTACAGAACATAATGTAAATATCATATCCACACTGATATTGTCACTTTTGTCTTCAGGTTTGCTGATTTCGTGGAAGGCTCGCCTCACTTGATGTCAAACGAGGTGTCTGTCCACGCACAGGAGTATGGCTTAGGAGGATCTTTCTTTGAGGACGAACTTTTTGACACAGACGATGAGGAGGAAGAGGACTTTAAACCACTGATGAAACCACTGATGAAACCAGAGTGAAATGGGGTTATTATAGGAAATAATCTAAAACAGAATCAGTTGTTGCTGCCTTTCACCAGGTGGGACCAGAGAGCAGCCCTCTGTGGCTCCTGTGTTACCATCTGGACTGACTTAGTGTTTTCTTGGGAGGGCTGGGAAAGCCTGGGTTTTCGTTTCAGTGGCAAGAGTCGGTGCATGTTCTGCTTTGAATGAGGAAACACTTGTGAGCACAGCAGAGCGGTGGTCACTGATCTGGTGTCAGCAAAACAATGTAGTAACGACAAAGAATGTGCACTAAAGCCAGACGTCTTCTTTCTAGGGAACAAAGACTTCTGTCAAAGTTACAAATGCAGCAAGTTAACAAGCAATATCGGATCTTCCTCTGTGATATTTGTGTTGTCTAAAGCTGTTGCATAGAAAAGGTCATAGAAAAGATGTTTTAGTTTTTGTTCACAGGCTTCAAATGGGCTCGCTGCATCTATCTGTCCTTCTAATATATCGTGAAAGTTCTTGCTTCTCTGAACAGCAGCCTGACATAGTGTGAGGTTTCATTTCTGCCTTCTGCTCAGGAAGAAGTTTGGTCAACTTTGTTTTTTCACTGTTTTTATTTCACTTGACAAAGAGAAAGTGTCCTAAAGTATTTTGAATAAAAAATTTTTGAATTATCGTTTCACAGTTGTTTCATTAAAGAGGTGGTTTATGCTTTTAACACAAATGTTGGATGTCGGCTCTTAACATGATCAAAGATTCAAGGTCAATGTGTGTTGAAATAACACCCAGGTGGGACTACAGGGTGATCTGAAAGGCTTGTCCTAAAAGTCATGAGAAAACAACATGAGATATGATGAAAAGAGTGGTCGTGTTACAGACCACTACAATGCTGAAAAGATGGACATGAATATGCGGAGTTTCCACTTAAGGAACAGCTAATAAAATTTGTCCCGCAATTGTCAGGGGGCTGCATTTCACTGTAACTGCCACAGCACAATGCTAAATTTGCATACTAGGGAGTGAGTCATTCATAGTGGGCTTTATCAGTACCATCTTTTGTTTTTTGTTTTGATGTTGAAACTCAAATGATTAATCATGTTAATCTGTGGTTTTGGTTTCTGGTGCACGAGCTGTCATGTTGTATGGATGACTGGTTTTACGAACGCTTCACTCTGAGTCCTTCCGTCACTTTAAATCAAATGGATGGTGTGTTATGGCTGGAGACGCTGGTTCCTTCCTGCAGAACTTAGCACCTGACCACAGCGTCAAGACAACTGCCAAATTAGAATTACTGTGCTGGAATGGCCAGCCAACTTGTCCGACCTTCACTCCATGATGAACTGATGATGTATTGTCAAAGGGAAGATGAAAACATCAAACCTGAAATGAGACAAACTGAAGGCCAAGATCAGCGCAAACTGGGCTTCAGTAACACATCAGCAGTACCATGGGCTGACTGTCTCTAAGCCTGGCTGCTTTACTGCAGTGAGCTGTTGTAAAGGAGCCCTAAAGGGATATTCCGGCGTAAAATTAATTTGGAGTCAAAACACCCCCTCGAGAGATGAATGTTGCTGACCACTTGTTTCTCTAGTTATACCAACTACAGTAATGACCGCACAATGGCAATACACAGCGGTCTGAGGAGCCATAAACAAACCTACATATAGGTACATGTACATATAGGGTCCCAGCCACCAAACATCCTCTTAACTTTGCCTAATTTCTTAAGCAAAGAGACTAAACACAACTCACCTACTCTCTTCCAGCAGTCGCTTGTTTGTAGCGAGACTTCGGGCCAAATCTATAACGGGCTACAGCCGGGTCACGCAGCTCAAGGAAGAACATTTATGATCATTTCTTTATCATTTCCTTGAAGTAATAATCACCATATTAATCATTTTGCACTGCAGATGTGGTAGTTCTTCTGCCTTAGCAGCTTGGTCTGATTGCAGTCCCCATGAAGAAATGATCATAAATGTTCTTCCTTTGGCTGCGTCACCTCGCTGTCGTCCGTTATGGACTGGCCCGAGTTCTCGCTACAAACAAGTGGCAAGTGTTTAGTCTCATTACTGTTGATGAAGTTAGGTGCTGTTCTGAGCATTATTTGTGGCTATAGAGTGGCATTTTAGTTGACGTTTGTTTATGGCTCCTCAGACTGCTGTGTATTGCTATCATGCGGTCGTTACTAAAGTTGGTATAACTAGAGAACCAAGTGGTTGGCAACATTCATCTCTTGGGGGGGGTGTCTAACTCGGTGTTACGGTGTGTTTGACCCTAAATTAATTTTACGCTGACATATCCCTTTAAGAGAGTATTAAATTGAAATAGTAAGGAGTAGTTAGATATGTAGATATGGTCCTAGTAGATATCATAATTTGAAATACTGGATTTCTGATTTTCATTAGGTATAAATTAAAATGAAGTTAAATTTTTGCATCTTGTGTAATACAAAGTACAATATTCATAAATCATGACCATCCCCTGCTTTCTTTGAATTTTACTGAGGTCACATATCAAAAGCAGAACTGGGAAAAAACTGCAGCTTCTGACCAAATTTGCTGTTAAGGTGAGAGAGTGTTATCTTACATCAGGTGCTTTTCAGGATATCACACAGAGAAAGAGTCCTTTACTCATGGGTTCCCTCCCACTCTCTACTTTTAAAAAGCCGTATCTGATGACATTTAGCTCAGCTACCCTGCAAACTTCTTTACATTAATGTGACTTCATGAACAGGCTTTGAACCAGGGAACACCCCAAACAAATGACTGTACTGTATGCATCAAACGTCAGTAAAACGAAACAGTATTTGCATGTTTCCCAGGCTCACATAACCTGCGGCTGCATTTCCCTCAAACAGGCTATACTAACAGGGAAACCTCTCTGCCATGCAAACCGGATCATAGCCCTCATAGAGAGGGGGGATTCCCTTTGATATCTGACCATACTACAAACAGTGATACCCCACCCCAAACAAGCTTCATGTAAAGTCTGGAGTTCCCCACAGCTTACAACCTGGCCCACATTTGATCAAACAAATCTCATAAACCTGAGCACTAAAGGGATTTAGTAGTTTGTACAATAAAGATCAGAAAACCACTTATTTGCATGTTGCTCCTAAAAGCTCATTTTATAAGCATGGAGAGAAATCCAGCTTTTACAGCAAACAGTGAATAACATGAAATAATGTGTATCATAGCAAAACAAAGACTGCATTGATCCGTGTAGGTGTGTAAATGCACACTGCATGCAAAGCTGTTGTAGTAAACCGAAAGAGAAGAGAAGAGCTCGTACAGGAATAGAAAACAAGCTGCCACAATTGATTCCAAATGAATTCATTCACATTTATGGCAACAAACAGACAGTTTCACAGACCTGCAGCCAGTGCAGTTTGTAACAGGAATAAGAGACAAAAGATGCAGAAAATAATGAAAAACACTGCATTTTGAAGCTGTGACAAATATGCATCAGGAATGTCAGTAAAGCAAAAAAGAACTGTTATGAAACAGCGGCAGTGCATTCACTTTTTTTCAGGCTGCAACAAGCAGCACAAACTGCAGCCTTCCCTATATGGCTCCACAGGTCCTCTTCTTCCAAACCTCTAAACATAATAAGTTCATCGGAAACAGAAAATAAAAGTCCAGTGTCGGTGGTTAAAATCCAGTGATAGAAAGTTCTCAGTATTTGTTGATCCCAAATATCCGTACTCCGTGGAATTGAGGTAACTTTGGGAGGAGGACACTGAGGAGGGAGCTTGTGTTGATTAGAAAATGTGTTGGATCATATTTTGTGTAGAAACTGGCAAGAATATACCTGCAGAGAAGTTGAGAAAAGTGTAAATGTAGCATCAACGCAGATGAATCAGTTTTGTTCTGAAGCTGCTGCTACCTAACCAAGAAAAACTACAGTATCGAAATAATAAGTCTTATTCCTGATGGTCTTTGCTTTTGTAGGCCTGCACTTGGACAGGTGAGGCAGAAACTTGTCCAAACAAGCAGCCACATACTTACAGAACAATTGGTGAGATGGTGAGGAACTTGCGTGAAGATGTGAACTGGACACCGTAGTCCATCTGTTCCCAGTGTGTGAGCAGACGAGCTTTGCCTTGGTCTGGTGTCTCAAAGGGAGTGCCCTTCACGGTGTGTAGAAACAGGTACATCACCTGCACAAGACCATGATAAACACAGAGTTATGATTAGCAACAGAAAGATAGATTTCTTTCCTGTTACTAATCTGACTATGAAAAAGATATACTCAAAACTTCCCTTGACTAGAAATGGTAATATTAACCCAATTCTGACAGGGAAGAACAGGTTTTACATTTAAATTACAAATGTGAAAGCATACTGACATATTTCTGATTTTTAACTCGAGAGGACAGCTCTAACTGACCAGGTTGTGGATAACATTGGTGAGTGTCCAGACGAGCGGCACGGTGAAGAAAGGAATGCTGAGCAGGACGATGTGCAGCACGACTGTCAGCAGCAGGTAGGTGAGCCATATTCCTCTGCTGTTCATCACCCTTGTGTTGGGGTTCACCTCGCTGTGAGCTACGCCCACGTTCATCTGGAACACAGGCGGGAGAAAAGTGCAGGTTTTAATAAGGTTTAAAACAAATGCTTTTACAACCTTTGTGTTTCTGGATGCCCTGGTTCTCAAAAGTAACACCAGCAAAAAGGCGGAAGAAGTAAACACTGAACAGTCTGCAAAGATAAAGGAGTTCAATTTTTCCTACAATTATATTTAAAAAGAGACACATATAGATCTCCTTTTCCGGCAGGGCCTTGTTCCTGACCTCAGCGATCAGAAAACTGGTTGGTTGATCATGATATTACAGTGTTTGATTGACCAGCCAACTGGTCTCACCTGAACCTCGTTGAGGATCTCTGGGGTCTAATCAAGAGAAAGATGAGATACAATAGATACCACAATAGAAGAGCTGAAGGAGCTATAAAAGCAACCTCAGCTTCTATATCACCCAGCAGAGCCAGAGACTGATCTCCTCAATGCTATATCACATTAATGCATTAATTTGTGCAAAAGGAGCACAAATGAACAAACTTTTCCAGAGGTTCAACATCTCTAGATTATGAACCATTCACTTTGTGTGTGATTAATCTGGAATATATGGTAGTTTACATTTTTGAAGTAAGTAGTGGAAAAAAAAGATCTTTTTTGGGGGGCATACAAACTTCTTGAGCTGCACTTGAAGATTATAAAACCGTGCTGTGCAATGCAAGTAAATGAACTTATCTTTTGATGTGTTTCTGCACTTATATTCTTGTTTTGATGCGATCCTATTTTGATGTTATAGTATCACTGTTGTTTTGCAGTAAATTTGTTCTGTTGTCCACTACAATCTAAATAAAAATATATTTATAAAAATCTAAATTGTAAGTTGTAGTTTTAGCTTTAAAGAGCCTGGAAATCACAAAAAAATTACATTGAAAGACACTTTTTTCTTTGGATCTCAGGAGGATATTACATTTGGTTGCAATTAAGTCTGTCAAAAAACGTAAATATCCTAATAACATAATTACTGGATGAAATTTTTGCTTAATTTTAGCGACTTTGTTTTGCATTTGTAATCAATATTAAAATTTTGTTCTTTAACAATTGCAAAACAAAAACATGTTGACATGAAATTGCTCGAGATTTTTCAATCAAAGTATATCTTTAATTAAACTTATTTGATACTAGTGGTGTAAAACACTAGAATCTGCCTTTTTAAATACATGTTTGAACTTAAATATGCTTTTAAAGAAAGAATAAAGAAAGCATCACAACTGAATCAGGGAAAAGACCCCGCCCGACTGAGCTGCTCTGAATGACCAAACACGCGCTTCCTCTCACAGGACTCCCTAATAACACTCAGCTAACGTTACAGCTAGCCGCAACTTTCAGACACTATGTGATGAAGAAAGCAGGCTTTTATATGGAATAAGGTTATATGTGAAATACTCAATAAGAACATGAGAGTAACCATCAACACAGTGTGAAGACGTTTTAACTCTAGCTCGAGAGTAAACTGTCTACAGGTTAACATGCTAACGTTAGCCCAAAGTTAAACCCTGATGTAACGGCCGCAGACTAAAGTTAACCCTGATGTAGTTCAGAGCTTCAGCTGAACTTTGATGAGTTAGCCTCGCTGGTTGTGCCCTAAAAAACTCAAATATTGACATTTAACCGGAGCAAACTTTACCTTCCTGTGCTGTCGTAGCTCACCAGGAAATTCCTTGTTTTTTCTTTAACTCCGCCTCGTTTAGGTTTGCCCGGTTCCTCTGCAGTCTAAACCTGAGCCGGGGTCCTGACTGACGGCAGGTGGACAGGTGAGAGTCAGGTGGGAAGGGTAGAAACCAGATACAGCAGAAATCTGTTATCTTTCACAAAAAAATCCCCTGATCCCAGCTGTTGTTAACTGTAGTATCAGTAAAATCGATTCTCATGACTGATAAATGTCAGCCCTGTGACAGGATACAAAGGGATGATTTTAACCTGTACTTTCTGTTTTACCATCCACCCTGCAGCACTTTGATATGTTTGCACCAGTTACAGCTGCCCCTTGAGTATAGGATCCTGTATAGTGTAGTAGGTGAGTTCTTTGCATCCTACCAGCCACTAATACAATAAACATACAAAGAAATGACCATCATTGCATAATGCAGATATGCACCACAGGGAATCTGAACTGAAACTCTGATCTTCTCATCAGACTCCTTTACTTTCTCAGTTGATACACTGGCTCAACTTACCCCAGAACTACTATTATGACTTTATTAGTCCTCTCTGCTAAAATGGTGGACTTTTATGCTAGGTTTTTACCGCATGCTGTAGCTCATAGATACCACAATTAAAACATAAAACAAATTTAAAATGATCTTTTTTGGTCTGAACACAATTCTAACAAAACTTATGACAGACTAAATTTACTCTCAAGAGTGAAAAATGTTTTTTTTTTTAGAAATAAATGTCTAACCCCTTCACTCATGTGCTTCTAACCTTCACAGACTCCATGAATTGATGCCCATCTCCAAAATATGTTGGTCACATGATCAATTTCTTTTACCATTTCCAAGCAACAGGGGTTGGATCAACTTACTCTTTGGTTCAATTTACCCCACTCTCCCCTATAGTGTAGTAGGTAAGTCTTGCGCGTTCTACCAGCCACTCACACAATAAACATACCCAAAGATTAATGCATAACGCTTATATGCACCATACAACCCAAGTGAGTGTATTTCTTAATGCATAACTTCATACTCAGCTGTCTTTGTCTTAAAACAGTATAGAGTTGGGAAAAGTCCCTTTTCATTTACACAGAATAAAACCACTTGAAAAATAAAAGAGACTCCAATGCATTTGGTTTTTTGAAAAGCAGTAAAGCATACAACTTGATGTTGAGAAGCAGAGAAATGAAAGGTTGGAGGGATAAAACCAGCAAAGTGTGACAAAAATTACATTTCTGAGGTCTCTGAGTCCCTGCAGATAAGAATGACTGAAACATGTAAAAAACCATTAAAAGGTAACAACTAATGCTAATGAAACTCGACCAAAAGGGGATTGAGGTATCTATAAATATCACCATTTCTCACTCAACAACAAAAATTAAAGGTCAGTAGACTGTTGGTGTGAAAAGGTGGTTAGAAACCAAAGTAAAAAAATTTACCTGTGTTGTATGTCTGTAGTTTTTATTTTCCCTCTGACTAGGTATAGGTTCTCTTTGTGCCACAGCGCTGTATTGTTGTCTGAAAAACATGCTACTTTGTTGCACTCCTTTATCATTATAAATGCTGTCACAGTTTCTCACATGCACACCACTTTGCCTCTGGAAATACTCAGCAGAGCACCGAATACACAGCCAGAAATACTATCTATCACATAGTTCATAATGGGGGCGACTCATTAGCTGCTCTACTCTCGTAAAACTAATGAAATCCATCCACAGTGGTACCCTGCCTTCCAGGCCCTGATTGGCAACCAATCAGCCAGTTCAGATTGATTTACAGACTGTGGACAAGAATGCACAAGACACATGATCATCCCCAGGCAAGAATTTACTACCGTATTTGAGCTTTTCCCATCAGTGGGATACTATGTGTCTGAGGGCCCTGAATCCCCGACACAATCTCCTACGGAAGGTGCAGAGGGGTGTGAAGAGTCAGAGCACATTCAGAGATGACCAAAAAATACTATTAATTATTTGATTCAGCATTAAAATCATGTTCCTTCTGTGAAGGAGGTGATGTAACATTATATTTGCACTATTACAGCATGTAATCAAATGAGTTCTGCATTATTGGCTACGGTCCTTTCCCTATTTGTCAAGCAGCAGCGGGTAAAATGGAGATTTATGATTGCAGACAGTTCCATGTGTCTTGCAGTATGTATGTCAGCATGTGTGATGTTTGCATTTGAAATGAGGCCGTAGTAAAGTTACGTAATTTTGAAGAAACTGGGTGTGTGTGTGTGCGTGTGTGTGTGGTGAGTTCATTACAAATAAGAGTCAATTGTCTATTGTGACCCTTTACCCTCTTATCTTTTAAGTACAGACTGGAAATGATATCATAAATCTGAAAAGTGGCTTTCAGTTACATGCTGACTGACCTTCCTGTTTAATAATCTTCACTTAATAATGTGAAGTACCAATGCTGTTATCCTCTGATTTCAGAAGTACTGCTATCAGACCCTACACAAAATCTAAAATTGACAGTAACTTCTTCCTTTATTTTTTCTTGTCTTCCCTTTCTTTAGCTTTTCCCCCTTCTTCTTCATTTCAAATGTTTAAAAAAATATGCTAATTCTTAATTTAGTGCCAGCAACAAATTTCAAGTAAGTTAGGACAGGAAGCAAAAAAAAACCCTCCCTATTAATTAGGTTAATTTGCAACAGGTTAGAAATATGACTGTGTATTAAAAGGTCATCCCCAGACAGGTTGAGTTTCTTAGAAATAAAGATAGTAAGAAATTGGCCACTGTATGAAAGACTGTATGTGTGAACAGTTCAACAATCCCCGAATAATGTTCCTAGAAGTAAATTTGCATTTGATCATTTACACATGATGCCATTTAACGGTTGAAAGAGACAACACTGAGAGTCAATACTGTTGACCATGCTCTTCAAGTTCCTCAGACAGTTTTGCATTAAGAATAAATATGTCTAAAGGACAAAATCCATATTTTATCTGCATTGCAAATTCTCTGTAAAATTAGTGTGTTGATCAGTGAAAGTTCCTGTACGTTCTGATGAGTCTGTTTTATTTTCTTGACTCTTCTTCCTCCTTTTGAGTTTAAGTGCTGACTCTGCTGACAGTAACTGTTATTTCTAATATTTTAGTATTTCTTCCCTTTGATGTATGTTTTATTATCTTTTATTTGTAGTATTTTTGAGCTGTGCCTTTGTGCACATCATTTCATCCTGATATTCTGTCACTTAGATTGAAAAACTCTTTAAGATTTTAATGACTAAAAGCACTGAGCATAAAGACAGAGCGGCTGACACTCAGCAGCAGGTGTAAACTTGGTCAATTTAGAGTCCAGATGGAGGCTGATAAACAGAATTGTGGATATGAATTCTCTGATAGCAAACTTCCTTGTTGAGCAACCCTGTACACAACAGTGAGCCACTACTGCTTCCTCTTTAGACCTGATGCCTTTCTTTTGTTTGCTCTGAGGTGTTGTTTGTATAAATACATCATCAGTGAGAGGGAAGTGGAGCAAGCGGCGGCTTTAGCGGAAACACTGCCTGTGGGTGGAAGTATGCAGGAAGCTGTGGATGTCCAAAGAGCTGCAGAATCTTTTAGGAATCTACAGCTTCCTCCTCATGTCTGTGAGCCCTTGTCAGGGAGTCAGTTTTGGGAAATTTACTCAAAGAAAAAGAAAAGTACTCAGTGAAGATTAACCTTAAAACTGTATTTCATAGGAAATGTTGATCCTGATTGTTTTCAGTGGAAAGAACAGCTCCCAAAAAAATAATCATATCTTTTATCAGGCACAAGATTATGATTAAAATCACATCATTTATTATTCACTTTGTTTGTGTAACACATTCAGATGACATTCATAGAAATGACAAAGCATGATTCATTTTGATAAATATAAATAAATACAATAAATATCATTTGAATAAATACATCATTCAGACAAAGTTCCATTGGAAATACTTTCCATGCGACAAGAGTGAAAACACTTTTGTAGATCATCAGCCCCTGAAAGCCGTACAAGAGACTTCGATCAATATGATCAAACAAAGACTTTTTTTAACATCTTCAATGCATTTTTAAGCTCTACATGCACTTCTGAGCCGAGCCCTCTGAGTGATGAGCCGGATCTCCGACAGCGAAGACTCGAGCACTCAGGATGGAGAAAGAGAAGAGCCTGTCCAAGGTGTAGTGGCAGAGGAGAGGCTCCTGCCAGGGATGGAGGGACTGAGAGTCATCCAGACTGGCGTCAGACTCCTGCAGAATCAGAAAAAAATAAACAAAAAAACATGAATTAAAGCTGTAAGGCTTCTGAAGCTGTTGTTAAAAAATATGAAAGTTTGTTGGACTTTTATTTGGGGGATTGAGCTCACCTCGTGGTGCTCCATCCCTGCCCTGGACCTCACACATATGCTCACATCTCGGTGGAAGTTGATCAGAGCCGGTTTCACTTTATTGGCAAACTGTGAGCAGCTTTCGAATTTGGATATCTTCTCCACATAAGCATCATAATTCCTCAGGACCTCAAGCATCTTCCCAATGCATGTCTGAGGAAGGAAAGGCACTTAGTAATCACAGGAACCCACTGTCAAGCCCATTAAAATACTGTCTCTTATGACTATTTAAAGTGAAAAAGCGATATTTGGTGGTTTTGTTACATACCGATGACTGCTGCTGGAGGGCCTCTGGGTTGCACATGTCTTTTGCCTCCATCCAAGCCAGTGAAGTGGTGAAATTTGATTCAGATTTGTCACCATTTCGAGCCTGTGGTCCATCAGAGACAAATACACTCGGTTTGCATTTCATTGAACAACAAAAAAACGTATGCTTAAATTATTGCTACAAATAATAATAGTAATAATGATAATAGGAGAAGTTCACACTTGATACAAAATAAAATAAATATCATCTCATATGTTTGCAGAACTGCCTCAGATTTGAGAACAGGCAAAAACATAATTGTAAATCCTATAACGTTAATAAGACATTAAAACAATTTTAAAAAATTACATGTATACCTCAATTGATGCAATCTTGGCTTGCTGATTTAGCTCCATCGAGCTGCGCTTTACATCTGCGCATGCGTCCTGCACTCCATACCTGGACGGAGCGCACGTTACAGCCGCGAGGAGCCAAAGAAGAGCCGCAGCAGAAGTCCTGAAGCCAAAAGTCATGATGAAGACAGTTAACGTTGGGATGAATGAGTGTGTGACCGTGGGTTCGTCTCTCCGGTGAGTGTTTGGTGCTCTGTGATGTGAAGGGACTCGGACCACTTTTTAAATGTGAGGATGAGCGCTGGAGTGGGCGGTGAGTCAGTGAGGGTTTTCCTGGGCACCCCTCGGGTGAGTTCATGTTGAGTGCAAATCAAACAAGCTGGACGACACTGCGAGGGTTGTGTGAGAAACATGAGGTCATAGATGGATGTGTGACCTAATTGTTTATATCTGAAAAAAGGGAACAAGACTTAGCCCATGTGTTGTAATCCGTCTTCACAAGGAAATTAATCACATAAGGGCTAATTGAGAAATCAAGAGAATCTGTAATGTACTTTCAGGATGTGATGTGCTGTTTTCTGATCCCCAGTACAATTTAACAACGATGAGCTTAACTTTTAACTGAAAGAAATTAATATTTTCATCTTAATGGTTCACACAAATAGTCCAAACATAAACAAGGACATGTGATAGACAATCATCTATGACAGTGAAGCTCTAATTAAGATATAGGCTCTAATCAGGTTTCACATCTATGAATGTGGCAGGAAGTGAGACTAACCTTTACGTTTCAGGCTGATAATAAGCTGAATTCATCACACACACTGGACAAACTTTCCATCATGCGTCTGCAGCCTGCCCCTCCTCAATTCCAGAGAAAGACTTCTCAGAGGAATCTTTTTTTCAGGTTTATAGAAAATTACTCTTCCTTCATCTTCCTACTTGTTCTTCCTTGTTCTTTAGAGCTATAATGTAGATGTACCCCTGCTGCCTATATCACACACATGCTGCTCAGGTAAGAGGTGTGTGTACAATAACTCGCAACGTGTAGTTTAGACATAACCAGCTGTGATTTGGTTTATGATTACAATAAAGTAAACTGAATTGACTGGTAAGGAAGCAACAACTACAGACTTCATTTGAGGGATGATTTTGTCTACATTAGATGAGATTAGATTTACTTTTATTCATCCCTCAGTGGGGAAATTAAAATTGTTATCAGCAGTAGTACACAAAAAAATACACATTCACACTGGGTACAAAAATAAGCAAATAAATGAGATAAAAGAACTAATGAAAAAAAAAGAAGAGAGCAGCACAAGGGGAGAACAGTATTAAGACAAATGTAAGAAAAATATTAAGAGAAAAATAAAAATAAGATAAATATTTTACATTTTGAAGAGAATTTGGCACAGTGTCTTTCTAAAACTCTTGATAATCTATACGTCAAAGTACTGTAGTGGTTCATATCACCTGCCGAAATTTGAAAAGCTGCAAATCCTGACCTTTCTCATTAGCATCAAGCAGCAAATCCTGTTAGTTTGAGAATTTTCAAGAATTTTGTGTGGTGACCCTGAAGGTCAAACTTTTCAAGGCTACGAAAACATTAAATAAAACTGAAAATCTTTTCAAAGTCCTATCATATCTTTGATTACAACGTCCTGTACACGTAGAAGTTATTTTTTAATTGCTTGACCAATTTTGACAATGAAGTATATCACCCACTTTTGAAAAAAGTATGTTTTGTCCACACTCCTAGTACTTCAGGTATCAAAAATTACCTAATAGAAATAATATATAGTCTGATTCATGATTTTGTTTTCTTTTAAGGTTCATTAAGAGCCATCAGTTAAAGTTAAATCATTAATTGTTCAAAGTTAATCACAACACCTCTGTCTAGAAGCACCATGGTGCTTTCAGGGCCGCTGGAAGAATCTGGAGCCCTGTGTGACTTACTGTACTTCATTAATGTATATAGCTTAGCTCAGTAAAGTTGTTTCATCATATTATTTGCACCGAAAAATATACAGAATCTAGACGGTTGAAATTAAGTAAAAAAAAAAAAAAACCAGGCGTCTAATAACCGTCTATTTCTCAGTGGGAAATATTAGCATTAGACTGCAAATACATTTCTCTGTCGTCTGTAGAAATATAGTTTCAAGACAGGGCCTCGCTGACAATTTATTTATGCTATAATTAGTACATTTTCAACTGTCTGGGCATTTGTTTTCATTTGTCTGTGTTAGATAATGAAAAGTATGCGTTTTTGTTCCGCTAAGAAGAAAGTTGTCAGAATTTCGGAGCTCTAGGTTGTCCTTGAACGAAACCCATTTTGCCCCGGAAGTGTTCTCTTTTTTGTATCTGTGTTTTTGTTGTGAATGAAGTGAGCATGGACTTCTGTGCGGTAAATATCACAAGAGTAGGTTAGTGCAAATTTAATATTCATTCTTTAGTCACAGAAGTTAGTTATGTGTGTTGTTTTGGTTGGAGAAACTACATGAACGTGCAGGGAGCGTTAGCATTAGCTGAATTAGCAAACTGCCCGTTAACACCACACAACACAACGGGCAAATTATCCAAAATAAGATGCTTCCTGCGTTAACTAAGCAAGTTAGCACACCATAATGTATGCTTTTTTGTAATAAAATAGTTAATTTTAACTCTTAAGGCTATTGCCACAAAGTTATCTCTTATGGAGTAAGCTACAGCTAACATCAAAGTCAGCTGGAACCAAACACGAGTCACTAAAACTAGGTTTTTCTGTGTTTGTGGTCTCTTTGCAGGTTGATTTATTATAATCCATGATGAATTTTGACGGTCTGGACACTGGGATGGGTGAGTACCCAGCCAGCCTTCACGGGACTCTGGACGCGGGGATGGAGCCCTCTATGGACCCGCACCTCAACCCCAGCCTGCTGCAGGGAGTGGAGCTTGATCCGGAGGGTCTGGCCGTGACAGTCCCCGAACCTGTGCACCTGATGGAGGGGATGTTTTCTGAGTTGCACAGTGCGGTTTCAGAGGTCGGCATCCCAGTTACTGCGACACATTTTGATCTGCAAGAAGAGATGCTCTGGATGGGGAACCACAGAGTGAGTATGAACTGTGATGGACTTTTGACTGAATTATTGAATGAATGAATCCTCAGTGGGTCGGGGAAAATATGAAACAAGATCACGTGTCACGTGCTGTGGTTGATTTGCAAGTCCTGTCCCTGTAGGGGTTTTTAAAACTAGCACGTGCACAATTAAACACTGTAAATCAGGAAGTTAAAGATTGTGCATGATTGCATATCTGAGTCCTCTTTGAGTTTGAGTTTGAATTGAACTTAAGGTGGACTAACTGGATGGTCAAGTTAGCATATTTAATTTAATGTCAACAATATGATCTTATGGGCTTCCTATTAAAGTCTGTAATGTCTTTATTTGCTGATATCATCATGGGCTTGATCGTTTGGGGTGCTGCTCAAGATAAGAAGATTAAACAACAACTTAGAATGTTACTGAAACTTCCAAGTTGCTCTTAGTTTTAGGGAGATAAGCAGTATTTTCTCAGAATTAAAGGGTTATTCCAGCATAAAATTAGACACCACTTGAGAGATGAATGTTGCTGACTGCTTCCCTTTGTAGTTACATCAACTTTAGTAATAACTCTATAGCCACAAAAAACAGCACCTAACTTCATCATCAGTACATGTAGGGTCCCAGCCATAGTACTAGCCACCAAACATCTTTTTAACTTTGCCTAATTTCTTTAGCAAAGAGACTAAACACAACTCACCCACTCTCTTCCAGCAGCCGCTTGTTTGTACGGAGACCTCCAGGCGAGTCCATTGACTGCAGCGGGGTGTCACAGCTCAAGGAAGAAGATTTATGATAATTTCTTCTACTGTGTCTGCAGGGCAAAATGATTAATATGGTGATTATTACTTCAAGGAAATGATAAAGTAATGATTATAAATGTCCTTCTTCGAGCTGTGTCACCCCGCTGTAGTCCGTAATGGACTGGCCTGAGGTCTTGCCACAAACAAGTGGCTGCTGGAAGAGGGTAGGTGAGTTGTGTTTAGTCTCTTTACTAAAGAAATTAGGCAAAGTTAAGAGGATGTTTGGTGGCTGGGACCCTATAAGTCCTGTTGATGAAGTTAGGTGCTGTTCTGAGCATTATTTGTGACTATAGAGTGGCGTTTTGATTGAGGTTTGTTTATGGCTCCTCAGACTTCTGTGTATTGCTATCCTGTGGTAGTTACTAAAGTTGGTATAACTAGAGAAGCAAGCGGTCAGCAACAATCATCTCACAAGGGGGTGTCTAACTCTGTGTTATGGTGTGTTTGACCCTAAATTAATTTTATGCCACAATATCCCCTAACTTGTGTTTTTTTAGGGTCATGTAACGTCATTCTTTGGACCCACAATGGTGCGCCATTCTTCTTTCCAAGTGCATGCAGCAGACGACATCAGACACATCCAGAGTTTGGAAACAGGCGTCCTCTTCCTCTCCAAGACCAACCTCAAATGTCACACTCGTGGGGGTCTTGTAATGTTTGATTACCCGTAAGTGATGCTCTGTAATATCTGTGGCACATGATCTTGTGCTGAGAGAGATTGCAGACAAAGTGCAGCTTTAAATTCTTAAATTCTCTCTTATAGTTAATCAGTTAGATTTTGTTTCATAAATATGTTTCTGTGTGCTTTAGGATGGAGGAAGGTGCAGATATGCACAGTCTCCTTATGACAGATAACAACACCTTGCTTATGGGTGGATTACAAAACTATGTGGTGGAAATGGACCTGAATTCAGTTCAAGAAACTCAGAAGGTGAGACTGGAGGACTGCATCACAGTGTCCCAACTGAAATTTCCTCTTAAACGTGAAATTAATGGCTTATTTTGTGCTCACAGTTCAATGTTGAAGTACCTGGAGTGGCGATAATGCGTCAGACAGGCCGCTTCTTCTTCTGCGGGCACACGTCTGGAAAGGTTTGAGATTTCTGTTTGTTGATTTAAAAAAAAAAAAAACAGCTCTAGTTTCGTCTTTACTCAATGCTCAGATCAACTTTCTCCATAAATCAGGTGACCCTGCGGGATTTGCGTAGCTTCAAGATGGAGCACGAGTTTGACGCCTTTTCCGGCAGCCTCTCGGACTTTGACGTTCATGGAAACCTTCTGGCTGCATGCGGGTTCTCCAGCAGAGGACTAAATGGGATGGCGTGTGATCGTTTCCTCATGGTGTACGACCTCCGTATGATGCGAGCGGTCACGCCGCTGCAGGTGCACGTGGACCCTCTCTTCCTGCGCTTCATCCCTACCTACACCTCACGGCTGGCAATCATCTCACAGACAGGTATCTGCAGTAGTGATTATAAACTTTAAGCAATTAACTGCTGATATTTCATTAATATCATGCATTGGTTTGAGAGAGTAGGATTTTCTGTACATGAATACATGTCTTGAGTTTGTGAGAGTTTTCTTAATAGCAATAGTTGCTGTAAAAGCTGTATGTGCGAGTATTCAGCAACGTTTTCGTCTTACTCACTCAGGTATTTAAAAGATTTTGTCATGCAGCTTGTGAATAACGACTCTCCTCCTCTTTCTCCAGGCCAGTGCCAGTTCTGCGAGCCGACTGGTCTCGCAAATGTCGCTGACATTTTTCATGTCAACACCGTGGGCCAGCTGCTCATGAGTTTTGACGTGTCGTCCAGTAAACAAGCCCTGGCTTTCGGGGACTCTGGGGGATGTGTTCACCTGTGGTCTGATGCTCCAGAGGTTACTTATAATGACTACTCTCGAGAGACGGAGTTTGCCCTGCCTTGCCTCGTGGACAATCTGCCTCAGCTGGACTGGAACCATGACCTGTTGCCTCTTTCGCTCATCCCCATGCCGCTGACCAGCACCGAGCAGCTGCTGTCAGACTGGCCCTCCTCACTGGCTACACCTAGTCCAAGGTAACACAGACACAAAAGCTTTGTCTTTACCTCACAGGCTCTGCTTTGCTGGTGTAAACATTCACTTGTAAACAGTCTCAGTTTAATCATCTATTCTCTCTAATTTGAGAACTTTAACGATCTAAACTGTATTTTTAAAAATTACTGAGCAGCTGTGAGAAGAAGTAAAGTCTTTCTGCATTTTCCAAGACTTATTTCTTCAGAAGGAACCAACAGGCTTGAAAACTCCACAAACCAGAAAGGGAAGTTGGAAAGAATTGAGTGACAATGACAAGAGTCATTGTTGGTTTTTTCTTTACAATTGCAGAACTGCCTAATATGGCCCGCTGTATCTACTGATGAGTTAAGCAATTTCACAGAAGGAAACAATAACACCAAACTCCCTGGAGTCAGCCAGTTAGTGAAGGAAGTCAGTGTGGATGAGTCAGCGGTGTTATGTAATGTCATTTTTATAGCCTTTTATGAATAAGTTATGTGAGTAATCAACCAAACTTTAACCTGCTGGTCCCAATTGGTAAATGACATGTATGACATGTATTTAGTTTGATCAATGAGAATAAAAGCATTTCTTCAGGCAGGGTTATTAAATAAGATTTTACAGCACAAGTGATGTGTTATAACGTGAAGATGTCTCCTAATGTGCTCAAAGTCCAGTTTAAATTAAATAGTCTAAATTACATCTTTTATAATTGTACCTCTGAAGATGGCACAGCACTCTAAGACGTGATATTGAAGCACACCTTCGACTGTCAGTGTGAAAAGGTTTGATGAGAAATAAGTGGATCAATGGGTTGTAAATTAAGGCCCGGTGTATCAAACCGCCTTATTAAAGTTACTGACATTATTTAGCCATTATTTATTTAATAAAGAGGTTTTTTTTGTTTCACAGACGAGCTCCTCCTGTGGACCCCGAAATCCTGCGCACAATGAAAACTGTCGGATTCATCGGTTATGCAGCAAATCCTCGTACTCGCCCTCGTAACCAGGCATGTAAAACAAAAACATGAATTATTTACACTTATTACAGTTGATCCTCTTTTGCACAGGAAAAATACTAAATACTTAAATACACTGGCTGCTCTTGTTTTGCATCAGTCTCTGTCTCCTATTGTCCGCACATTTTGAAAATAAATTTCTCTTTTGTGTTTTCATTCTTGTTTCTCTTCACTTTTTGGATATACTAAAACAGTTTTCCCTTTTGGTTTTAGGTTCCCTACAAAATAAAGGATGTGGAGCTTGATTACGACAACTACAACCAAGTTCCTGAATCACCAATCGGACGTGATGAAGAGCCACACTTATACATGGTGCCCAAAAAGTACAGAAAGGTCAGACTTGTAAAAAATTTTTTTTTTTATGGATGGAGTGTCTGTACACAAAAAAAGGAAAGTGAAACAAATGTTTGTGTTCCTCTGCCCGTCTATCTTTGAGTTTTTATCATGTTTGGGTGTTACAGTCAGTTGTATTTCTTTTTAAGTCAGCTGACATTAGTGAATATAGTATTTCCCATATAAAATTAACAGATTTAAAATCAACAACTTTTCACGGTTCACTCCTAACTTGTCATGAAAAACTATCAGGTCTTTGTTTTTCAGTTTTACAATTACGCCCAGCAGTGTGCTGAATAAGTGTTCTTCATCTGATTGAAGCGTATGAGTATGGAGTCACTTAAATAAAGAGGAAAAAGATGAAAACTCTCAACATGGATGTTAAAAAAAACTCATTTTTTCTCTAAGAATACGACCTGGTTGACTGGATAGACTGAATGCGAGATTTTGAAGGCATTTCCTCTAACCCTGAGCTGCAACATGATTTGTTCTTAATTGGCAAAGTTTCCTAAGATGTTCATTTTTACATTTTTTTTGCGAGGAAGTTTAGAGTTATTATATTTCTTCTTTTGTTTTACAGTAATCTGGTTTCTCTTCTGAACATAACTGTAATTTTCTTTAAAGTTTGCGTGCCTGAATAAATATATAATCATATATTTCTTATCGATCAGGTCACAATCAAGTACTCCAAACTTGGACTGGAGGACTTTGATTTCAAACACTACAACAGAACTTTGTTCGCTGGTCTGGAGCCTCATATCCCCAACGCCTACTGTAACTGCATGATCCAGGTAAAGACATGATGTTTTGATGAAATGTAATTGACTCCTGCAAGATTTCACAAGGCAGAGTTATTATTCTGATTTTCTTTGTGTTTGGCCTTCAGGTTTTATATTTCCTGGAGCCGATCCGGTGTCTAGTCCAGAATCATTTGTGCCAGAAAGAGTTCTGTTTAGCCTGTGAGCTCGGCTTTCTCTTCCACATGCTGGATTTATCTCGAGGAGATCCATGCCAGGTAGTTTTCTCTCAGTATTATCTAAAAAATTGGTAATTTAAGTCAACCAGAAGGGTTTAAACATCCCTTTCTCTTTTTTTTAAAGGCCAGTAACTTCCTCAGAGCGTTTCGAACCATCCCCGAGGCCTCAGCGCTCGGCCTGATCCTCGCTGACTCAGATGAGCAAACAGGGAAGGCCAGGCTCGGTCGCTTAATCCAGAGCTGGAACCGCTTCATCCTCACTCAGCTGCACCAGGAGACTCAGGAGCAGGAGGGCCCGCAGGCCTACAGGGGAGCCAGCAGCAGGTCAGAGCGGCCAACACAAACATGTTACTGTTGTGACAAACCGCTTCCTGAGACAACAGTCTTTATAAAACAAGAACAAAGTCTGGAGATGCTTTAAGGACTTTGAGGAAAATGTAACCCCCCCTCTGTGTTTGTTGTTACAGCTCTCTGGGCTCCTCTGGTGAGTCAGAAATTGGGAAACTGTTTGGATGTGAAGTAGAGAACAGCAGTCTGTGTCGCTGTGGTAAGGAGACGGTCCGCACCTCCCTCACGTTGCTCTTCACTATGCATTACCCTGAGCAGAGCTCTCAAGGTGAGTTTCAAGCCCTCTTTCTGTGCTGCTGCACATGGGTAATTTTGTGCTTCTCACACCTGGCACTGAAAAACTGATGTATGGATAGCCTGGTTCAGATAAATCACAGCGAAGCACTCGTGCTATTTGCTCACTCGACATTCATCTCTTTTTGACTCTTCAGACAAAGTGATAAAAGAATACGACTTTGCCGAGATTTTGAAGAAGAGCATCTGTCTGGAGCAGAGCACTCAGGCCTGGTGTGAAAACTGCGAGAAATATCAGCCCACAGTGAGTAATAGATCCCATTCAGACATGACATCAACAGACAATACATCTGGTGTCTCATTTCAGGTTATTCTGTATCATAAGAGCGTCTCATTGTTTTACTTTAGGTGCAGACACGCAACATCCGCTGTCTGCCTGATGTCCTGGCCATTAACTGTGAGGTGAACAGCGCTAAAGAGGCCGAATTCTGGAAAGTTCAAGCAGAGGTTAAACTCATTTTCATTTTTTCCGCTTCCTGCCAAGTTTGAAATACTCACTCAAATGGATTCCTGACAAACTGGTTGTAGAACAATGTCATTATCTCTGATTTTGTTTACAGTACGCTTTCAATAAGGCGATGCAAAAAGAGGCAATGGAACCGCCTAAACCTAAAGAACCGCCGCCGCCCATGCCCACTGAGTGGTGCCTGGAGTAAGAAACCTCTACTCTGATGTCGAACAGTATTCCAGTCTTTGAGTTTTCTCTAAAGCTCCTGTGAGGAGTTTTTTAATGAATATGAAATAGACTGAAATTCATATTTAAGTCTATTCATTCATGTCAATTTGTCGCAGTTTTTAACGCCTCTAGTCTTACACTTAAACAGACTAAAATTTGGGGGTTTTGGATGATATTTTTAACACATAAAACTGAATTCAATTGTATCCTTATAACCCTCCTCACTCGATCTTGTGTCTTCATCATCCTCATAGTGGGGAGGATTGCAACATGGAGGGCTTCACCTTTGATACACGGGCGGAGGATCTGCGCCACGTCTGGATCCCTCTCACTCTCAAGATGTCCATCAGTAAGAGTCAGGGCCTGGAGATCAGCAGCTGGCCTGAAGGAGAAGAGGTAAGAGGGGAACATGCTGACTGTGTTACTGATTGAGCTTTAATGTGACTGTAACTCATGACTCACTTCACGGTCTCTGATCAGTTAAGCGCTACAGAGGAGGCGGAGGGAGCTTCTCTCTATGACTTGGTGGTCACGGTTCCTCACGTCCTGGATGCTCGTACAGGAGGAAACTTGGTTGCACACATCAAAGTAGGAGAGACTTACCATCAAAGGAAAGAGGTGATACTGGCTCACACCTAGTGATACGATCTTTAATGACTTTTTACGTGTCACATGAACTTTGAAAATAATGTTACGTGGACTCTGTGTCAATATTGAAACAATCTTTGTTTCAGGGAGTCACTCACCAGCAGTGGTACCTCTTCAATGATTTCCTGATTGAGCCGATTGACAAGGTAAACATTTTCATCGCTTTGAACTCGGCTAATGAAATATTAGGTTTCACATGATTTTAAGTGTGGTTTCATTTGTTCGTCACAGACCGAAGCTGCTCAGTTTGACGTGAGCTGGAAAGTACCAGCTATTTTATATTACGCCAAGAGAAACCACCACACCAAATACGACCTCCGCAGTAAGTTTAAGAACCTTTAACCCTGAGGCTTCACTCTAGGGTAAAGCTCATTAACGCACATGCTGATGCTCTGCTGTATATCTCAGTTAAAAACCCCATCGATGCCAGCGTGCTGCTGACTGAGGCGTCTTTGGCTCGGAAGCAGAGGAAGAGTCACGCCACCTTCATTCCCCTCATGGTCAGTGAGATGCCGCAGGCTGGAGACCTGGTGGGCCTGGACGCTGAGTTTGTCACACTTAACCAGGTGAGTGAAGATGTACTCATTTAAGTGAAAATTTCAGTCGCTTATTCAGGCTGTCGGGTGTTGCACTTGAATATGCAACAGAAAAGGGACAAAATATTTCTCTGTTATTGAATCGAAGCTCCTCACTCATGTTCATGTCTTTGCAGGAAGAGGCAGAGCTGCGCAGTGACGGCACAAAGTCCACCATCAAGCCCAGCCAAATGTCTGTGGCGAGGATCACCTGTGTGAGGGGTCAGGGCCCCAACGAGGGGGTTCCCTTCATCGACGACTACATCTCCACTCAAGAACAGGTGAGAGATCAGAGCGAGCAAAACCCACTTTTTCATTTAAAGCTCTTCAAACAGCCGCTCATGTTCATCCTTGACTCTCCTGAATGTTTCCTCCTCTCAGGTGGTCGACTATCTGACTCAGTATTCGGGCATCAAACCAGGAGACCTGGACGCAAAGATTTCCTCCAAGCATCTGACCACGTTGAAGTCCACCTACCTGAAGCTGCGCTTTCTCATTGACACAGGAGTTCGCTTTGTTGGCCACGGTTTACAGAAGGACTTCCGGGTTATTAATTTGCTGGTGTGTTTTTCACAGCTTGTAATTAGTTTGTTGAGCCTAAAAAATCCCCTCTTAAGTATTTTTCCTGGACTTAAATTTCTTTGTTTTTTTCTTTTTAGGTTTTGAAAGACCAAGTCATCGACACCGTCTACCTGTTTCATTTACCCCGCAAGAGGATGATCTCTCTGAGATTTCTCGCCTGGTACTTTCTAGGTATGTCAAGGCTACACCAATTAGCATTTTTCTAGTAACATTCACTCTGTAATGTGAGAGGGAAGTACCAGAGTTACTGAAAAATCACACACTGCAGCTTCCTTAACACTTCAGATAATTGACTTGCCTGAAGCCCCTTTTACAATCACTGCCTTGAATGTTATCACCTTTCAAAGAAAAACAAAAGTAACGCAGTCAAACCTGCTTGCTCAGCACCAAACAGCAGAGAAAGGCTGTTAGTGAAGCTTGAGCAGCTGAAGAGTGAAAATTTCTCTCACATATCAGTGGTGGACTAAAGGCAGAGCTAAAAGAAAGCAAATATTTGACTTATTTTGGCGAAAACACGACTCAGTTGATTGATGTGTTATTCAAGAACTGTTTGCTTACAAGTGAGTTGTATAAACTGGAATTAGGAGGAGCGAAGTATGTTATTACAAGATAGAGAGGTGAACTGTTGAGATGACTGCAGCCCGGGTTCAGAGCTGATGCTGAGAAACTCCCACAGATGCTTTTCTGTCCTGTTTTATTCATGATGTTTTAGACTCTTAGTGCTGATTATCTCCATTATGTCCTTCTGCTTCTCTCCTCCAAGACCTCAACATCCAGGGCGAAACCCACGACAGCATAGAGGACGCTCGCACCGCCCTGCAGCTGTACAGGAAGTACCTGGAGCTCAGTCGAGGAGGTGGGACCGACGAAGTGAGGAAGGTCCTGAAGGGACTTTACGAAAAGGGCCGCCAGCTGGACTGGAAAGTCCCAGACTCGGACGCAGGAGATGGTCAAGGTAGCCCAAAAAGTACGACACTACATTGAATGAGACGTCAGTGAGGGATCAGTCGCTTCACAACAGTCTCTCTGAGCGGATTGATACCTGTCTTCTTCCTCCAACAGGTGCCGCTGTGTTTCCCTCTGTGATGGGACTCTAAGCTGCACCAAGACGCCACCACCCCAGACTCCAGACTGACCACTGCTTGTGGAGTTAGCATCATGTTTTTTAATTATTTCCTTTAATTTTCCATCATGTACAGTGTTTATGAATGTTAGTGTTTGTACAGTCTGCTGTTACTCCATGACCAAACAATTTTGATCATGATTTGATTTGTACCGCTTTTCAAAATAAAAGTTTTACCTTTTTTATGATTCAGATGTTGATCTTTTTGAGCGCAGCATCTCTTTGGACTAAAGCCTAATGAATAAATAATAACATCGTGAGAGCTAGAAGGTTAGTTGAGTGACGCCAGCAGGAAGTAAGAGACACGTTTCACTTAAATCCATAACAGCCTGCTCTTTATGGTGTTTCAGAGAAGTCTAATCAAAAAGGTCATTGTTGTTTTCACGCCATCTTTGAAGTTCGTAGCTTCCAGCATACTTGGTTTCACTTTTGCTGGTTCATTTTCCTGACAGGTTGGGTAACATTTACTGGCACTTCCAGAGTGATGTAATTACTCGATCTGCATTTTGAACCTTCAGCATGATGATCGCATTGCTCCCCGTTCTTTGAAAAATGGTTTTGCATAGTTTTGTTTAAAGGAAACAGAAAACAAAATAAGAACTACGTGTTGCACAAAGAGGTGGCGAACAGATTTTCAAAAGGTCATTACTAGAAATGTAAACAAAACTATGAACACCTGTGTGTATTAGAATAAAGTGATGCAAGATTGTGTTTTTTCTTTGGGATGTGGTGCCTTTGCAGTTTCAGGGCAAACTCACTTTAACTCATCTGAGTCAGTCTGGGATTTACCAACCTCTAAGAGTCTTTAAGAGGGGTCCGGTAGCATTACCCCTTTTTAAATCTACCCAAAAAGAGATCTCTGTGTCTTCTCAACTATGGGATGGAGCCCTGAAGGTTAAAAAAAAACAACAGCCAGGTCAGCATTCCGGTCTCAATGAGGTGGTGATTTTATTAATCAAAAAAAAATGTGAGGGAAACTAAACAAAATGTCTAACCAAGGAAGAAAACTCCAGCCTTACACACCTGGAAACGGCTGGCTGCTCTTTTTAAAACACACTGAAAGAGCTCCACACTGAGCACTCAGGCACAGGTGAACTCACTTGACGTAATCAGGGTGCTGTGGGGAGAGCGGGTCAGTGAAAAGGCATGAGGAAGCCTTCTCACAGGTCCAAACATTAACATACTTTAAATACATATACTGGACATGAGGGTAAGACAAAGCACCTGGACAGGTAGTAGATGGTTTTATTGAGCAGTGTGTCAGTCCTTTTTAGACTTGAATATCAATAAAACAATTACTGTTAATACTTTATTGCCTTTAACAGAGTGAAATTATGAATGCAGGTATTCAAAGGCAAGATGACTTTATTTATATAGCACATTTTATACAGCAAGAGGGCAATTCAAAGTGCTGAAATGTCCAGAAGTTTCCTTCGTTCTTTATTTCCCGTCTTACATGATTGGACAAACTGATTGATCCAGGTGTGTCTAATTAGTCACACCTGGATTAATCAATTCAAGCAGCCTTAAATTCAGGCAGTAGTGGAGCTGTGCATAGAGTCCATTAAGTTCCTGTCCAAACCTCTGTGTGAAAAGTCTAATTGTATTATTTTCTTATAGTAATTGCGCCCTCTGCTGGCTGCAGAGTCATTGACTGATTGTCTATTTAATTTGATCAGTATTTGAGTCACCTGTGTTGCTTTACACTTGTCGTAGTGGAGGTCTTTCCAACATGTTTTAATCAGTTCAAAGTGAAGTAACTTGCAGCATATGGAGTAAAAAAAGAAGGTTTGCGTGATTGTCTGTAACTGCTGAAAAAACAAACATGCACATTCAATATTGCAAACTGTTTATTTGTAGTAAATGAAAAGTGTGCAATTCAGTGAGTGGGAGAAAGAGAGGGGAGTTGGGGACGGTTGATGTCTTTGGTCCATAATCTGGTGGAGGGGATGTTGAAGAATCAGCGGGAGACAAGAAAAGGCACTTGAGTTTACAGTTGTCTCAGAAAGGTTGTCTTGAGAGGGAGGACACAGGGATTACTGGAAGAATGAACAAACTAAATCTTTAACCTCCATTATGCCTAATATGAATATCACATACAAAATGCTCGATGTGAGCACAAAATTATATAGCTACATATATGTATATACAGTAAGGAATGGAAAATAAGAGTGGGTTGGGAATAAGCAGAGAGGGCGAAGAGTTGGATTTATCCCCTTTGGAACTTTGTACAGGTTAGAAGGAAGGAAGGAGAGAAAAAAAGGCAACCACTTAAAACAGGACGAAATCATTTCTTTGGCGAGAACTAAAACCCCTAAAGTTTGGAATGTAAAAAAAACATAAAAAGTGGTTAAAGTGAGATAAACAATCTCTCTTTGAGGTTTAACCGGACAAATCCAATATTGGAGAAAAACGCTGTTTATCTCTGCCTTCGACTTCAGAATGAGGAGAAATTGGATTGAACATCTTCGATATCAGTCAATACGACTTTTTTGTCATTATAACATAAGAAGACTTAAGGGAACAGTTTAACGAGACTGGGAATCCACTGGACTGACGTCGAGCTTGATACTGAGCAGGTGGTTAGCTTAGCTTTACAAGAAGAGGGGAACAGCCAATGTGGCTCTACACCTTTAAAGTTATCCGTCATTTGTTCAGGGTGACATTAATGAAAAAACGCTACTTCTGAAATGCACGCAGAAAGGTAAGCGAACTAACAGTGATTCAGATCGAAGCGCCGAGAAGTTGCTCGGCAACAAGTGCAGTCAACTTATGAAACCAACCGCGGAGTTACGGTAGCGTAACAACAGCGTTTCCGTAACAGCTCACTTTTTCTGTACGCGTATTAAGTCAAAATTAAAAATATAAAGTGTTGCCAAGAGATTAGAAAATATTGCGAAATAAAGAGAAGAAACTAATTTTGATAGACTGCGAGGAACACCTCGGCCATATACTGCTCTTGAACAAATGTGGGCAGTTCACTGAATGTCGATTTGACAAGTGTTTAATTCTCCGAGGCTGAAAAGTAACGCTCAATACTACTAAACATATAGCTTTAATTTCGCTTTTTGTTCATTATCCAAGTTTGTTTTCTTGTGCTGAATATCGTTTGCCTCCTAGATATCCTACTGGGTGTTCATACCCTGTTTGGCCACTTGGGGCAACAATGAGCTCATTCTACACTTGGACATGAACTTAAACAAGCAACACTAAAAGCTCAGAATTATTTGTATCTAATGTTTATAAAGAAAAAGAAAGAGATCGAGTATAATTTCCCAAAAATGTTGAACTATTCCTTTAAGTCCAAAGGTTAAATATGTATTTCTCATTACAGTAAGAATTTATCAAGGACAGCACACATGGTGCCCTTTTTACCATAATACTAAGTAATATGGTTACTGGAGTAACAATTTCTTTAATCTCAAATAATAAGAAAAATCTCCCCATGGTCAGAAAATCTACAAGAAAAGTAAACAAAAAGAAGGAAAGAGTAAATAATTGTCTAAAGTCATGTTTAACAAGTCTGCTTGAGGGAAGACAACACATGAAGAAGATGCAGCAATAATGTAACAACCAGTTTCACACCACAGCCTTTCAGCTCCACAAACTGTATGTACATAACTACAAGAAGAGAAGGAATAACCAGGGGGTCCCTGTCCTGTAATGAGCCCACTTAAAGAGAACAGGTTGTGTCAAAGATCACCAATGAGGTATTCACCAGCTTTAAGTTCACAGACTGGGAAAAGAGACTCAACCCCAACAAACAGCCATGAAGCGTCTACATGGCGGCCAAAGAGGAAGAAATCTATAAAATCAATACATCCCTCCGAATCATTCATCAGCTTGATCAATTTTACTTTCACATATTGGGTAAAGTGAGAATATAAAAAGGGGATGAAAAGACCTTGCATCTTGTTCTCACATGAATTCATAAACCGCGTGTCTGCTCTACAAGTACCATCTGATAAGAAAGCCGTCATGATGCAGACATCCACGTCTTGAAAAAGGCAAATGTGAAGTCTCTCTGTGACTAAAGGCAAGCACGTCATTAATATGCCATTCATGTGCATATAACAACAAAAAACACAAACGGTGCGAGTGGAAGAAAATCCATCAGAATAAATGTCAAGTCACAGCATGTGGACAGGTTCCTTTGTTGTGAGTTTTAACATATCACCGAACATTATTCTACAAAAGGTAATGAGCCCTCTCTTTGTTATAAAAGAATGGACAGCAAGCTGAGGACCACAGCACGCATGAAGACCCTGCTGGCCAGAGGGAGGGCGGTTCATCGCCGACTTAGGCAACATTTAAAGGACGAGAGCAACATTTGGACGCTTATTGACTTTCATTGGGAGCGTTAGACGAGGAAATAGATATCACTCTTATGTCTGTCTTAGCGAAGTAGCTTTGTTAGCACATGGACTGGACACAAAAGAAGCAGCTTTTGCGCTTGTAAGGTTTTAAACTTTTTGTTGGTATGTTTTTATACAAGGTAGAAAAATGGGTGAAATCATAATGGATACAGATTAAAAAATCATCTATATCCTGACATGTCAGTTACATTAATATGATTGCATTGTGTTGCATTCAATGTCTGAAAAAGTGCAGGAATTTGAACCTCAAAGCATGTTTTTGTACTGAGGGGAGTCAGCACAACAATAATAATAACACTGATTGTATTAAGTCACTGATTGTATCCAGTCTTTTTTACTAGGAGCAGACATGAGAGTGATTTTTATTCCTTCAGCTAACGCTTGTCAAGAAAAGAAATAAGCTCATACTCAAATGTCAAACTATTCCTTTAAGAGAACGAACTCTTGGTTCAGAGTTTCCCTCCAACACCTCCAAGTCCTTTGAGCATTAACAAGTTCCCTACGGTTTGTAGCAGCCATACGAAAAGCTCTAGATTAATTTGATATGTCTCTTTATTTTTTTCCCCTACAAAGATTAACGATAGTCTGTAGTGTTGATTGCATGTCTACTCTCCTGATGACAAAAATGCCCTGTTAATGCTAGAACTACTTTCACTTCACTTTCCACGGTGAAGGCATTGAAATGGTTCTGGGAGACTGAGAACAAAAAAAAAAAAAATTCAGGTGCAAAATCAGAGAGCTGACACAAGCCACAGCAAAAATAGAAATAGTACTAAGAGCTCAACTTCAATAGTGCACAAGTTGTTGCAGGTAGTCCTGTCAGTCTCTGCAGAAATGAACGCCTGAGAACTGACTATAGCATAGCAATGAGATCTCTCAAAGGGGGCCTAAAGATAGAAGCTGTTACCTTAACCGGGAGATGTAAAAGGAGGAGCGAATGCAGAGCAGTGAGAGCTTTCAAGTTTGAGGAATGAATGGATCGATGCAGAGAGGTGGCACTACAGCTCAACTGACAGAAACATGTAAACTTGTATTCTATTCTTCATTGTAAGGAGTTAGTAGAGGGACGGAGGAGGGGTGTGAGGGAGGGAGAGGGAGAGGGAGAGGGCGGGGGAGTGCGAGGGTACGTAGACGGGTTTGATTGAGAACGAGGGTTTCCAATGTCAAGGGCAGTGCGTCCGCGGAGGCCTCTGGGGCAGCCCGTTATGAGAGGGTCGCTCTTGGTTGTAGGAGGACGAGGACGAGCGAGGGGGACCTCTCGAGTTGTTAGAGTGATGCGAAGAAGAGCCCCCGTCGCCATGGTAGCGGTGGTTCCCACGACCGGCGTTCCTGTCATGGTAGGAGCCGCCATTATACCGCTGACCACCTGAGTGATACCCTTGTCCCTGGAAAGTACGCCTGTTGCCCTGGAAAATCTGAGAGGAGAATGAAAGAGAATTATTTACATCGCTGAAGTAGATCTGCGAACAATTAGGTTTCTTTATGGTGAGGATTTTTGTGGAAAGCTCTCTCAGCTGACCTGTTTGGTTGGAGGGGGGCGGTTTTCACTGGGGGCGCTTTGGGTCACAGGAGGAGGGGGCGGAGTTTCCAGCAGGATTGGGCTAGTGACAGAAGAGGACGTGGAGCTACAGCGGGACCGATTTGAGTAGCCTGTACGAGGATGGTAAACTGTGAACAAACAAAGACAAGGGCGTCACTTCGACCAGCCTGTAAACGTGAACACAGACACAGAGAGCTGCAGTGTTCATAAACATGATGGTTCAACCGTCTGTTTCCTCATTTAAGTGATTTATTACGGACTGTAATGAGCTTCTCCTGGCGTCATTTCTCGATCATGACAAGTGTGGAGATGTAGGTCATGTATTAAAGCCCTAAAGTGGCCCAGACGCAGAAATCCAGGACGGAACCAGATCCATTTATCTCCTCTATGGATCATCTGCATCTTTTCCAAACTAATATCAGCTAATGTGATGCGAAGACAACATCTTTGGTCACTCACTTCTCGGTCTGATAGCTCTTCAACTTCACGTCTCCTGTGGCTGTTACATCTCCTAATCCTGTTCCTGCTCTCTCTGACCTCTATCAGGCTTGTAATTATAAGTTTGCGGTCTGTTGTATCAGACGAACAAACATTTTCTGCCTCTCTATTGACAGAAGTGGCTGGGCAGGTATTGACTTCAGGAGCGTCTGTGATGAATTAGTTTATAAATCTCATTACATAGAAACTTTTAAACATCCTTTTCCGACACGTAGGTTGACTGGGATCTCCAAACTTAAATTAAAGACTCAGCATGCTTTGTTAGCTTCTTATGCCTGCTGACTTCAGTTCAACATCTGTACATCAATCTCATTCATTCGAGATAATAAAACTGTGCTTGTAATGGTGTTTTGCAATTATGCTCTCACTTTATACATTGATTAAAATAATATTTAAGTACAATTTTAAGCTATAATTATGATATATTTTCTGTAAAGGAGTCAGATGTTATCTCGCAGCAGTATGGAGCAGGTTTGTGACTTCCTGGCGCTCTCTTTGCAGTGATATATTTTCACTCTATGACTGGATTTAGCGATATGGGAGGTGCGATGAATTTAGATGCTACCTGCTGCTCTAAATCCTACTCAAAAGCCGTGGCACGTCCCGCCCTAGGATTACAGTTTTTGAAGAAAAAGGTAAATATGCTGAGTCAAACATCACTCTGATGTTTTCAATCTGTCCTTCAGCTTTTCTTTCAAATTACAAGAACTCCTCATATAAGAAATGAAAAATGTTTACATCCTCGCTTCTCATTTCTCTCTTTTGTTTTTAAACCGACATCCTCTGACAACTTGTACAGGTTTTTCTGCACCATCTGATACGCCTCAGGAGGACTGATCTCACACAGTCTGAGACAGATTGGGCGAGATCAGTCTAATAAGAGTTGGGCCGCACTGTGACACGTACTGATCCGAGACGTTCTGTCCTGAGTTTACAGAGAAGCACCTGATGGAGCTGCAGACAGCTTCCATTTTCATCTCAGATGTTTGTTGGAGCACAATCTGTTGGGCCTTTAATATTCCTGCTTTATGAAACAGATCCCTGCTGAGTTCAGCAGAGTTATGTGAAGAGTAAGGAGCATTATAGCTGAGATTTGTTGAATTGGAATCTCACTGTGGATAAAATATACTGCTGTGCACATGCTTCACATGTCCTGAATGGAATAAACTGTGACAAAATCACACCCAATGTCTGTAGAAATATATTCCAGAACATACCAGCACAACTCAGGTTCAAGCTCGGCATCATTCAGATTTATAAGAAGTGTTTTATTTAGGAAAATGACTGTTTGACTGTACATTTCCTTCTGAATCCCACAAAAAGGCTCATTTTCATGCATTTCGACAATAAGCTTCTTAGTCACAGTCAGTGTTCCTCACAGTCTGCTGACAAACTGCTGCTGCTTAGAAAGTCCTGAAACTGAAAAGCTGATAGGCTTGCTTTTTGTATTTCGTGATTGGTGGGGAAGTGTTTTTATAATTCATAATAAGACGGAGGAGGGGAGTTTATTTTTAGAAATCTCCCTTGAACTCATACAAAAAAGGGAGGTAAAAGAGACGAAAAGGGCCGCGTACCTGATCCGAACTCGGTGATGCTCGTCTTCAGCGGTTCAAGATCAAATGTAAATCTTACAGCTTTTCCGAGATCCTCATCGTATTTGCGCTCGCTCACAAAGTGCTGTGAACAAACAGAGATCATATTAATCACCATTAAATGCGAAACAAAAAAAGCGATGCATTTTTGGAGCAATTATCACAGCTTTTTACTCACCATGGAAAGAGCAAAAAAGTGCACACAAATCAGCTTTTTCTATCTGCTTGTAATTTTGCTTTCTCCACAAACACCCACTTCACATTTTGTTGAACATTTGTAAAAAAAAGAGACACACAAGGCCGAGCAGGAGCTGCGGTTTTGTTAAGAGTACCTTGATGTCTGCACGAAGCTCAGTCAACTGCTCCTCTGACATGGAACCCGACTGATCCGTCAGCCGCCTGAGCTCCTCCGCTCTCTTCTGCCGGGCATCCAAATTCATCACTGAAACACAAAAAGTATCATCCTTAACAGATATCCCACTGGGTGTAGTTTCAGGCTTATGTAACCTACAATAAGACAAGTTTTCAGTGCGGTTCAAGCAGGATGGGTTAGTCCTTGAGAGGGATTACTCACATCAGTTATCTTAGAGGGCTGAAAAGGATGAGACTAGACAGTCTATAAGATATCTTTATGATAATTAAAGGAATAAAGATAAAGCCACTGTAAGGAGATTTAAAAGGCCATAAAATATGTTTAAATGAATAGTGATGCTTCTTTAACACACAAGTGAACAAGTCTTGGTGGTGATTCTGATATCCTGAAACTGCTGTGAAGTGTACTAGTATAACAAATGTCATTATCCAAAGGAGGGCGCCAACATAATCACAAACTAAAAGTTCATCACTGCAGCTTTAAATACCAAGAACAACAAAGAAGATCAGCTCATCCTAAGAGCAAAGAAACTGGACCAGGACCAGGATCTGTTTGGTGTGCTTTAAAACGTCCTCTATGATTCATACATTGTTAAACAGCTTTGAATGATCGTCGAAGATCGATTGACCAACTCTGCATTTCAGCCTCGTACCTCACTCCCACCAGTCCTGAAAGTTTCACTTCCCTCTAAGTTTCGTTTTCCTGCAAGAACTCTGCTGCGGTCTTTTGAAATGACAAAGTACAAAGTGTGTCTGACTCAGCATCCAAAGGTAAACAAAGGTCGAAGATAAAGCCGGCTTCAAATCAAGATGTCCTGTCTGCGCTGATGTAAAGACACACAAGCCGCTGAAATGAGTGTCATCACAAACTAAACACATTTTCGTCCCACGTTTAAACTCGGCGACCTGGAGAGCTTTTGGAGAGCAGGACTGAACCTCAAACACAGGAGCGTTTATTTCTTTAGACAGCAGCTATTCATTGACTTTAGAGCTGCTTTACATGTCTGCTGAAATAAGTTCTCCTTGTGTCTGCCCCGTCTGGTGACAAGCTGCTGGAAAATCTCCTGCTGCTCCTAAAATGTGTGGTGCATTTTCTACTTCTGTGCAGGAGAGAAACTAAATTGAAGTGGAAGTTTAGTGATCCTCGGGGACTGTCATCAGAAACACACACTTCTGTTTGAGATATAAACACTAGACTTACACAAAGCTGAAGTATGTCAGTTAACTCGTAGGCTGTCAGACACAATTAGAGCAAAACTGTCAAAATGGTCCGAGCTTCTTCAATGTGAGAACTCTCTTCTGTTGAAAACTGAATTCTTTGGGGGTTTTGTCAGTTTCTAAACAAAACAGGACATTTATTTTGGCCGCCTCAGACTTCAAGATTGTTATTTTATAGATGTGCTTTTACAGGAGATGCTATCAGAGCGCGTTTTAATCCTCTAGACGCTGCTTTTATTCCAATTTTAGGCGGTATCACCGGCAGCATCTTGAATTTTTTATCTTCTGATAGTTTTAATGTTTGATCTTTGGTTGTTTTTCATCTTCTGACAGCTTTATTTCCTCTGATCTATTGAGGGTTGTTCGTCTTTTTAACTTCTTCATGGTTGTCTATAGTGCTGGTGGTCTGAATCTTTTATTTTTTCCTCATTTACTCATTAGTCTACCTTTTATACCTTCTGTCCTTAATCTTTAGTCACATTTACAATTGAGGCAATTTCACTTATTAAAAGATAGATTAGATAGATTTGGATTGATTGAGAACTTTCTACTTAAGTACTTTATTAAAAGGCTCTATGGTGAAGTTTTTACTGGTTCAGAACCATACTGAAACTGATATTAATCCCACATGACCGACATATAGCAAGCAAAACCATCAACAAGACGACTGTTAATTTCTCTGTGATATTTTTAATGCCTGAAACTAAAGTTGAGGGTTGGTGTCAAAGCAACAGGAGATCGACAAAAGGCTGAAGAAACAGCTGTATCTCACTATCACCCATGACGATTACTCATAAATTACTGTTGAGACTTAAGAGCGAGCGCATGTACAAGGATAAAAGGTGTCATTTTGTCCACAGGGGGCGCCAAAATCGATACAAACCAACAGTTCCTCACTGCAGCTTTAATAGGAATTAGATACTCGGTCAAAAAAAATCTATTTGTTTCCTTTTTTAATGTCATTTTGACTTCTTCTTCAATCTCACGAGCACAGTGCAGGGAGATTAGGACTGTAGTCTCTGTGCATAAGGTGTGTGTTATAGCTGCAGAGCCAAACTGACACCCCTCAAGTCATTTTCTCGATTAATATCAAAAGCAACTTTATATTTTTAAGAGCAGCACAGCAGATTTTGAGGATTACCTTCAGGGTCTGGATTGGCGGTTAGACAAAATAAGTGATACTCAGATATATCCTTGAACTTTAATTTAGCAGTTTCATGATTTTCTGACATTTACAGATCTGAATAATTAAGAAAATACCCGTCCAGAGGCAGGCCTAGACATGAGTGCGAGCTACAGCGGCCCTGACTGCAGGATTATCATGTTCTGAACAGTATCAAAATTGAAAGCAGGAGGTTTGAGGCAATCATCTGTTAACTTGGGAGATACAGAGGAAGCAGATTAGTAGAAGCTTCATTTTGAGGAAACCAGGCTTTTTTCAGAGGCGAGGAAACCCTAGAGTTTCTTCGCTTTCCTCTCTATTCCCCACACACCTTGCACAAAGACAGCATTGAGTCTCCCTTGACACCTGACACTATTCACTTTTTCCAGGCCTGGAACACACAACACTCCTCACTGAGAGGACAGAAGAAAGAGAGAGAATGGCCTACTTGTACAACTATGCAGTCTTGCTCTGTCATGTTACACATACATACACAGAGGTATGCTCCAGGTATACCTGGACCCTCAGGGCACTGCTGCATTTCTGGAGAAACTGGGGCTTGCTGTTCTGCAGACATTTCTTTCACTACCTCTCCGGAAGTGATTTAGGTCAGAAGCCCTTGAGTCAGGTGATCATGTTATGTGAAAGATACTAACAGCTCCCGGGGTGGTACGTTACAGGAAGGATTTTGGAGTTTAGTCAACAAAGTTGGAAACACTGGTATACTTACAGGACTCTGCTTTCACTTTGTCCATTTCTCGGAGCAGGGTCACTTCTCTGTCCATTAAACTGAAAAAAAAAAAAAGAAGAGAGAGAGAGAGAGTCATCTTTCTCTGCTCACGTCAAGATAAGAGGAAATGTTGTGAACGCTGACTCGGCACTCAGATTAAGAATCAATTCCAATAACATTAAGAAAAAGACGCGGATGCACATTTTGGAGGCAGAAATACAGCCGAGTCACTCAATGACACTGCGAAACAGCGAGAGCAACGCAAACATTACAGCATTCACACATCCTGGGAAGTTTTACTGTTTGCTTATTAGCAGGAATACCGCAGAAGCACCATTATGACACGACGAATCCGAAGTGTCATTATGCCTCTGTTGACTTACATGGTTAGCTCTGAAACAAAAAGATGGGTTGTAGTTCAAGTTACTCAAAGAAAAGGTCTCATTTAATCAGCAGAAAGTGTTTTTGTTTCCCCTCTGTATCCTGTGAGGTGACTGACAGATAGGAGTGTTTTTAACTCCACAGTTTGATATCTAGGTGTGGACATTTATGAACAATATAGACTTGTTATACTGGTATGTAAAAGGAAGCTTGCGATTGTTAATGTTTTATGAAGAACATGTTTAATTATTACTTATCAAATTTATGATTATCAATCATAGTTTAAGTTCTTTGGCTCAAACTCAAGAGGGTTTATATCTGACATTTTTAAGGTGTGCTAAGGTGAGAGAGTACAGAGTTTAAATTTTGCATTTTGGCTCTTTTCCTCCCCTTTCTAGCTACCTCTATCCGCTTTTATGCGCAAAATCAAGTAGAAACGAACACCTTGAACGTCTTTTAAGGACCCGAAAGAATGCGAGGTATTTATTGCATCGAGACTGCACCCTAAGGGAAGGATGTGACGTCGGGGTTTTGGCCTCGCCTGCAAGAGTAGCCATCGGGAACAGGAGCCGTGAAACAGGGCTGCACAATATTACAAAATAAATAAATCATTCACAAATTTGAGAAAAAATTAAATATACTTTGAGACAACCAGTTAAAATGTTCACCTATAGATCTCCTTTATAAACATGCTTAGATATTTTTAGACATTCCTGACAGACAGAAGAGGTGCAGCTGAGAACACAAACTGCAAAATCCCTGCGAGCCTCAAAGTCGTGAGTTTATTTAACATGAAAAACAGTCACTCAGAAATGCTGACAAACTTAGCGACTCTCCTGATGTTACACATGACCAGCTTCTAAAACTTCTGTCTGTTGTACAGAAAGTTGTGGGCGAAAACATCGAGGCAGCACAACAGTATTTAATCCCATTAACATTCAGTCTTACTTTTCATTGACTATTTGTATTTGTAAAGTTAAATTCATGGGCTTTAAACGTCTGTATTCACAGGATAGGACTGTAAAGGGAGTAGGAACCAGGAGAGAAAGTGGAGAGTGACTTGTGGGAAAGGGGCTGCTAGTTTGAGTCACAGCCTGGCTTTGTGCTGGGTTAACTTGGTCTGAACACGTCTGTCTTTGACTCTTTTGGATGTCCCATTATTTAATTTTCTTCAAGCGTGCAGAGATCTTCAGTCACCATGTCTATTTCTAAATCCAATGTTATTTTAAATGGTCTCTACCCGAGTCAGGAGGATTACTACACTGTATGAGTGACAACTGGAGGACTGCCACTGGTATGACTAAGGCTACACCCTAGACAAAGTTTGACTCTTCATGATTAAACACTTTCTACATCTGAGTCAAGATCACCCAGACACTGAAGAGATTCTCTGATTTTTTAATCCCAGGCCAAAAGTTTCCTCTTCCAGCCGCCACGTTTCTTAAAACACTTCAGCGGGTGATAAAAAACGAGCAGATTAAAAGTCTGAGTCAAGCAGTCAAACAAAGACATTCTTCTTAACAGTCTACAGGGATGTTAGCCTTCGCCACTAGGTGTTGAACACTTAATCCCATTCAAACAGAATAATCCATCTAATGTCTTTGTTGAGATCGAAGAGTGCTCCACCTGCACCAGCTGGAGTGGTAACACCAAGGAGCGGTGGTTGACTGATTCACGATGTCAGCTTATGTGATGTGTAACAAGTAACGTTTTACTTTGAAAGGTGCGGTGTGTCGGATTTGGGAGAACAGGTTTGATAAAAATTGGATATTTAATTTGTACGGGACTGAAACTTGACGGAGGCCACAATCTCACACTGTCTTGTTTCTACCATAGCCCAGAATGGACAAATTTGATGAGCAGCCACCAGCAGGACGACAAAGAAGAAGAGAGTGGTTTCTGCTGTGCGCAAAATGTTATTAATGGTAAACCTTGAAAAATGGAGAATCCTATTCATCTTTCTTGTCCTTAAAAGCCACCGTAGAAAGATACTGCAATATATTCACATATCTACACATTGTGCCTTTGAGAGTTGCCGTCGGCTGCCCCCTTTGCCTTTGATTCGTCTGATAAATTTGGCCTTTTCTACTCGACAGGTAGCTATCTTAGACGAGCCGAGATAAAAAAGGTGCTGAAACTTTCTCATAATCAAAGCTTGATCACGGTCTTATCTCTGGACACAGGTTAGTAATAAAAATACTTTAAATCCAGGGCTGTAACAGTAAAGGTTACACCGTCTGTAAGGGGACTGCAGCGTTTAATCACGAGGTCAAACATGTTATTTTAACTGTTTTAGCCTCTTGTACCTTTAATTAAGAGGACAGGATGAGGACATGTAGTAAAGGACTGTGGATTTACCAACTACTCCTGCTATAGTGAGTTTTCCTTTTTCTATATGAGTGTTTGGGGGCTTCAGCTGTGAGTCTCTGGAGTGATAAAATCTGTCACAATAACCAGAAAAGATGTCTCTCTGAAATTATTTCCTTTTCTTTCAGTGCTGATGACCGACAAACTGCGAATCCAAAACTAGGTCAACACTGTACTTTTAACTCTGTGGACAGTTACACCCCTATTTAACACTCAAACTCCTTGTGTTCATTTAGCTACACTTCTAAAAACCACACTGCAATTACAACCCACAGCTCGACCGATGGAGTCGCCCTGGAATACTCGGCTGGTTTACTTCTGCGTCCGATTCTCGACGTGAGATTACTCGCGCTGATGTTTGACGGTGTGCTCAGTCGGAGCTGAACGGCTATGCAAACCTTTGAACAGTGGTTACTTAACCTTTCGAACAAGGCGCAAATTTACAGTCCTGGGTGCGCTCTGGATCTTAAATAAACAGCACTTCACCTCTAATACAAGCGGACTCTGATTGGAAGAAACTAGCCCTCTTCACAAATAGGAAATGATAAGCCGTATTTGCAAGCGTGCAAAAAACAAGATCCTTTTTTAAATATTAATAAAACCTATTTTCACTCAACACTTTTGAAGTAAACAGTATTTTTTTTAAATAACATGAATCACAATAATTTTGCTAGAATGATGGTAGCAGCAAAATCTTGATAGCGTCCTATTTAGAGGTTTCGAGCTTTTATGTGAATCTGCAGCCGTCTCCAATCGATGAGCCTGTGCCGTTCACATCCTCACAGATATCAAAGATCCATCGATACAGCCGCTCTTCACCCAGCTGAGTAATCAGGCTCTGAGTTTGCTGTTTGGGCTACAAGAGTGAACCGGGTTTTCTCTCCGTCTGTATCTATGAAGTCTGTCATCTAATCAGAGAACAAGCACACGCAGGTGAACTCTGTCCTCTTCACTCTGCTTGCTTTGAGGTAGAAGCAATATGTACAGTACAGCCGTCGGACAGCCTTAAGTCTGTTTAAACACAGTGACACATAAAAATGGAGAAAATATTCCTCAGTTCCTGTTTCCCCGGGGTTTCTAAGTGTGTCAATCCCGCGCTCCGTTCTGGTTTCAACGGGTCTTTAATTGTTTATTACACCTGAGAACTCTTATATACTTTATGTTATAATCCGTTTCCTGTTATGCAAAACTCTGTCAGAGTGTCATCAAGTTGGTCAAAGGTAAGAAAAATGCCCTTTAACTTACTGCAGCATAATCCATAAAAAAAGCAATAACACCCTGATAGCTTCAGTCAACATGACACAAAGACATTAACTCGACAACAATGATATCATGACACAGATTCAGACAGAAAACAAGGGACGGCACCGGAGTTGACGTCTCTTTTGGACATTCCTGCTTGTGTTCTGCGTCATGACTTTTTATGGTGATAAAGCAAATAAGACAAAATTCCCAAACCAGGACCTTTTTTCCAGGAACAAAAAACTTGATGCGTTTCCCACACAAGCACCTACATCCTTATTGAGTCCCCTGGTTATGCAACCATTCTTTAATCATTATTTAAATAAGAAATGTCAGAAGCAGTTTTGTTTCTCTGCTCGTTTGGCACCACTTAGGAAAAAGGTCATTACACCAGGCCGCGATCCACCGGATAACACCGAGGAAGCATTGTCTGTTTCTCACCAGCTGCCACCACATCTACCGATAAAAAGTCCTATCCCTGGAGTTTTTAACATCTAAACTACCAAAAAGGAACTAAACTGGGTTCTTAGTCCTTCATCTTCGAGATTCACCTCTAACCGAAACAGGAGAAGTCTTTAAAGAAAAGGTAAGAAGTTTACAAACCAGCTCTGTAGCTCAGCAAACGTCTGCTTCATCCTCTTTATCGAGGAATCCATCTCCTCCTTCACTACCATCCTGTACCGAGTCAGAGAGGCGGTGCATCTCTGCAGGTCCTTCACAGAGCGGTCGATGTTTGGAGCTGAGGGGGAAAAACACAGAAGAAAATTTGAAAAAGCCGCGTTTTAAAGAAGAAGTGCTTTTCTGACACCTCGCAGCGCATCATCGATCACTGCATTCTCTAAATGAAGTACAGGCATGTAAAAATAATCTGATATGTTAGAGGTTGAAGTTTCTAACCCAGTTTCTTGACTCCTGATGACCCTTGATCGTCAGAGGTCAGCGCTAGTGAGGAAATGGATGACTGTGAATTTGAGCCAGGTCTGTGTCGGTTCTTGTTGCCTCTAGAACCCTGGTGATTCCTCCCTGCTTGGGGTAAGGCAGGACTGGGGGCGCTCCCAATACTCTCTGCTTCAGGACCTGTGAGAGGACACGTCACATCTTATGAGTTCACTTTTCTCTAAACGAACCTTAGATGTGCCTTTATCGTGTATCATAGATTACCGGTGGTTTCAGATGTTGCAGGCTCAGAGTCCAGCTCAGCTGCATCCAGAGAAGCAGAGTCCAACTGTTCACTCAGAGAATCCAGAGACTCTCCGTCCATTACTGATCCGTTGGCGTGAAAGCCGTTCACCTCATCCTTCGCCTCCTCAGGCGATGCGTCCTCGGGTGGAGCAGGCTCTGCTGAGGCCTCGGCCTGAGGCTTGGGCTTCTTTTTCTTCTTGGGCTGGACATGAAGAGATCAGTGTCAAAGATTTTTGTCTGAATCCTTTCATTCATGATCAGCGCAGCAAGTTGGACAACATTTAAATGAGTAGACCTCACAGCTGCATTGATTAGGAGCATTCAAGGATTTTTATTTTCAAAGATCTTTATGCTTACTCAACCCAGAGGTATTCAAGTTTCAGGCGTTCCTGTTCTCACCTTCTTTTTACCGGTGACATTCCACTCCTTCAGGATCTCGACTGCACTGCCTGCGGCGCAAAGCAAACAGTGATGACGAAAGCACTCCAAGACACCTGACAGCCTTAAAATCTTGTAATACCCATCTGAAAATCTGACTGCCCTGAGGCGTTGTTTAGATACCGCTAAAAAAAGGAACAAAGCAGGGTGACGTGCAGGGACAGCCTCCTGCTTCTAAAATTAAACTTGTGAAACTACAGCGGCATGCAAATAACACTCAGGACTTCTGAATGTACAGCACGGTATGTGTGTAAAGTAAAGTAGCCGAGAGCCCCACTCAACTTGTTAGAGAGTCCTTGAGAAGGTGTGTCACTTTACACTTTTGGACATCGTACATATTTTTATCATCATCATTCTCTCTGGCCATAATTATTCTTAAATATGCAACACTACTAGTTCTTTGGGATATAAATAATGACGTCTTCATACCTTCTAAGAAAGCTTGGACGGCCTTGTCCACACTGTTCTCAAAATGCTGTAACACCAGGACGATCTCATTGTTACTTTTGTTGGGGACGACTGCCCTGACGGCGCTGATCTGTAAAAACAGAGAAAAACACAGAGTATGAAAGAAACAGGTTTGAACATTATCTCAAAACACGTCTGAGGTGACTCAACATCGACAAGAACGAGCTCCAACTTTGAGTCAATGTAATTAAAAATTTGGCTGAAGGGCAGAGCAATGCACCCTGGAAACACACAATCGCATTTCAAGGATTGGTTGCCAATTTTCAAAATTCGTTTAAACCTTTAGAGTTACACAAATAATTTCAAAGATGGCTGAAGTTGCTGCAGCTCTTCTTCTTTCTAGTGTTATCAGTCATTCACAGTAGCTAAGGAGGAACTGACGGACTACTTTAGCTCAGGTTTCCTCAAAATAGAAGACCAGACTCTCTGGAGGACAAAATTACATTTACTGCTTTTAGATTAACATTGATATCCAGCTGAAGAAACACGAAGGAGTAAAGCTGAGATTGCTCACATGCAGTGCATCCTGCTACACGTAAGCGAAGCTATCTCAGCTCATCGCTCTAATCGACTACATCTGTGACGAACATTGTGAATAAATGAGTCTGTTAGCCGTGAAAACAGTCACGGCTCTCATGCAAACACTTAAACAGCACCATTTCCATTTATTTTATCACTCTCTTTGACAGCCATCCAAAACACACAATACTATCAGGAACCAGAGCTAAGTCAGCGCTTCAGGCTCTAAGACCTTTCTGCCGCTGTAGGTCGATCTGTTTAAAACGGGCATGAAAACAAAAAGTAGAAACAGAACTTTTGCTTTTGAAAAGTTTTGAACTTCTCCAAAGTGAGTGCAGCAGCGTGACCCAAAAATCTGTTTGAAGAGAACCCCCCATATCAACCGATTGGGCTGACTGACAGATAATGTCTGCAGCCCCAAAACTACACACAGTTCATTAGAAATCAAAAACCAAATAACTGCTTTAAGAACATTTGAAACCATACTAATAGATACATCTGAGTCTGACATTACATCATTTCATCCAAAGTTGATTAAAGTCTTAAGAGCATCTCAGAAATATCTACAGACGCTGATAAACTGTCATCCACAAAGGCAGGAGTAAGTCCTGTCTCTCCTTTAGCATTACTAGAACAGTTGCTCATGCTCTGAAAACTTCGCCCTCTCCTGCTGTCTGTTGCCAAAAAAACTGCCCACTGGGAAACTGTTGTGCAGAAACCAGAAGTAAAGGAACTGAATGTCAACGCTCAGGAACAAATCCACCAACACAGCGTAGAGATCTTTTACTTTCCGAGCAGATAAAAAAGCTCTCCGTATTACACAAATGTTGTGATCTTAGGTGTCAAATTCAACCCCTCTGCAGGAATCTGCGGACTCACCGTGCCAATTATAAGCAGTAGGTTTAATATTTCTCACCTTCTCCTTCATCCTCTCAGCTGTCCCTCCCTGGGACATCACCATCTTTGAACGAGTGTCGAACACAACCCCGGATGTATCTGAAAATAAAAGACAAAACAATTTAAAGCTGCTGACAGAAATTTTTTGGTGGATGTTTTCAGACTAAATCCTCATCCTGCTGTCCTTTCACAGTCAAATGTGTCAGTCACTCCTCGTGGAAAAAGTCAAATAAAGCTGTTTCTGCAGTCTGCTGTCAATCATCTGGTCTGTCACCTTCCCCCTCACAGTACTGAAAATTTGCACAGAGGAATTATCAGCCTCGCTGCTGATGGTTTGTTTCACTTCTGAAGATCTTAAAAAAGGCATCAGTATCAGTTTCAGTTACAACCTCCTCACACTGCCTTTAACTCCACTGCAAGTTAGGAGTAGGTCTTGAATTACACTTGCAAAACCACTTCAGCTGATCATTTGCAAAACAAAACATCCCTCAGACATCTGTACAGAGATTTCCTGGAAGGACTAGTCGGCCATATTTAGGCACCAGAATCTTTCAATTTATGATTTCATCTCCTCCTCAAGCTGACAACTTTGATCAAACTCAGTCTGATCTGATTTTTTTACTCTGTAGACATCATTCACATTGTACTGCCTTGATAGAAGGATGAGCTGCTGAGATATTTGAGCACACAAACCCTTCAGCGACCAGCACAGGCAGCAAAAACTGGAGAAAATAAAGAGATGGAAAGTGATCACATCTGTGCCTGAACAGTCTGAAATCTGCATCTGATTTAAATGGATAATATCCAGTAAAGGCTCAAGAAAGACCGGGGGAGTTTGTTATCTGATGCAGAGAGGGGAAAAAAAAAAACAGACAATTCAAGCAACAGAGCAGTAAAAAGAGGAAAAATGAGGACGTTTCTTTGATCAAACTGGCTAACAAAAGCTAACAGCTGAGTGAGAAGTGGCAGAATAAAGTCCAAAGTCAATCTACGGCCTTTTAAAGACAGGACGAAAAAGAAACACAGGGTGCTTGTTAAAGTTGTTTACTTGTGTATGAAAGTAGGTTAATGTCAGCGTAAATGTCCAAAACATTTTGCCATGTAGACTTGAGGTCAAAAGATGTTAGATTAGGCTCAACTTTTGGACTGGTCCTTTATATAACAAACAAACACTATCAGGCGCACATATTTTGAATCATGTAGAACAACATTCTTACTTCGACTCCACACTGTTGTCATAAAAACACACAGAGCTGAGGTGTGTTTATATACTAAATATTCACAGTAAGAATTTTTGATCACTTCCTGGGTAAACAAACACTTACCCCTTTGGCTGTTCTTCTTCGCCATGTTGTCACACAGAAGTGTCTAGGAAGCTCTTCTTCAGACTTTAATAACCCTTCAAATAAGTTTAAGCTGATGTTCAAATAATGTCTCCCCCGTCTTTGTTTGGTAACTTTCACTTTGAGTTTTTTTTTTTTCCTATCAGAGAAGATGCCAGCAAGGCTCTCAACTATCTGGCAGGGAGATTGGAAGAAGGAGGTTCAGGCCTCCACCATTTAGGCAAAGATTCAGGTTTTCCCTCCTGTGTCTTCACCAAGTTAATCCAAATCTGCAGAAAAGAAGGGAGAAAAAAAAGGGTTTGAATAACCAGAGTCTGAGCACGGTTTTGTGTCATAGTTTGGGACGTAGAGAAAAAAACATCTGAATTTAAATGAAGCTGTATGATGCAAAATCGCGGCCACCAAATCTGCACTTCTGTTAGATCTGGAAATAGGAATATAAATCAGCTGAGATCTATTTCCTCTGGCGATAAATTATAAATGAAAAACAGATTTCAGTAAGTTATTGTCTGTCTGGCGCAGCAACGTTGAAAAAAATCTGCAGTTGATATTGTCCTTGGCAGATGCGCTGAGTTTAGTTTGGAGGAAGAAAAGTTAGAAGGAGTAAAGAGAAGCACATCTTTAAAGGGGTATTTCCTTTTCCCCTCGCTCTCAGCAGGAGAAGCAAGTGATAATAAGTTTACGAGAACTAAGCTGAATATCCACCATGCCTTCGTGGACTGAGCTCTTTAGATGACTGTGAATCCCAGAACTCCGAGACGCATGATTGAGAGCTGCAGAAAATATTTTGGCCTTCAGCTCAGCCAAACTCAGATACGTGACGAGGAAGTACAGCAGAGCTTAGATCACACTTTCTGAATGCGTATCTTTAGACTTTGTCAAAACTAATTCTGACTGTAATTCAAACGACAGAGTAAGACACGCTGGTTGTTGTTTCTTTAAACTTACTTTGTTTAAAAAAAGGGAATCCCTCCCTATGATAGTGAAAGTTTCCTAATAAGCATGTGTGAAATGTTAATGATGTACAAATACTGTGAAATAGAAATCGTAGGTATTTATACTTCCTGAAGTGACGACTTTTGTTACAGACATTGTATTTTCTTCCCCCTCTGAATCACAGACTCTATAACACATGGATGTAATCTCAGTGGCGTCATCCATTCGTCTTTTGAAGCCTATCATCCACAGTGGCCAGGCTGGAAATGCTGACTCAGCCTAACTTTTGCTTGAGTAAAGTTGAAGCAGGTCCTTAACCTCCTTGCTAACAGCTTCAGTGAGCTTGCCTGTCTGTCAAATCAGGAATTTTTGACAGATGTAGGATCATGCTCATCATGTATCACAGGAGTTTCTTGCCCTCAAAGGCTGCCCTAGCTTGTCTGTATAGAGAAGTCAATAGGGGAGCGTTTTAATAGCTAAATATTCCCAGGATATATCCAGCATTTAAACTAAGTTTGGTGTTGCAGTCTATAACCTCTCAAAATCCCACACAAAGATCAGACACTCTCTGTGGATCCATCTCTGCACATTAGCTGATTGGTATAAAAAGTCTAAAACGACATTAAAACTCGACCGCAGATGAGAGGCATCTGCGTCCATCAGGAGGATCTTGAAACAACGAGGATGAAAATGAACCCGCCGACGTCAGAGCAGATTCTGAGAAGCCATACTTTTTTCAACCAAAGGATTTGCACATTAAAGTTCAATGAGTTCAGGGCCAGTCAGAAGCAAAAAAAAAAAAGGCACTCTAGAGGATCTCTTCTGATCACATTCAGTTGTCTCCAACTGTTACGTTGCAGCCCATTTTGCAGCTGCTTCAGATAGCTGCCACGATCCACTGGAACAGAGTCAAACATTCAAAAATATGGCCTCGGTTTAAAAGTCCGAAAAGTTTGCCTTGCACTGTTTTACAAGCAGAGAAATCCTTTCCTTTTTTTTTGGTAAAGACTTTCTGCCACCTCTACACTTTGAAACACAAGAAAGTAACATCTGTAAATCTCCAAAATAATCTGAGTTAGTCTTGGAAAACATGTCATCACCTTGCTGAACAATCAATACTCCACTGATACCTCCAGCTCCCTCAGCGCGCTGCCAAAAAATGAGTCTGCTTCATTTATGACCCCTCTGCTCTTAAAAATGTGTCAACCGGACCTGCAGCGCTCTGGACTGGTATTTAATGGCCAGCAGCTGTTTTCCTCCTCTCGCTTTCCCTTTCTGACCCTTTTCTCTAGAAAGAGAAACTTAAAGGCTTTACAAACCCACACCCTCCTGATCACAGCGCATGCATGCCACGGTCCTGCTTCCACCACACCTTCCACAGACGTCAAACTCGCAGACGCACAATCAACAAGTGACACTGCAACAGGGCACTCACGCAAACACTAGGAGGATGCATTAATGTTTATCAAGAGGGATGGTGCTTGAATCCGCAAGAGAGCCAGGTGCACTCGTGTTGAGTGATGCAACGAGGCAGAAGTGCAAACTCTGCAGAACTCAAATAAGACTGTAGACGTAACATTATGTGAGACACAATGAAGTGGAAACCGAGAGGGTCATTGGTCACATTAACACATACATGTAGAAAGAGTCTTTTTCATCACCGCTTCAAATCCACTTCCTCTCCTAACATGGGAACCAGCTCACACTGTGTTCATCTGAAACCAGGTCTACAATCTTGACGTCATTTTGAAATAAATTTAGACAAAGTTGAAGCTTTTATCTTGCATCTTTAGATCCTGATCTAAACTCGGCTTATCTATCTCTCTTTAAAACCAGACAGGACTTTCAGGAATCGTGGTTAGAAATTTAATAATCAGCTTTTGGGCGGAAAGCTTAATTCCCACAGTTAGGACTGAGGATGCAAAACTTGGGGCTGATACCAATCTAGATGATGGAATATCAAATCACATCAAGAGCCAATTCCAGTTCCTATTATTTGATTTATGAGACTTAATGAAGTTAAATGTCTCAGTTTTCATCTTTTGAATATGCTGATTTCTGTTAGTTTAAGTGGTAGTTTTATTTTAAGGTAATACTGAATACACAAAGAGCCAAGAAAAGCATTGGATGATGACATCTCATAATATCATCCACTGGCATCTACTACAGACAATAAAAGGTTTGAATCAGGATGCAGCAAATGATTGCCAAAACTAACCATTTTTCTCTTCTATAAATTCATTTAACTCACAGATTAATTTGATTATTATTTATCATTATAACTCAGTTTGAGAGTATCTTGTATTTGCTGTTTGGGACCATAATAAGCTTGATCACGGTGTGAAATGACCATCAAACAGGCAACTTCGTGGCAATATTAGCCACCAAAACCTTCGCTCAGAGATGTGAATAAACTAGGACACAATGCTGTTTGAGATCTTGATTCTTACAACTTTTAATGACAGCCTAAATTTGCCTTTCTTCTTGCTCCTCTTCGGCTCATTTTTGCACATATTTGGCTGAAATCCGGAGGGTTACGTTCACGTTTGCTAGCCTGCTAACATTACCTAACATTACATGATGGGATTAGCTTTGCAATCTTCCGCGTCACAGACTTGAATAGTTTGACTTGTTAAATTAAGAAAGCGATAATGACGATAATTAAACTCAGCATAGATTTTATTAACACCCACCTAAAGGATGGACCTTTGAATGCAGCCCGAGCTAGCTAGCTGCTGTGCTTTTATTATTCAGTGCTCTGTTGTAAGGTTAGCCTTCATTTTGCGTCTTCATAGAAAGATCGGCTGATGGTAAAACGTTCGTTTAAAGATCCATTGTTAGAAAAAGGATGAATAATCTTAAATACGTACTTAGTGTTGGCGAGAAAACTGCACAGTAGATTCTGGAAACGGGTTACCGCAGCGTCTACCGCCAGCCGTCTTCACTGCCAAGCGGTCTGCTGTGGGCAATATTTTCCTACACCAGACTCCTCCGGGGTTGCCAGATTCGATCCAAAGAACCCCCCTTTTAACCCGGCGCCTTGAGATGGCTTTTAACTGCCACTGTAATTGTTCCAACTCATGAAAGCCATGAGCAACATTCATATAAATGTCGTATTTGCAAAATTTTCTACTTCATTTCCATTATGGAGCTATTTGTCAAGAATTTTGACACTTTTTTTTAATCTAAGTTCCTCGTTGCTCTTCAAGCACTGAACGAAAATAGATTTACTGCAAAATACAAAAATGGAAAAGCAGAAGGAAAAGGAGGGGTGAAAATCGGAAATGATGAAACATGCTTAAATACACTTATGTGATGATACAAAAGGAGCAAAAAATTATGCCCTTTTTTCTAATCTGATGCGCTTCAAGGTGGTTGCCACCCCAGAGGCAAGTGTCATATTTTAAGTGCCTGGCCAAAAACTGGACACTGCAAACTCATTGTGTGCAGAGATCATAACAGAGCTGCTACATTTGGTTGCAGAACTATTATAAGTACCAACAACTTAGCTATTTACAGTAGGGGAGAGTGGGATAATATGAGTCATTTTTCATATTTCGGATCACTACATCAAGGCGATCATAGTTTTGTCTCTAACTAGTGTATCTGTAACTAGTGTATATTCATGTGTATTTTTATCTGTTATACGCAGTTCAATTGCTACAATAATTCTTTTTACTATTATTGCATATAACAGCTAAAAAGCTGTTTTGTAAAAATCCATTTAACATGAGAATGCCTTTGAGTGATTCAGGACATTCACAGCTGTATTTTTGAAAAGAGAAAGTAACACATTTTAACAATCTTAACTGAAACTCTGATCCTCTTGTCAGACTCCTACTTCCTCGGTTGAGCCACTGGTTCAACTTACCCCAGAACTACTATTATATTATTATGACTTTATTAGTCCTCTAAGCTAAAATGGTGGACTCTTATGCCAGGTTTTGACCTCATGTTGTAGCTCATAGATACCACAATTGATGTATAAAACAAATTTAAAATGATGATTTTTTGGTCTGAACACAATTCTAATAAAACATATGACAGACTAAATTCACTTTCAAGAGTGAAAAATGTTTTTTTGTAAATAAATCTCTAACCCCTTCACTCATGTGCTTCTAACCTTCACAGACTCCATGAATTGATGTCCATCTCCTAAATATTTGGTCACATGATCAATTTCTTTCACCATTTCCAAGCAACAGGAGGTGGCTCAATTTACCCTTTGGCTCAACTTACCCCACTCTCCCCTACTGTGTACATACATGGGTCCCTCTTAATGGCTCTTGTACATCACGGATACTTAAACATTGTCGTTGATGCAAACCAGGCAACCCGCCGTGGTCCACGTCGTCATTTCCGAAGTCGAAGAACAGGGTTCGCTTGGTTTACCGCCTGGAGTCTCCCTGTTTGAACACAGTCGAGCGGGCGTTGTTGTGCACTCTCGCGCCACCGAAGATCCTCACCCCCGAAATCCGTCCGTAGAAGCTGACATGACAGCACTTACCTCGAGCGGACCGCACATTGAGAAAGTTTCATTCCGCAGCTCTGAGCAGGCGAAGTGAGCGAGGGGGGACGTTTGGAGACTCCGAGTCTGCCGGAGAGTGTGAGGGGAGCGGAGCTAACGCGGCACACCAAAATGGCAACCCCCTATGTGACAGATGAATCTGGTAAGGCTAATGCATGTGGCAGACTTTTGTCTAAACCGAACTATAATCCTCCTCATTCACCCAGAGCAGCTGCATTTGAGAGCAAATATTGAATTAAACTCCCAGAATCTGATTGTGAACTAAATTAGTCCCACTTTTATTCAAATGTTTGGCTCTGGGGCTCGCTTGTTGATGCTAATTTAAGCTAGGACAGGCTGCACAGTTGCTCAGCTGTTATGTGATCGGCAAAAATGTGAAAATAATGAGCTACATGTACAACTGTCACAATTACACTAACGTGTTTTTAATGTAACACTGGGGTGTGCATTGTGTTAAAAGCCTCATTTGGATTATATTTGATACATAGCTGGACAGCTGCTATACTGGCTGACGAGTTATCTGCTGGAGGAGTCTTACCCAATAATCACAATTACAACATAAACGCCAAAAACATGGTGAAATGAGTCTAAAACTGCGATTTCAAGTTACCACTTTGTTATTTTGTCACAAACTATGAAAAAAAATGTTGTGTGCCAGTCATGTAAATCACAATGATAGTAATTTCAGTCAACACAACATTCAGGTTACAGTCAAATAATTTTACTGATTGCATTGTTCATTATTCATTATATTTTTGCATCATATTAAACTTTATTCATCATTAGTGTCTTTTAACTGTTCCTACGTTTCTAATCTTTTAAAGGAGATATTTGCCAACAGATAATATTATAATGTTCTGAAAGACTGACAATCTGCACTTATGTTCTTGTGATGACATCTAGTTTTGGACATTTAATAAAATAGGCAGTAAGAAAAATATCTGTGTCTTATTTCTTTACACTGAGGGTGGGGAATCTCTAATTGTGATACATATATGATCATTCATATAATATTTAACTCTAGAAAAACACATTTGTAAGAGTTTGTCAGAATTATAACCTGAGGAAGCTTTTGATTTCTTCTTTTCTTTATATTAAATGGAGGCACATACCAGTGGAGTAAAACCTCTTTCTTTTTGTTTCAGTCAGTCTTTAAAGAACTCATCATGCACACTGACATCTGCTGGTGTACAAGTGTTTAAGCAGTCATTTAAGAGCGAGACCTCAATCAGGTGGTTTAAACTGAAGGTCACTGTCTGCTTTTGTTTTTGAAGGAGCATATTATTGAGATGCAGGTCTGTTTTGTAGTGATATTCGTTAAAGTCACTTACTTTGAGGTAGACAGGCTCTCACCCTGATTAATAATTTCTGTTACTGTAATGTGCCATATTCCACTTACTTGTCTGCCTTTTTACTGAACTTAAATTTCACAATAATATCTAATTGAGTCATAAAATTTGTCAAATTCAGTGAAATAATCTCTCAAGCAGCATGAAGTTTGAAGCTTAGGACAGCAGACGACACACCCTGTTAATGAAAATGTCTTCATTGCAGTGTACCTGGTGTTATCACTCTATTAATGTTGCTGAGGAAAAAAAACAGCAGTATATTTCCCTTAGTCTAAGGCAGACCTCAGGAGACAGAGGGGATTTAAGGGTCCGCTGACTCAGAGTTTACAGGATTACTCATGCAGTGAATTATCAGCACTTCTCTAAAATTGCACCTGTTGCTCTTCAGGGAAATACATCGCTGCCACTCAGCGGCCTGATGGAACATGGAGGAAGCCACGGCGAGTGAAAGATGGTTATGTCCCCCAAGAAGAAGTACCAGTGTAAGTGTGATTAATACATCCTTACAGGACTTTCGATTTAGAGTTATTATAGGATAACTGTATCTGATTCTTTCAAACGGTAAATCTGTTCGCATACAACTGGAAAGTGGTGTATTCCTCTCATTTTGGATTTGTCTCTTGTTTTGTTTTTTCCTGTTTCAGCTATGAAAACAAGTACGTAAAGTTTTTTAAAAGCAAACCAGACCTGCCTCCTGGGATGAGCCCATCTGAGGCAGCTCCACCAAAGCAGCAGCAGAAGATCCCGGGCTGCGTAGACAGTGAGACTGCCAATCTCTCAAAGTCAGCCAAACGCAACATGAAACGTAAAGAAAAGCGAAAACAGCAGCAGCAGGGCCAGGACGGAGACGCAGATGTGGAATCAGTGAGTGATGCCATTGGTAATGTGGCCATCTCAGAGGGCGGGGAGTCTTCAAACAAGCCGGCAGAAGCTGCACCAGTATCTGTCCCCTCTAACGATGAGTCCTCAGCAGCATCAGCAGCGGCTGAAAAATCCAAGAAGATCAAAAACCTGAAAAAGAAGCTGCGACAAGTTGAGGAGCTGCAGCAGAAAGTGAACTCAGGGGAAATTAAAGAGCCGACAAAGGATCAGCTGGAAAAGCTGGGCCGAGCGCTGGCCTTAAAGGAAGAGCTACAGCAGCTCGAGAGCGAGTCCTGAAGCAATAAAGTCAAACCAGAAGATTCAGACAGACTAAACGCACGGAGGCAGGGAAGGGACCTTTGTAGCTTTGTAAAAATAGCTTTCATTACACATACTCTACCTATTTGATATTCATGCTGAGCTCTGGACCAGAACCGAGCCCAAAGTTTTATCCACACAGTGATGGGGCGTCTTCGTAGCAGGCAGCACCAATCAAGAACTGACTGGCCTGTTTTCTAGACTCAGATTATTAGGACTCGTACCCTTATTCTGACCGGGCCATCCATTTATAAATAACTTTGTGATTGTTTTGTGCGTGTCTGTCCTCTCCATTTTGTATCTTTCATGATCATCATCAGGTATTACTGACACATAAAGTTGTTTAAGAGAATATTGTTTGTTTCCTCCGAGTATTAACACTTTAATAATGTTTGGATGGACTGTTGTAGCCGCACTGATGTTGAGGAACTGTCAATACAGTCAATACATTTATTAAAAATACATGCTGCGTAAAATAATCATGTCATGTTACTTACTGGAGTTTCCTGGACGGGGGTCATCTTTTTATGAGGCAGGGTGTAAAAACTTTTAAAAGCAGTGATATGTAGGTGCGATTGGACATTTTTGAAGCAAGTTTTAAACTTACAGTATAAAACTGGAGTAAGAGGGCTAAAGAAACAGCTGAACAGGCAAGGATGAATACAAGTCTATTCTTTAGTTGAGCTCTGTTGTTGTCTATAAACTCCTTGAATAGTTTGTTGAGCTGGCCAGAGGATGTCCTGTACTTTAATGAACATGAACAAAGTTTATATTAACTTGATCTGAAATAAAACTCCTGGATTTTTAAACGATTTCAGAAGAGACAAGTGTATTGCTCCGCAGATGAAAAAAAAAAATCTAACGGCAAATGAGTCACTTAGCAAGTACATCTGAGATTAAAGCTCTTATAAGGAGTTTTTCAACGTTTATGAAATTGACTGAGATTCACAGCGAAGCCATCTAAACAGGTATAAATAATGAGACTAAATATTTTTATATCCCTATTTTTATCATCTAAAAAAAAAGACGATTGCTGTAGACACTGTCCCGTTTTTACAATTTTCCCCAAAAATATTCTCTATGAATGATACGTTAAAACCATAAGTTTCAAACTGGAGCTTTAAGTATGACAGACACAAGGATCTAGAGAGGAGGGAATAAGACATAAGCGCCACAAACTACTTCATGTCCAATTAGAGAAGTGCTGACGTGCAGCACCGGATGCAAAACTGTGAACACTTTTCGGTCATTTTTTATAGGTTGCCACAGTGGAAAATATCAGTAAAAGTCATCCCTAGATTAAGTTTCAGTTTATGTTGCAGAAGTAAGTTATTTTGACAAATTAAGTCATTATTTGAGTAAAGCTTCTCATTATGAAAGAGTCGTTTCATTGAGACAAAAGGTCATTGTGTTGATGGAGTTTCTCTTAATGATTTACTGCGTCTTTTTTAATCTCACTGGCGGATGTGGGTTTCCAAACACATCTGTCTGCTCAATTTTTTCTTTATGAGTTTTATTCCACAGCGTTTCAGCGGAAAAGGAGGCGTTTTCCGTCTGCCTGCAGAAGACGATTTGTAGCGCTGGTTTCATGGAGGCGTTATTCTTTTTCCTTAAATGTATTCTTGCAGTGCGAACAGTATAATTAGCTGTTGTCTGCTCACAGGGGAGTGTGGTTAGTTGTTTTCTTCATAGAGCTGTATCTGTTAAACATAACAATGTAAAGATTCTTGTGGAGTCACTGTTTTCTAAAATATGAACATCTGCACAGCTGTCAGAGTTTTATTTACACCGTCTTGAGGATAATTCACCTACAGACTCACCGCAGTGACGTAACAGGTTACAAGTCATTCCCTTTAAAAGATGGTGGGCAGACCATCAACCGTCTTAATATTGATGATTTTTTTTCTTTCTTTGACGCAAACAGAACGACTCAGAAGTTATTCTTAAACACTCAAAGAACAGATTTGTCTGAATGGTGGTGTCTTGCTGTGAGCGTCTAAAGGAAACATGTTTGGTCCTTTGTTGACAGCCCATCACATTCCTCTTTGAGGTTTAGTTTGTGGTTTTGAGGCAGTTCCTGAACAGACACTAGATGGTATAAAAACTGAGGCAGCAACTTCAGCTTTGAAGAGTAGGATGGATGTAGACAGAGGAGCTGTGGTTTATGGAGATACTTAGAAATTATCGCTCTTACACTGTTGGACCCTGAACTAAAAAATGGATTATAAACTGGAGTTAATATTACTTCTTATGTCCCTGACAGCAGCTTCATCTTTTGCTCTGGGCGGAGAAGAATTAACAGAGGCGATGGTAAGAAAATACAATTTTGTGAGGATGCATTTCAAATATATATCCCTTGTTGTGAATGATAGACAAATGTTGTTTCTTGAGCTGGTTGTCAATCATCTGAACTGACACCTGCTCCCTCTTAGCTGTTAAATTTACTGAAAATTGTGATATACAAGTGTTCACTCCTGTTTTACATGAACTCTGTTGCTTTGGTAGATCATCAAGAAGCATCATAATCAAGTTAAAACTCTTCCCAGGAGCTTTAAAAGTTCTACTTCTGACAGAGACAGGGCTCATTATTTGAGACATATTACTGCTGAAGCTGAATTTTTGATAACATGTCTCATTCCACTGCTGTTAAAAATCCTCCTCTTTTTCTTAAGACGTATTTAAAGAAGTTTGGTTATCTTCACATCCCACTGGACAGTAGACCCAAAAACTATTCAACTGAAGAAATCGCAGAGGCCCTAAGGTAGCTGCTTGTTGGTCATTATCATATTAAAAACTTTTTTTTTTTTCACTAAAAATGTTGTTCTGTTTGTTTGTCAGATCATTTCAGAAAGCAACAAACCTGCAAATATCAGGAGAACTGGATTCAGCCACTTTATCAATGATGAGCAAACCCCGATGTGGTCTACAAGACTCTTTTAGTGACACATCCCTCAAATATCGAGTCATGGGTGGGTAAAGTTCTGCAGTATTATATTTGTTCAAAAACATGTAATGAAAAGTGAAATTATGTTTCCCATTTGAGCAGGTTACTGGCGAAAGAAGCAGCTGACTTATCGGATCCATAATCACACCCCAGATCTGGGGAAAGACAAGACCCGACTGGCCATCCAGAGTGCGTTTAAGTACTGGAGCGATGTGTCACCCTTGAGGTTCAATGAGCTGCAGAGTGGACGAGCAGACATCAAAATCTCCTTTCACAGAAAAGACAGGTCCTGTCCAGTACCCTTTGATGGACGAGGTGATCAACATAAGTAGATGTCTTACAGAAACTCCGATAAGTGATTTTCATTTGACAAGTTTTTGACAAGTTTCTCTTGTTATTCTTAGGTCATGTTTTAGCCCACGCTGATGCCCCTGAGTCAGGACTTGTGCATTTTGACCAGGATGAGCTGTGGACTGAGGGTAAGAACTACGGCTCCAACCTGAGGATTGTAGCAGCCCATGAGATTGGCCACGCTCTGGGCCTTGGTCACTCACAGCACTACAGTGCTCTAATGGGACCTGTGTATAATGGTTACCGTGCCGACTTCAAGCTTCATCCAGATGATATACATGGGATCCAGACTTTGTATGGTAATGACAGAATCTTATCACAGTTTCAGGGTTTGTGTCTTCTTTAAAACAAATAAAAAATACAATGCAGAGTGTTATTTTAATCCAGGGAAACCAGAGAAGACTCCTCCAGACAGAAATCCACAACCAGGAGCTGTCCCAGATCCTTGCAGAGCCACCCTGGATGCTGCAATGTTGGGTATACAGACAGAAATGTATGGCTTTGTAAGAAGATCCTAAACAGGAAAATAAGCGTGTTGAGCTGTATTTTCTCTTCAATCATGCCCCCTGCAGGTCCTTGGCGTAAGACGTACATGTTCAGCGGTCAGTATGTGTGGACGGTGTCTGGTTATGGTTATAACTCTCCAGTCCTGATCTCTGCTCTGTGGAAGGAGCTACCAGGGAGCCTCAATGCAGCTGTTCACTCACAGCGGACCGGCAAGACTTACTTCTTGAAAGGTGGGTCCATTTCATTAATAGAAAAACCTCGTTTGGCTCAGCTGGTTACAGAGGTAGTAATTACAGCATCATGAGATTATTTTTTTTCTTCACAGAAGACAAAATATGGAGGTACACCAACTTCAGACTGGACCGAGGTTTTCCCAGAGCTCTGGCAAAAATCCCCGCCAACATGGACTCCGCTTTTTACTTCAATAAGAATAGAAATCTGATTTTTATCAAGGTAAGTGCAATAAAACAGAAACCAAGGTTTGCAATAGTTTAAAAAGTACTTTAACTAAGATCACGAGTTAATTGTCTCCCCTGGTTTTGGTCACTTGAGTGTATTTTCTTTGTGATTTCCCCTTGTGTTTCTGTCCCCCATTGTTCCTGTTCCCCTGTAGTCCTGTCTTGTGAGTTTTCAGTTCGTGTCTGACCCTGTTTCCCTCATGTTCTCAGTGTTTTATTCTTTATATCAGTTTTCAGTGTTTCCTGTTTTATTTTGTTGTAGTTTATTCCATGTTTCTGGTCTTGCTTTACTTCCTCAGTTTTTCCTCCTCTGTAATTGTCTGCACCTGTGTCTCAGTGTCTCACCTGCCTCTCGTTGCTCGTTTCTCTCTGTGTATATATAGTCCTTGTCTTCCCCTGTTTCTTTGTTGATTTATTGTATGCGTGTCTCCCCACTGAGTGTCCATGTGGGTTTTCCCAGTGCCTTTTTGTTGATTTTGCATTTGGGAGTTTTGAGTCGGACATTATACTTTTTTTGTTGTTGTTGCTTCTTATTTAGTTCTTTTTTAAAAATTAACTTTTTTTGTCATTGTGCATTTGAATCCACTTTTCATCTGTTTAACTCTGCAATGTGACACCTGACCTGTTTTTAGAGGGCCACAAAATCAGGAGTCACACATCCGTCCGCTAGATTATATCTTGATGACAGCAGGGACAGATTTAGATTAAAAATGTCAGATCAGGGAACATCTTATATTGATCTGTGCATCATACTGCCTTACAATCAATATAAGGCCACAATATGAAGCCCCCCCAAACAGCCTCCGCAGAGATCATGAACACACAATTTAAATTTCACTACATGAAGCAGACTGCATTTAATATTCCCATCGATTTTAATTACTCCTATAAGGGTATGATCTTTTAGTTATCTTAAATGTCTCCTCACAGATATCACAAAAGTTATCCCAATGTGCAATCCAGGCTGATTTTGACTTCCTTACAAATCACTTTTTTTTGAAACATGTTAAGTCTCTCGTATTTCTAAGAAAAGTATTTAACCTGTTGTTTCAGGGCTCCATGTACTGGCAATGGGATGAAATCGGCAGGACAGACTTCACTTTGTACCCCAAACCTCTCAGACACCTTTTCCAGGGGATACCCGGTGATATTGATGCTGCTTTTACGTGGACTAACGCTCACATATACGTGTTTAAAGGACCACAGTACTGGCGGCTCAACCAGAACCACCAAGCTGTGGGTAAGGCCTATCCTCTGAGCACTGCCACACACTGGATGAGGTGTGACGACTGAGCCACTAGAGGCCAGCAAAGATTCAACTCAAAATTCCATTCAGTGACACAACACACAGAGAGAGGCTTATTTATTTCTATGAACCACTTTTGGATGGATGTTTTTATTAGCTAAACATTTTTTTAGCTGTGGTGGAATAAGACAAACCTGAGTGGTAAAATTCAGAAAAAAATCTGATATTTTTCTTTGGGGCTTTATACTCTTCAATAATCCGACATTTTGACTTTTTATACTAGAAAAGGTTGAAAAAGGTGTAAATGACGGCTCTGTTTTATCTTCTCTGCTGTCATGTATTAGCCTCTCTATATCTATATGTCTTCTCCTTTTTTTGTATTGTTGATAACTGCCCATATTACCCTGTTGGAGTACAAACTGACCAATACATAGAATATTTTTTTTGTAAATCTTCATCTTGTATGTTTTCATTGAGTTAAAGTGTTTTTATTGTTCTATCTTGTAGCTTGAACCTTTAGCTGGCATGCTGGCTTTGAGTAACTTATTTCTTTGTGAATAAAACAAATTAAATAAATAAAACTTTAAGAAACGAACACATCGACTTGACTTCCTTTCAACTTAAATCTCAGCAGATATCTACATAAAATGACTTTAAGTCAAGATAAGCTTAAATGGTGCCTCCTCTCTGATCATATCCTGATATTTTTATGCACATGAACTATTATTTTTTTGACATATTTTTTTTACTTGTTCATTTATTGGTACTATTATAAATGCTTATATAATGCAAATATAGTAAATATAGTGTATTATATTGTTTTGGCACTACATGCATCATGAATACTGCTCATCTTTTCATCGTATTTGTTCAGACACACCTCATTTAGATGTCTCTCAAAAATGACATCGTAATACAAAATAGAAAATGCTTTTTTAATTCAATCTAAATCCAGTTTAGACTCAACCTGTTGAAAGATGACAAACACAGACATATTCTCTCTCTTAACGATTCACAAACAACAATATGAACATTTGATTGATTCAATCTACTTTTAAGTTTTTGTTAGTATATCAAAACTATTGTTATAGTTGTGTATTTCTGAGTCAGTTTACTGATTTATGACACTTAGAGAGACAAGCCAATACTCCAAATACAGGACAGCTTCTCTGTTAACTAGTGTTTAATGTCCTTTATCAGACAACACCCCCGACTGTGAATAGTTTTATTTTATGTACATTTAGACAGGATTTTCTATTGTATAAAATAACTTAATCTGTGTCTCAAAATATAGAGTGTCCACACAGAATATTAAAGTGGTCAAAGTGGGTTCAAACCAGCAGGAAAAATGGCTGAAGTCGTTTTGTAGAAGTTGACGTGCCATTAGAAGTTCGATTATTAATGTATATCAGGTTTATGATGCTGCGTATTCCTTCAGAAGTTAAAGACAGGAGAAGAAGACGTCAGAGGAACCATGGAGCCCGTCTCATAGTCAAAGTCAATGAGTGTGTGTGTGATGGTGCTGACGCTGCTGCCGGAGGAGCCGGTTCCCAACTGGCGCTCCTGGAGACTCTGCAGATAACTCTGGACGGGAGAGAGGAGATGACTGGTGTTAGTGAACTGCCCCATTTAAACTCTTAGGGTTAAGGTTAAGAAGAAATAAAATAAATCTTTGCTCTTTAATTCATTTTATGTCATTTAAAGAGTTGAATTCAGTCACTCACCGGTGCTAGGACGTCTCCAGCATAGCGATTCAACATAGGAGGTCTGCGTCGACGGTATGATCGAGGTCTTCCTCTTGTCTCTTTGTATCTGTACCTCTTTGCATGTTTCTTCTTCTTTTTGTCTGCAGCTGTGAAGCGAAGGACAAATAAGAGTTTGAGCTCTGAGGGTCTGAGTTTGGACGCATCAGTATCAACAGCCTAAATCAAACCCACCATCTCTGTGTGACACTCCTCTGGCAGTGAACCTCCATTGCACAAACACTCCTATCAGACTCATGGTGGGCCATATCCCAGCGATCACCCAGTCAAACCAGCAGAGTTGACGCGGGGCAGCCTGACAGAGTAGATCATACACCTGATCAGGCAGCATGAATGTCCCCATCATGTAATCCACACACAGCATCACAGCGGTGGCCCCCAACACAGATGTGTAAATGATGGTGAAGAGTTTTTGCCACTGAAGTGTGAGGACGGCAGTGACGATACCGGCTGCCAGCAAAGCACTAAGAGGCACCCATACTGGAGAAAGGCTGTGAAACTGTCCAATAACCACCAGGAAGGGAAGGGCGAGCAGGCTGCCCAGCTGCAGACCGCTGAAGATGAGTCCCAGAGTGGACACTAACAGAGTTCCCAGGCCGAAGAGCACACCCACACCCAGCCCGATTCCCGCCTTCGTCTCTATCCCCAGTTTTGCATCCAGCACGGGCTCTTTGTGGTAAAACAAGAGGATGGCTGCAGAGCTGAACAAGAAGCCCGAGAAGAACATGACCATTTTGAAGCAGCGGTATCCTGGAAAAGAAACAGAATCACAGTTAAATAGAGAAACATCTACTTCTGTGTTAGGCAAACTTTAATAAAAGGGACAAAATTAATTTAAAAAATCTTTCCTTTGAATAAGAAGCAGCAGCCCTAGCCACTACACCGCAAAGTTTAAATAAGCAATTCAAACTAGTTTGTGAGTTTGTTCTGGTTTTCATGTCCAGCATCACATTTCTCATTATTTTAATCTGAGTTACATCCACAGCCACTGTCTCATCACTTTTTTTGTTCACAATAGCCGCTTTCTTCATGAAAATCTAAACTTTCTCCACCCCCACCACAACAACTGCTGGTTTTCTTCCAATGATTGACTATTTAAACTTTAAAAAAGCCATTTCAGCCAATGCTAACACTGTGAGAGTTGGTGGGAACACAGACTTTGGCAGCTTGTTTGTTTGCATAATGTCACATGGACTAGGGAGCAAAGTACAGACCATTCACAAGCACGCTCACTGTGTGTTTGTTGGATTTGTGTTCACACATTTTGTCTCGGACAACAGTGGCAGATATCAGACTATGTGTTGTCTTGTACTGTATTTTCTCCCTGACAGCATATAAAAGAACAAACTCATATGAGTGCTGCTTGTTGATAAAAACATCCCATGAGTGTCTGAATCCTCATGAGCTTTTGTCAGATTTAACAAAGTGAAACCAGTGAGATGTCAGACAGTGCAACAGGTGCAGCCTTGTAACGCTGTCTGTGTTGACTTGAAGAGAGTACCCATATGCCTCCTCCAGCTTATCCACACTAAACCCCTGGCAGTGTCCAGACACCTGCTACTGCTGCTTTTAAGTGTCAGGTGAGCCAATTAAACTTGACTGTGAAAACCCTGACAGCAGGCACATGTTGAAATAGTGGCTTTAAGTACCCTTTAATGCACCATATCAGCAGAGCCATTTTCCACATGACATTACGCACAATCTGGAAAGCTTAAAGGACAACATGGTAGAGCTGTGCTTCAAGAGTCAAAGAAATCATCATTCATCACTTTTCTACAATCGTTATCTGCCACAAACCAGTCACAACATCATCCATCTCAGTTCTCTGACACTTTCATTCCCAATTTTCTTTTCTTTAATTTTTAAATTATTTATTATTATTATTATTATTATTATTGTTTATTTATTTTTATTTTTATTTTTTATTTTTTACAACATCAGTATTACTACAACTATTATGATGAATATTATTGTCATTGTCATTTGCAGGCTGGTCTCATGCGAGTGGGCAGGGACCCAAGGTAGTCCAAATTTTAAGACCTCCCTTCCACCCATATAATTATTATTACTATCATTTTTTATAATATTGATTGTTGTTGTTGTTCTTCTTCTTCTTCTTATAATTATTAATATTATTGATATTATTCTTCTATTATAATTTCCATTATAACATTCCATTATATGCTTGTCTGACAATTGTAATATTTTTATCATTATTATTCAAATATATAATACACACACACACACACACACACACACACACACACACACACACACACACACACACACACACACACACACACACACACACACACACACACACACAAAACCACAAATGCTGTTGTTTGTTGTCTGTCTTGCATAAAAATAATAAATTAATTAATAAAAAAAAAATAATAATAAAATAAAAAAAGAGTCAAAGAAAGCTTAAAAGTCATGGTCATTCCCCTGATTCCTGCTCAATCAACAACCCGAACAACCCTAACCCAAAACCTGAAACAAGCCTCCTTATTTCATTCAAAAAGAGCATTTTTGATATCTAGTTCACTCTGAGCCGACAACTTTTCTGCTCAAGCTAACTTTCACTTCATCTTGAAACAGACAAAAGGCAGTAACGCCGTGTGGAAAAATTGTCAATATCAAGTTTAAAGTAAGGCTAATCCCAAATTTTGCACAAAATGGTCTTTGCCTCTTGATTTGACTTGTACTGACAGTGACCTTGCAAAAAATGTGACAAGGACCTGACAAAGACATGACAAAGACCTGGGTCTAACCTGATAAAAATATGACAGAGATCTGACAAAGACTCAACGATGAAAACCTGACAAAGACCTGACATTGGCTTTACAAAGGCAAAGAAACACCTGATCAAGACCGGACAAAGACCTGACACTGACCTGACCAAGAAATGATACAGAAAGACTTGAAGTATATCCAACTAAGATCTGACAGAGACCGCACTTTATATCTTTTACACATTACACTGTAAACATTGTAAGTCCATGAATATTTTTCCTAGAGGGACTATAAAGGAAAATTTTATCTTAACCAAGACGTGAAAAAGATGTTACAGTGATCAGACCTGACAAAGACTTGGTGCAGAATACTGAGTTGAAATGTGATATTGAACTTTGACTAAGTGCGTGTTGGTATTGTTGTTTTGTCATTTTCTTCCTGCTGTATGCATTTTATCATCCTTTGAGCTAATGTTGAAAGGTGGCTTTGATATATAATTTTCTTTCCTGGTGTTGTTCTAGCTGCAAATGTTTTGAGAAATAGTACATGGAGTAGAAACTGGCTGGATTTTTCCCCCGTATAAGACTGACAAAGACTTGCATCATGGCAGAATGACAGCAGTTTGGCTTCCCTCTGAGTATGACGTCACAGTAAATGGGGTCATGTTAATTAACCTCTGTTATCTATGTCTATGCACATTTTACATTAGTGCAAGAATACATACCAAAGAAGCAATAAATGAGTCCCAGTGACAGGCAAATGGAGCAGACAAAGGACGGGATGACTTCATGCTTGATATTAACCTCAAGTGCACATGCGTCCACCTCTGTTAATCCAGTGTCAGGCTCCTCAGTAGCATTGAATGAGGAAGCTGCCATCTTGAAGGATTATTGCTTCTATTGTTGTGGTTGAAATCCGCTTTGTTCATTGACAGTGGGAAACCACAGCGTCCTGCATGTGACATCCAGGGAGGGAGGAAGCTCCTGCATGAAGAACATGTGCTGAATGGTTTCCTGTTGTGCACCTGCAGAAAGAGAGGGGTGTTTACATTTGCCATATGGCACAACAAAATCAGGTGTTCATTTTAATATCAGTGATCAGTCAGCTTTTTTGACTCATCTGAGCATTGATATTGGAAATACAACATTTTTATCCTAAGATTTTTTTCTTATTTTAGATTTGAACGCCTGTTGGATGGGTTTTTACTCTTTCCCATGTTCAGGAACCAGAGAAGGAAACTGGGGATCCCCTCTGAATTTGGTGTCTCTCTTTCCTGCTGTGTTTGCTGAGGAGCAGGATACAGATGAGGAAATGACCTGGTGGCTTTATGCCATCCTTACACAGGCTCATTGTTCTGAGCATGTGGTTGGGTAATCAGTTTACTGAACAATATGACGAAAACAAATACCTCACCAACAGCACAGCCTAAACTAAAATCCCCCCCAAAAAATAAGCAGCCAAATAAGGAATAAATTTAAAAGTTTCATTTTTATGGTGTCAAAATTCTCTGTTACAAAGAAACGTTTTGCAGAAGGAACTAAATAATCAGCACAAAGTAAAGTGTTTTAATTGTGGGGCAGAATTATGGAAAACAAGGCAATACAAGTATGACGCACCTCAAAATTCAAGTGGAGCAATAAATTGAAGCCAATCTTAAAGTCAATATGCACTATTGATTTTTAATTGATGCTTAAAGTTTGGTTCTGTTAACAGATATACATATTTACACACTCTGGTCACAGTCCTGCTGTCTGTCTGCAGTGTGTGTTTGTTTACCGTGAGGACCTATAAGCCATACAGGCAGATCCCAAATGGAATTAAAGGAGCTTTTGGTGGTAAGTGATCCTTATGTCCTCATGTTGAAGTGAATGTACAATTCAGGAATACAACTAAACACTAAAATATGAGTAATTACATCCTGCAGCTCTTGACTGATATAATGACTCTTTTAAAAGGTAAGCATGACATGAAAAAAAAACAAACATATCTGTGTCCTACCTGGAATGAGACATGTCCTCAGAGTTGAAATGTGAGCTCAAACTCAGGAAGAAGTACCTCCTCAATGGTCGCTTGTCAAACTCCAGTGTGCCGAACAGCCCGGGAGCGAGCTGTCAGGACTTTGTCAGCAGTGTGACTGTGTGCTCCCCTTTGTGAACCTCAGCGTCCAACTGCATGTTAGCAGCTGACGCCTGAGTCTGAGAGGGAGGCCATCTGCTGCCAAGTCCAAGGCCGAGCCAGCTAAGGGCTCAGCTCTCACTATCCATGATCCTCTGAGTCTGCATCATCACTTCACAGCTTTACCTCACTCAGTTTGGCATTTACCCTCAGGCTGCCCGTGCTTTAAGGCCAGAGGATACTGCTTTTGACCCTACTTTGACCCTTTCAATGTTTTTTTTTCTTCTGAAACTTCTCTATGTAATCTCATTTAATCTTATTTTACTGGATTGACTTTTTTGGTGAAATAATAAGCACTACAATACAACGTCTGGGATCAACAACTCAGGGTTATGGCCAACCTTTATCTAACAAGGAAATAAAAGAACTTAAAGGAGATTTTTTTCAGTTATGAAACAGAATTAATATTGTACTTCAAAAGTAAATCAGACAATCAGAGATGAAATGAACCACTTTATAATCAGCTTTTTTTTTCATTTAGTTTTTGGTTGGATTCAGACAAAGTGATTTGCAGCATACAGAAAAAATGGTTCTTTCTTTCTTTCTATTTTCCCTGCACATTTCCCCTGTAATTGTTCATGCTGTTAGACAGTTCAAAGAAAGCACACAGTGGTGCCAGTTTGGCTCAGTGGTTTAAATTGCACACCCTTTGTACAGCGGCTTACGGTCCTTGACACAGGTGTTCTGGTTTTAAATCCATCTGTGGTCCTGAAGCGTTCCCTGATCCACCCCCCACGGCTACATGTACCCACACCAATGGTCCAAGCATCAGTCCTCCCTCTATTCCTCTATTTCTCACTGTACATTCATTTACTTCAGTCCTGCAAAACTCTTATCTTTTTAAAGTGGGGCTATCGGCCAATCATTTCAAGTATGTATATGCTCACAATAAAGTCAGCACTGTGAGATTCAGCAGTGAGCTGGAGGGAAAGTTGTCTTTTAATCTGCCATTAAGGAACGACCAACACGGACTGAAATCAAGAGAAATATCGGCATGAAAAAGCAACCCACTGAGTCACTGCTTTATGCACTTCAAGTGGCCATCCAGCCCTGTCCCTGTTGCTTTCCGCAGCACCAAATAGGCTTTGATGATTGGCCAAGAAATCAAATTCAATTGTTCACCGTGAAATGGGATTAAAGACATTCTATTCTGTCATGCTCTGTTCTAATGTTCTATTCGATTCTATTCTATTTGGGGGTATTTTGGCTTCACTCCTCGCAATGGACAGAAAGGAAGCGCCCAGTCCATATACCTACAGTTGGCTGTATATACAGTATGTCTAACAGAAATCAAAGAGATATGTTGGGAGAAAATCTTCCCCTTCAGAGGCAGGTATGATATCTATTCACAACACACGTCTGATGGCTCTGATGCACCCTGTCAATATAAAAACATACAGCTGATTGACTCGCGGAGCTCTGTGTGGGAGTTTCTTTATGATATTTTTGATCACAGTGCGGGGAGTATTGATCCTGACTGACCATCTCAGCTGCAAGCGTGAAAAGTGCTTTTTATCTGGATGACTCAAAGAGCCATTAGAGAGAAGTTGTATTGACTCCATAAGATGAAAAAAAAAAAAAGGTTTTGGAGGATTAAAAAGTTGGACTATTTAGATGTGATACCGAACAACTAAATGTTCGGATTCATTTTGCTGCTAAAACTATTACACAAGCCCAAATACTCTGAAAAACACAAACACAACATCCACCTGTTTCATGGTCACATATAAAGAGGTGTTAATCAGATCATCTGTGAGAACAACACATGATGTGTTTGATATTTTAACCAAACTTTTCTGCCAATAGACCTAGTCATGTATATGTCAACGCACAGTGTTGACATAATGGGACATTATGAGTGAGAGATATGGACGGTGAGAAAATGAGTCCTAAAAGGGGAGCTTGAGATCACCTTAAGGGTCAGCCAAGGTCGCCAGTTGATGACTTTCTTCTAGTGAGAATTTTTAAAACTGTTTTAGGACTCAGGGGTTACAAATGATGAGAACAAGTAATTTTGCTGATATTTTAATGGGAATAAAGACTCGGTTTATTTAGAGTTTGACAAACAGAAATGTTTGCCACAAGCTGATATAGTGGAAGGACATCCAGAGTGCATTAGTTTAGAAACTGGACCCATTTTCAAATTGTAAAAGGGCATCTACAAGACGTTTTATGAAACAGAGGAGCATCCACAAGGCACTGTGAAGCATGCAGAGTGGACTTATTTCCTATATTGGAAGGGCATCCAAAGTCTATTTCGTAATTATTGGACTGGCATCTGGAAAGCACGTTTTGTATACTGGAAGGGCAACCAGGAGCACTTCTTTTTTGTTTTAGGACACACATTCACAGGGCGCTTTTTGAAAAGAATATTTCCTTTACTGGAAAAGAATCCCAGCCGCACCTTTTATATACTGGAGGGGCATCAAGAGTACAACCAGAGGGAACATTTTTTCCTTGAAATGGCCTCCAGAAGGAACAATTATTCATATTTTATATTTAGAAATAGAACTAAAACCAATTTGTGGCAGTTATTTTACATTGTTGCTTTGTGTTTAATACAGGAAGCATGCATGATCACACCGGTACACGATTATCAATCACTGCAAATGATCATCCAAGCAGCACAGTAATATTCCTCTGTTTGGCATGAGTAAAGTACGTGATCCTCATACATATACACACGCAGTTACATTATATTACTCAGAAACATGGGCTGCAGCTCGCTTTTCATCATTATCTTAGCCTGTATCAGCAAAGTTCTCATTCAGGTTTACTTTATCTTTTCATGTCGGCTTATATGGCTGTTAATGCTACACCTCAAACAATAATATTGATGAATTTTAAGCAAAGGTTAAGGCTTCGGAACAGTTTAAAGTACACTGATAACCACAAATCAATATCAGAATGTTTGCTGTGTTGGGAGAGAGAAATGACGAAAGCATTGCACTTACATTGTCACGGTCGCAGCCCACCCCCAGCCGAGTGTGTACTACATGTATTGCCCTGTTTTATTTGTGTGAAAGTCTCTGTGGGTGACTGTGAGGGACTGTCAGAGAACCGGCTGCTGATAACGGGCAGAGACCAATATAAGCGTTGCTTATATAGTATGTCTTTTTTGTGTGCGTGTAGAATTCGTAAGGGATAGGGATAGGGATATTTCATAGAGTGTCATTTTTCCACCGGCGTAGTGTCTCTGTATGAGGATGTCGCGACTGCAAGGACTAGCTGCTGATTGGTTTACGGGCCGAGTCCGCCGCCGGACCAATCAGGGACAGGCGCTGGCGCACAGACACTGATTTGCTTGAATTTTAGTTGCTGATTGGTTAGTGGATCGAGTTCGATGCCGGACCAATCAGGGACGGGCGCTGGCACACAGACGCTTATTTCCTTGAATTGTAGTTGCTGATTGGTTAGCCGGTCAGGTCCACTGCCGGACCAATCAAAGATGGGCGCTAGGGCACAGACACTGTTTGGCTCGAATTGTAGCTGCTGATTGGTTAGCGGGTCGAGTCCACTGCCGGACCAATCAGGGACGGGCGCTAGGGAAAAGACACTGTTTTGCTTGAATTGTAGCTGTTGATTGGTTAACAAGCCGAGTCCACCACCGGGCCAATCAGTGTTCGTCACTGGCGCACAGACGCTCCTGTAGCTTGAATTGACCTATCGCTAAGCCCACCCCCCAGTTACTGTTGCCAACAAACAACCGGAGCTAAGCAGTGCTTCAAAATGGCCGCTGTCGGTGTCAAATGCTGTTACAAGAGGGTCTCGACAAATTCTGACAACATCTAAGACCAACACTGTTCGTGTACCACTGGGTAGGATGAAATTAATGTACCTTTAATTACTTAAACTAATCTGGAAAAGCTCTGAGTGTTACAGTCACTCAGCTAGTGCGCTATCCTGGGCTAACATTAGCGTTAGCTAGTTTATTAGAGGCGAAAGCTCTGTTCAACATCGCTAATGGCGAATAAATAAAAACGAGTAAAGTTAGTAAATTTAGGGCTATTTTGGTGTAACTTACATAAGAACAAGCGTAGACATCCTTGTTGATCTTCTGGGCGTTGGTTTTGCCGTGTGGTCTGCCAGATAGTAGACATTTACTGCGGTCTTTCTTTGGTTATGGATATGGAATGACGGGATACCTTGTGTTGGTGTAACATCTACCCCATGACCACCTTTTCAAGTTTCTTTCTGTTATATGAAAATTAACGCCATATAACAGATGAAAAATCCCGACTTCTAATGCTTCTTAATGGAGCTAAAAAGCTTCAGATGTCCGAGTTCTGGTCCCGGTAAAACTAATACTAAACTGCCATTGGCTCATCTGCGGTCGAGGGGCGGGGCTTGGGGATCGGTAAATTGTATCTGCTGATTTGTGTACGGGCTGAGTCCGACGCCAGACCAATCAGGGATGGGCGCTGGCGCAGACACACTCACGTCGCTTGAATTGGTTATGTTTTTGTGTTGAACTATAAGGGAAGGGGAGCTGCTCACCCCTTGTGTCATTTGAACTGCTGTTCTGAGCCAGTTTGATAGGGTGTTGTTTTTCCACCGGAGTTCAGAGTAGTGTGTGTGAGTGACTGTGAGAGGATATAGTTTCTCACTGCTGTTTCATAACTGCTCACTGGTTTGTGCTGAGTCCGCCGCCGGACCAATCAGGGACGGGCGCTGGCCCACAGACATTGTTATGCTTGAATTATAGTTGCTGATTGGTGTACGGGTCAACTCTACCGCCGGACCAATCAGGGACGGGCGCTGAGGCACAGACGCTGTTGTTCTAGAATTGTAGCTGCTGATTGGTTAGCGGGTCGAGTTCGATGCCGGACCAATCAGGGACAGGCGCTGGCCCAAGGACACTGTTATGTATAAATTGTACATGCTGATTGGTTAGCGGGTCGAGTTCGATGCCGGACCAATCAGGGACGGGCGCTGGCGCACAGGCGCTACTGTCGCTTAAATTGTAGCTGCTGACTGGCGTACGGGCCGAGTCCGACGCCAGACCAATCAGCGATGGGCGCCGGCGCACAGACACTCGCGTCACTTTAATTGGTTATGTTTTTGTGTTGAATTGTAAAGGATAAGGAGCTGCTCACCTCTCGTGTTTCATGTGCTATTCTTCTTCTCTTTATCACACATAGAAAATAAAATTCGTAGCAATAAGTTTGGTAATGTCTCTAAAATGAATTTTAGTGTCTGTACTTTCAGCTTGGTTTATTTTGTAGAGCTCACTTCTGAACTATTGTCTATGGTCCACCCTTACGTCAGTCTTTTTCAAGTCAGACAAAGATACTTTTTTTTTGGATATAGTTTATTTGCAACCAGGTCCAACCCTTTGCTGCATGCCTCCCCCACTCTCTGTTTCCTACATTTACTATCTCTCTCTCTTTGTTGTAGAAGGAAGGAATAAATTAAAAAAGGAGTACTATTATTATCAAATGAAGACATATTCAACAGGTGAATACCTTCCTCTATGTTGAGAGTCCTGTGTTGGATGGGGTGAAACCCATCTCCTGCCTCACTGCTTTGTATCTCAACAAAGTCTGCCCTCTTCATTATCTAGTCTCCATGAAACAGCCTTTAGAGCAGACAAATTCATTCAAAGACAGGAGAATTAATGAGCAAGCAATAATAAAAAGTCTGTTGAGGCAGCGTAATGGGGCCCCTGAAACAAAGTGAAACACAGTCTGGCCTTTGATTATTTGTGTTGATGCTAACAAGATAAGAGCTCTTGACGGACGTGGTTGATAAATAATTTATTTTGTATTCCAGAAAAGAGCGGGATCTTTTATTCTTGTTTCTCAGGAAGGCTCAAAATGTTTGGATACATTTTATCTTCTAACCATAGGTAAATCATTTATGATGTTTACATTGAGTATATTGGTGTAGTATCTAAATGAGATCAATTATACACAATCTATGACTTAATTTCTCAAATAAAGGTATCTTAAAGCTTCTATGGGGAGTTTTTTACAATTATGAAATAGACTAAAGTTCCTATTGTTTCCTTTTAATGACAACCAAAACCAAACAAGACCATCAGCTTTAAGATTTAACATGTCCTAATGTGATTTACTGTTGGTCAAATTTAGCAATGCTTGGCACAACAAATCCAACTAGGGCCCAAATGGACTGAAACTTAGCTCATTTTGGGTCCATAACTGGAGCAGAGTCGATTTAGATGGACCATTTACTCACATCACTGAGATTTTGCACAGATACTCTTGAGGTTCTTCTTGCAAAATAATAAAGCAAGCTAGCAAATTCAGTCCACTCAGTTAATATTGTGCTAGCCACAATTTTAGTCTGTGTCGTCATCAGGTAAATCCATCATGACTCAAGCTGCAAACCCCCAACAAATACCCTTGTTCCTGACCTGAGAATGACTAGACCAATCAGTGTATGAGTATGTTAAGAGTATGTTTATGTTAAGTTTTGTTAGAAATTAGCATGTATGGAGTAATGATGGTAGTTTTACCAGCCAGTAACGAAATATCCTATAGCATGAAATATTATAAAAGCTAACATACAGGACTAGTGCTTATATTTTACTTAACATGCAAATATACAAAAGACCACCCTCATCAAGCAGCTCCTCAGTTACAGTGGCAGCTGTGGGTGCATGAGTCACCGGCAGCTTTTTGCTGAAGGTTTGTGAGAGTGAAACCTTCAATGATTCTTTCAGCAAGATCCTCGTCACCCTTTGTTCATCGTAAAAACTCCTCATATAGAATTTATCAGCACTTACCTGCCCACACACTGTCCAGAGGGACTTAATTTGCTTTTTACAACATACTCAATGTGACAGGGAATAAGGTCAGACATTAGAAAGTACTGGCAGGGACAAATATTGACAGATGCTATTCTCTCCAGGCAGAGGACCCAATACTGCTCAGCTGATTGTGTTTTTTCAGACTGTTTATTTTATTTGCATGCAAAAGTGCGGTTTCGAGTTAAGTGACAGGCTAAAAAAGGTAGAAAATTGAAGGCTAATTCATGCAAATGAAAGCAAAAGAGAGCTATAAGTGTGTCCTTGAAATGATCCATCTGTTTCCATATGTTTTTTTTCTCATCTAGGGCCATTTCTGGTCCTGCATGCATGTTCAAGCACAGCTTCAATATGTAAATGCATGTTAAAGCGCCATTGTCAAAATGAAACACTGGGTGAAAACTGTCAGGATGTATTTTCATTTTGCACACAAAACCTTCATAAATACAGAGAATGCATACCTAAATTTAGAGCTACAAAAGGTGTTTCCACTGTCCGTAGGAAACTACAAAGCCTTTCATCAAAACATGTTAAAAACACGAGCACAAGCATGTACGATACACAGAATAAATAAGTATATCCAACAGATTGTGAAAGGGAGATGCTAATAAGGAACTTGCAGTAAGGTGGGCAACAGAAATTTCAGACAGTAAACTTGTTGGCAACCATTAACATCACAATTTTCCTCCCATAATGCACTGCCTGTCAGTTTTGCTCCATCTCTCCAGGGTCTTGAAAAAGACAGCTTTTATTTTCATTTTCGGAGTTGGTCAGCGTTTGAAGCTGGGACTGATTTGTTTGCAATCACACTCTATACCTCCTGCCTCTCTGTCTGGCAGACTGAATGAGCGATGATACAATATTTTGCCACTTAAAAAGCTCCACGGAAGTCAGAAATAAACACAGAGGATGAGCTGTGGGATTTTGGTGTGCTTGTTCTGTTTCAGCTTAAAATGCAGAGAGTGAAAGAAGAGGAAGTCAAAGCGTACTGGAAAAATTACAACATTTACCAACATCTGGAGCTCTGTAAATAAAGATCTGCATGACAGACAATGTTTGGTTAAATTTGGTGAAGCTATTGCAAATTACCGTAAAACTTAAATTAGTGTCCAGTCTTAATTCAACTCCTTTACCAGCTAGAAGCCGCTGCATATTTAGATTAATGACCGCCTATCTCAAATAGAGGCATTCAGAAAACAGTCGTTTCATTATGTAAATGCGAGTTACAGGAAAGAAGGGCACAGTTTCTCTGCAAGTCCAGGCTGATTTTAAAGATTTCTCCTCTGTCACCACTTTCCTGTTAAAAGATGCACAACCATCACCCAGGTAGATGCTGGGCTCCTCATGAAAATGTCATAAAAATAAGATTATATTTTCAAATTGACCATACTGGCTGCTTGATATTCATCCTCATAAGAAAAAAAAGGGAGTATCAGCTCTTTTCTGATGCACCTAAACCCTGAAACATGTCATTTTAGCTTTTAATGAAGTTTTGCTGAAATATAATGAATCATTAATTTGTTTTTAAGTGGGGAAAAACTGAGCATGAGCACAGCTTTAGCACATACAATCCCACCAAGAGACACATTATTATGGTAATTTGAGGTCATTGTAATGCTACAGAGTGATCAAACACAACCAAATACACAGTAACTACTCACAGGGGGAGCCAAACTGCGCATGACTCTCCCTCTTTTTATATATTTTCTCAGGTTGTTGAGCTCTCAGGGTCACCGCGCTTGTCTTACTAGATTTACAACACATTTACAATACTATTACAAACACAACTGCCAAACTACAAGGGTCAAAGCAAACCATATAAATATCTACATATCTCAAGACCAGGAATGCTAGATCCTCACAGGTAATTTATCATACACTTGTAGTCTGTCCTAATGAACCCAAACCTGTTGAAACCTCGATTAAGAAATGCTGAAAGTGCTTGCGTCGTCGTCTGTTTGGTCAAACCTCTTGGTGGTTTGGCTGCTGATGTCGTCCTGCTCTGTGACCTGATCGTTGCTCTCATGGGAGGAATCTTTCATCACGCTGTAATAGATCGGCATGTTGTACTCCGCCGCCTTCTCCTTCTTCTTCCGCCAGTTGCACTTGCAGAGCTTCTTGAAGGCGACGCGGAACTTCTGGGACATGAGGTTGTAAATGATGGGGTTGATGGCGCTGTTGGTGTAGATGCACATGCGGCAGAAGAGCAGAAACCAGGTGTTGTGGTAAGGCGGGTCGATGAAGGAGTTGACCACTACCAGTGTTCGGTACGGCATCCAGAGCAAAGCGAACAGGACGACCACTACGGCTAACATCTTTGTTATCTGTTGGTATAGATAAAGAGAAAGGAGAGCAGGAGGGCCGTTAAAAGAAGAACGACGACAGTGTGTAGTGAGTAGGAATTGCATCAAGAGACAGCATGATAGCATAGCAGAGGCATGGTGACTGGGCAGTTTGACTGTTTTCCAGTCCATGTTTGAGGTCCCAACAAATAAACACACTATTGCTGGATTCCAGTTGCACTCGGAAATCGGAATTTACGAGTTTCAAGTCCTAAAATCATCTGGAACACCCCCCTAAAGTCAGACTTCTTACTCGGAAAATCGGATGATCCTCGCCAACCCCGACTTGACAACAACGTCATAATTCAAGATGGTAGCGCAGTGCATCAATAGTAAAGAGTAACAGTAAAAGCTCTCGTAATGGATTATTATTAGCACTTCAGTTTTGTTTTTGTGAAATTAAATAAGTAGTATATGTTTTGCTGCCCAACGTCTAACTGTGAACACGGTGCTATGGTGTTTGTTAGAGTAAAATACTGTGTTATGCTTTGTTCACAACTGGTATAGCTAACAACCGCTAACAACAACTGACAACAGCTGACAACAGCCAACGACAGCTGACAATTGTAAACAACAGCTAACAATGGCTAACAATGGGTAACTGTCGGCGTCCATCTTGGTTTTCCGACTTGTTAACTGGAACGCCATTAACTATTTCATGATCAAAACACATGACGACACAAGATGTTTTATTCTTTAGATCAGTTTTCAGTGTTTCCCGTTTTATTTTGTAGAAGTTGATTCCTTGTGTTTCTAGTCTGGTTTTCCCTTCTTTGTTCATCACCCATGAGTTTCACCTGTGTCTCGTTTGCTTCACCTGTTGCTCGTTTCCTAGTGTGTATATAGCCCCTGTCTTCCCCTCTGCCCTGGTTGGTTCATTGTACGTTTGTCGACGTGTGCGTATACCTGTGTCCCCAGTTGCTCCCTGTGATTTTTTGTGGATTTGTCTCTTTTTGTTGCTTTTTGTGGTGTGTGATACGTCTGTATGTAACATATTTTTACCCTTTCCTCTAAGCTAACTTCACAAAACTTTAAACAAGTTTCCCATCCAGTTGTAAAACAATTTTACCATCATGCCAAAATAGTGATGAAAGTCTCTGTAGACTCTGATCTGCTGAAAACAGTGAGAAAAACTGCACTCTAACATACTGACAGTATGTGTTTGCTGTTCAGACACGTAAACTATTATACATGGAGCTACAAGGCCATCACTTGACACCCACTTTACCAAATGCTAACCCTAATATTCTAACATTCTCGCAATTGAAGACCGGGTAATGCCAGAGCAGAAAAAGTTCAAACACCAATTTGTATCACAGCGGGAGGAAAAAGTGGTTTTGCTTAAAATGGCCAACATCAAGAACAATTTATTTCCTCTGCTTTTCTGCTGCCAATTCAAGTTTCCCGACAGGCTGAGTATATATCAGCGTCCGTCTCTTTGAGAATAATATGCACATCTTTCTGGAGCGCTTAAGGTGTCCACAGGTTGAATGGGAGGTCAAATCCTTCTGGCCTGTTATTCTACCAATCTGATTTGCCACTAAAACTTCTGAAGAGAGGAATCAGCCACTTAGACCGCCACAGACCACTCTTCTAAAGGCAAAATAGCTCCACCTGAGTTCTCTCTGGACATCTGTTGAATACAATGATCAAACTAATGCAGGAACAACAGAGCATTCGTTGTGATGTATACTTTGCGAATTAAGTTTAACAGGGCCTCCTTCCACGTCATCTCTTAGGTAACCAGCCAGAGTGTGAGGATGGTTAGAGAAATTTTAAGTAAAATACTTGCGCACATGTCAACCGTAACTTTGCAACAAATGGCTGATTCATTTAAAGCCTAAATGGTACAATATACAGCTTTTAGTGAGATGAAAGTGTCGGTTCTTGCCAAGCCAAATGACCTGCATCACTGAAGAGAGCCTAAATTCTCACAGGACGATGCTGAGTATGTGTACCTTCCCCTCACATGACAAGATGGATCACAAACAACTTAAGCATAATCACCCCTGACCAAATCTAAGGCAAACCTACCAATAATTATTGATATAACTCAATCAGTATCAAAATAATGTATCTACTGACCAAGATCTAGACACTCCTAACCCTGAGAATTTTATCTTGATATAATCTTCAACAAGAACTAGATTTAATAACCTATATAAAGATGGTTCAAACGATTATATTCTAGCCTGTCCTGTACCTGTTTCCGAGCAGAGACAGCACCTTTGTTGGCCTTGTTGGTGCCGCCGGAGTGACCCTGGTGAACCGACCCTCCTCCAGCTCTGTCACTCAGATGCGAGGGGAGAGGACTCATGAACAAAATCCTGGCGATGAGCCCGTACAGAACCGTGGCAACAGTGAGTGGGATCACATAGAACAAAGTGAAGTCCAGAAAGTAGATGGGCATGTAGAAACTCCTGGAAACACGGTAGCCACATGTCACCACCACACCATTGGAATACTCTGTTTTATCGATATCCACCAAGAAGAACCACATGATGCAGTAGAGGGAGGTAAAGATCCAGACTCCTGCTATGATCCTCTTGGCTCGGGAAACAGTGCATATGAACTGCGCCTTGATGGAGTGACAAATCGCAATGTATCGTTCGATGGTGAAGGCCGTGATGGAGCATGACGACACGTTGATGCCCAGGTACTGAAGATAAGTTATACACAAGCATCCTGTGTATCCGTAGATCCAGAACGCTATGACATCAGAGATGTTGGGCAGTCCTGCAGCCAGAAGCACAATGAGGTCTGCCACCGCCAGACTGACGAGATAACAGTTAGTCGGGGTCACCATGTGTTTAGTGCGCAGGACAACTAACACCACCATGATATTACCCGCAATCCCAATGACACAGATGAGCAACGTCAAACATATTGTTATGACCTGTTCCTCAAGAGGGTTCAGGGGCATTTCTGTCAGGTTTACTATCCTGGAACCATCCTGGAAGAGGGTGGTGTTGTTCTCCATGGTGTTTGAGTTCAAGTGAAATTATTCAGCGGATCTTCAGGGGCACAAAGCAAGAATCCTAAAGACAGACACAAGGAAAACAAAGAGATTATTATTAGGAAGATGAAAGTCTTTCATGTGGAAGCTGGACTCTCTTTGGTACTTCAGTGTGCCTCTGCTCCACCTCTTTACACCAGCATTTCCAATATGGCAACCATCAACAATGGACCAAAACACAAACAGGTAACTCCACTGAGACTATGTTCCTATTTATGCTGGAATAGTTCAAGCCCACATTGCTGTCGTACTCATTTTAATCCTAATTTATCCGTCCCTGTACAGACATGTGAGTTTGAGTTAACTTGATGTCACGAACGACAAAGCCAGAGTCACGTCATGGCTGTAAAAAGGACTTTATATAGTATGCCACAGTGCTTTATTGAATCACAGAGAAAAAAATTTAGATGAAGAGGATAGGACAGGGTGCTGGTGGAGCGTGAGAAGTCCAGTTCTTCTAAATGGTTAAATTTAGAAACAATGCTCAAATTAGAAATTGGATGATCCAAGTCCTGCTCATATATATTCTTCTCACTTTTTACAGAAGAAAAATTGAGGTGACACAAAAAAGCAGCAACACTTACACCTTAATATAAGCTTACATCATATGATGACTGTTTTTTTTCAAAAGCTACTGGTGGGAATAACATTTGATCACCAAAGATCGATGAAATCCTGTGTTTCTGGGCACTAACACTTTGGTCTTATTAGCTACTTGACTATGAAGGTAAAATGAAGCAAGACGGTCTGAGATAGAGTGTATTTGATGAAACACTGCACACACACTGAACATCATATGTAACGCTGATCCCTTTTATTGATTTGATATCAAGAGTGAAGACTCAAATATAAATTTAGGGTGCGTACAAGAAAGAAGAGTGAAAAGAGAGTTATTCCACCAACAAACTTATTTTCAAAAATATGTATTTCATTTAATGACTTCACTTGTGAGAATAATTCTTGTCCAGCTCTTTGGTTGAATGTACATATCAGGATAAGTTGATGAAATATCCACAGCTGATTAAATACAAGAATTCAAAAGTATGCAAATGTAGACAGATAAATAAAATACGGATTATATCAAGATGAAAAAAAATGTTCGTCTTACCATTATCTCCAGCAGCAGCAGCGCTCACTCTGGTTTTGTAGCAGTGCTCAGGTGCAATCAACCAAGAAACAGAGGCGACTGCTCGGTCCTTCTCCAGAGCTGCCTCAGCCGTCACATCTGTCTCCTTCTCTTCTCCCTCTCTTTTTTCCTCCCTCCCTCCTTTCCCAGTGCACCCCTCCCTCTGTTTCAAATTACACACCATTATATCCACGCTACCACACACTGATTTTTACAGGCACAAGCTTCAAAATCAATTCCACCTCCCCAGCCAAGCTCAGGATGTCATGTCAAACACTGCGGCCAAGACTGTGACCATAAACCCTGTAATTACTAAGAGAAAAGAAGAGCCTGCAATTGAACACACCACCCTCTGCAGTAGACGGCCATTGAACTGAAATGGCACTAATTATGATGTAGGCCTTTTTTTTTTACGACGAGCTGACATAATTCAGTGAACTCTACATGTTGTTAAAAAGGGACAATTAACAGTTTTTTTGTTCCCTGGTTGTTTTTTCTCTCAGATGTGTAGAAAATTCTTTGTCTCCAGAGGGACTACCAGTAACATGCATCATAAGATTAAGCTTCCTATTCCTGTGAGACTCAGTTGGGAAAGCTTTCATCGCTCCCGGCGCTCTGGTGGCGCAGTGGAAGCTGATCCTGCCTCTTAGAAATATGAAGAAACATTAAAATGTGTTTCTTAAGGCTTTTAGAATAGAGTCCACTTAGAGCTAAGAAGGCTCTAAAAACCTCTACCTATGCAAAAGACTGTATGAATGCTAATGCATGACAGATGCTTGCATTTTCATCAAGAGTTATTTTTTCAGTTGCAGAGCATGCAGTCCAGCAGATATCCTCTAATGAATAGATAACAGCTCCAGAGAGAGGGAACAAGAAACCTGCACAGCATTTATGTCCAGGTAAGTGACTGATTGAACTGCTGCATGCAAAGACGTCCAGTATATAGGGTCCAAGAACTATGATTAGTATGCTTCTCTTCAGCTATACGCACACTTTTTTTTTCTGGTGGACCACTTAGAAACACATCTCGCATGTAAAAATAATTCAAAGTAGAGGACGCTTATGGATCTGTTCGTATCAAACATGTCATGATCAAACATCTTTCAATCATTGCAAGCTGTTGCAGGATTTCTGCAGACTGTTTGTAATGCACCGTGCACAATAAGTTGTTGATTCCGAGCTCGAAGCAAACAAAAATAATAAACTCTGGATTTTTGGATGAAGAAGGAGTACAGTTTTTTTTTTTTCCATTCTACAATAATCAATCATTTGCTTCACTGCATACCCGGGAAAATAAGCTCAGAGCTGCCGCACATACGCTCTTAGCAACACAGTGATGTGAGAATTTATAGTAACAAAAAAAAAAAAAATCATGAATAATTCATCATTTCTGGACCAACAAGAGTGTATCATCTTTACACAGGAGACTGAGTTTTCAGACATTAATGAAATGGACAGAAAGTCAGCTGTAAAAATAGACTAAAAACAGGTTTTCTATTATTATTCCAGGATCATGTCTTAAAATAAAGTCCCAAAGCCTCATGGGAGTTTCAAGAAAGAGCGTACTGATGAAATGTGAGTTTTTCAGAGAGAGGAAGTGATCTTTTTTCTTTTTTTGTAAGGTAGCATTGATTAAGATAACCTGGTGAATCACAGAGTTTGAGCCTGATGCAGATTTATTTCATCTCTTCAAATTATTGGTAAATGAAATGCTTAGTTCCTGAATATGTTGTGAATAATCCTCTTTTGTCATCAGTCCAAAGCACCATAGTGGCATCTAGTGGGTCTGAGTGGAAGAAAACAATGGAATAACACCCTCATTCATGCAAGAAGGGAAAAATAACCTGTCACACATAAGACAGAAAACCATACAACACATATGCTCTGTGACAATAGTTTTAAAGAATACCAGCAGTCTGTCTGTCAGATGATGGATGGAAACTGGGCTGAGGCGGAGAAAGAACATCTATCAAAACCACACCAGGTTTTCCTGTGAGGACTGTCAAGTGGTGGCACACTTTCAGAAAAAGGTTTTTGGACTGTGACTCTTAAATAAGAGACTCTATTTTCAGAGGTTCAAAAGCAGAACACTGACTGATGTGATTCAAACTGGAAGGAGGCAAGTCAAAGAGTGCACAGCCACACTAAACATAATGTAATCAGCCAACAATGATCAGGATCTGTGACACGCTCACCATCTTATTAGCATGCTGACATGACCACCGGCGGGAAAACAAAGTCCAGAAGGGGATTGTTGTATGTTTTACGGGTATTTGTTCACAACCTTGAAGTCTCTGTGAGGAATTTCTTAACTGATCCTGAGACAGACTGTCATTAATAACCATTCCCATAATAATCATGACAGGGATCTCTAACGAGATGTTGGATTAGTACTGGGCTGTTGAAACCGCTTAGATATTCATATGGCTGCCTGAGACTGGATACAGCCAGCAGGATGGGTGGGCTCAAGTGTGGACAACCTGGGATCAAACCTTCGACCATCTGACTGGCGGACAAGTGACTCTGAGCCACAGCCGCTCCTGTGTGCACTGCATCATGTATTCTCCTGGAAATCCCCATTGTGTGTCACAAGGCGTATTATTTTCATTTAAAGTTAAAATCAACAATATTTTTCATTCAATCTGATTTCAGAACTAAAAAAGCACTCGGAGAGCGCAGACCTCCGCCAAGCAGCTCATGTCCCCCTTATATTGTGATTCACACCAAAACTTTTACTGTTACGTGTCTTTTATTAACTTTTATTTGTGTTTAAACTGGTGTGTTCACTGTTCATAATGTTCCTAAAACAAGAAATGCCCTGACCCAGATTCGAACCCAGGACCTTGTTGCTGTGAGGCGACAGTGCTAACCACTACACCACTGTGCCGCCTATCTACACTGCTGTGCCGCCCATTGGTTATCTTTCAGCATTGAAAATTCCAACGACACCTTTATTTTTGTGTGTTCTGGATCACAGTATCCGGAATTTTGTCTGGATCAGGATCAACCTTTGACACCTCATCAAACTCATTGAGATCCTTTTGTGTAATTTTTTTTACTAAAGACTCTGGCCATTTTTATAGAGTTAAATGTAAAAATTCCAAAATTTGCCCTATCTCACAATGATAAATAATCCTTCAAAAAATTCCTGGATCCAGAAGGTGATCCAGATCACCACCAAAATTTAATGGGATCGTCCTGGGGCTGAGACGCACCTCTGGTGAAAATTTCAGGTCCATCCGTCTGTAACTTTCTCCGTAAAGTTGTTCACAGACAAACAAACAAACCAACGCTACCGAAAACATAACCTTCTTGGCTGAGGTAAAAATGTGAAAAAAAAAAAAAAACTATTAGAAACAAAACCTGTCAGGGCCAAAGCTGCTCATGTAGTAAGGGTTCGGGTTATTTGTTTATTATTTTTTTTACTGTGGCTCCTGAAAAAAAGGCTCATAGACAGTTATGTTATCAGAAAGTACAATTTAATGGAAAAAACAGTGAGAAAAGGGCAGTCTACTGAAAAATAAAGGCAAAAGCCTTTGTTCAAGCTGTTATTTGTATCATGAAAAATAGTACAAAAATAAAAAGGTCATTTTTAAAAAAAGAAGCTGTGGAATAACCCACACAATCAGCCTCCATCAGTGTGTAACCTACTATTTGCCACCCAGGTACATGCAACATAATTGCAAATATCTGAGCAGGAGGTGACAGAGCTTCCAGGAGCAAATACAATAACATGGTCAACAAATGGCTTTTCAGCAACTACAAGACCAGGACAGAGGGGAGCAAATGGGAAAACAGTGGGCGATAAAATACATGGTAAACATGTATGCACAAAGAAAAAAACAAAGAGGCACAGCATACATATCCAGACTTGTAAGGCACTGAATCTTAAAAACTTGAGCAGCTACAGAAATAAGGTCAGTTTCCTCAATAGATAGGTAACAGTATAAGTAACCTTCGCTTATTTTTGTGGAGACATGTCACCAAAGCATGTTGAGATGTTGCACGGTTTGGCGGTGGTTTGATGCACAGGCAAGTGGACCTTAACCTGCATGGACTGAACCCTGGTAGTACTAGCTCTGCAAATGTTAGCCAATCTATGTTATTAACTTGCAACCTAATTCCGATTCTAACCATTTTCTGGGGACCACGAACAGCTGTAGAAAAATTTGAAAACAAATAATCTAACAGTTAAAGGTGGGGGTAAACAGGATCTGAGAAAGTGACAGTTTTTGGGAGAAATCTTGAAAATAAACTCTACCCCTCCCAACCAGTTTTCACCTCAGCTCCTCCTCTCGCCTCCCTCGCTGCTCCAGCAAGCCCCGCCCACAAACAGATGCTCCTGCTCGCTCGTATCAATTAAATTAAGCTATAATGCAGATACATACTTCAGATAATTACAAATGGGGCCCAGTCAACATGAAAGTCAAAAGCATTGGTGCTACTGTAGATGCCAACAGACGACCAGCAAACACAATGTTTGCAGGACTTCTACAACGAGGATAAAGTGACATAGTCCAGGACCTGAGGTTAACAGTTTAGCGGCGCTACAACATGCAGCAGGTCCCCGTTTGACATGAAAACACTTCTACCTCCCTTTTAAACACCCGTTATTCCGTTAGAGACTCCAGTATTTACTTCATTTTCTTGCTTGTGTTGGCGGCTGTGGCCACAGGAGGATTAAGACAATTTTCTGTTCTTTCTGGTTGGTTTCTACTGTCCGATATTGTAGCACACTAACTTTGTTTGGGCTCCTGAACGACATGGGGGAGCAGCGTCTGCCTCACAACCAATCAGGTTTTGGGAGGCGGAGAACGGCTTTGTTTACAGTCAGAAAGAGCGGGCCGCTCAAAAAATGTTGACAACATGGACATAACAGAACACAGCCATATTGTTAAATGATCAAATATCATCAATAACTTATAGATACTGATTAATAATAAAGCTTTTTTGTGTATACACCACAAAAAAGATGCTTCTTTAACAAAATCCTGCCTACCCCACCTTTAAGATATCCCAGCCTGTGTTAGAAGTAATAGGTTTACATCACTTTTCCAAGAACTCACTGAAAGCGCAAGGCTGGCAAAGCATTGCTCAGTGCAATTTCAACCACTCGTGACCTCCATCAAACCCCGCTCCTTTTTATTCATCTTCGCTTGTATTTTCTTCATCAAGTACGCCACCCTCTCCTCTTCTTGCCCCCTGAAAAACGATGCTGAGATTTTCCTGCGTATACGTTTGGCGTAAACCTCCAAGAACACCAGGAAGTAGCTCATCAGCCACAGACATCCAAGCAGGAATGAGACTCCTGAACTCGGAGGTGAAGTTGGCACATCACAGAGCGACCGCCCTGGGTCTAAGGTCCACTTGTAATCCCTGTGGAAGTTTGTGAGCTCCCGAGTATAGCAGTTACTTGGAATGAGGCAAAAAGCCGGAGGGAACCAGGTAACCTAAGAGGAGGATGTAACAAAAACTATCATTTATGGGTCAAATAATAGAGTGGTTATGAAGTGTGGAGGCTGTCTTACCCTATAGTTGACGCTGATGACGGCAGATGTAGGGGGAAAATCCAGTAACCATGGCACAATCATTTGAACTATATAATACACAACATGATCCAAAGCTACAATTATGGCGATTGCAAAGAAGTATAAAGTTACCACGACCAGTGATATAAAACAGGAGGTGCATTCCTGACTTGTAATTTTGCAGCTTGTGCAAAGATGTTTATTTTTAGCTGGCCTTTTCTTAGCAGCATGAGTCGCCTTGTTCAGGAGCTCCTGGGAGATGTAGCCATTGTCAAACTGAACCGACGTCAGATAAGACTTTAAATAGCGTGCAGACTCAAAGACAAGCAAAGCAACAAAAATGGCAGCAAGGATCCGGTTTGACAGCAGCTTGTAGTCCTTGAGCAGATTCCTAGCGTAGGAGAAGTTGACCTCTATTTGCCCAATCATCTGAGTAAACCTGCTTTTAACTCCTGACACATCAACATGTGTGTACTGATCTAACTTCCTCAAGTTTTTGACAATGCTCAAGTCTTCCCTCCTCGCTTTGATGGCTTCCTCAAAAAGGTCTTGCTTTGCGTGGTTTAAAGGTTCAGATGAGTTAAGTAAAGACTTTGTGAAGCCCTCTGCAGTGCACTTCAAGATGCGTGCAACCGCTCCAACGTTTACTGTAATATTAGGGACAACGTTTAAAACTAAAATCATGATAGAGGCTGAGACAAGGAGTTTCCGCCCCTCTCTGGAGCAGACAGTCGGCAGAGTCATAGTCAACACACAGCGCAGAGGATGGCACAGAAACGAGACCAGAAACACAGCCACGCTGTAGATACAGGCGGTCTGAATGGACCCTTCATGGTTGTATTTCAGAGTGTTTGACAGCCAGTGATGAAGCAGACCGCCTGTGATGATGGCAAGTGCCAAGCAGAGGGACAGAAGAGTCAGGATGTCTTTTTTTCCAGCTGGTGTAGGAACAGAATAAACATCCCAGAGATACAACAAGACAGACTGAAGAGCCTGTCTGCAAAACCCGGCTCTGGTCCTGAGGAGAAAAAAAAACATAAAGTACTTTCAATGTTTACAGCTTTAAAAAACACCTGCTACTTCATAACTCACACTCTTCCATTAAAGATGATGCTACAGAGGCCTGTTCGGTTTGCATCAATTCTGAGCCAGGCTCTAGTGGACACTCGAGGAACTGCAGTTTTGAACACCTCAGCATTTTCTTTTTTTTAGAAACTCCAGGGAGTCTCTATACCTTGTCTCTATCCCCCCTACTTTACTCCGCCAGTGAAAGACCCTTGGTGCTCCCATCATAACAAGGTCCTAGGTCACCAGCCAGACTCTTCTCCTCTGTTGCCCTCTGACAATTAAATCACTCAACCAGTTTGATCACAACAGTCCTCCTCTACTTTTTGACCCAGATCTTCCAACTCTGGACTTGGAAACTTGGCCCTCATGATGATGTAATCATTAATGACTAATGATGATTATGATGATGACGATAATGTCAGTTTCAGTGTGACTTCATGTATATGATGACTCATCCATGTTTTAGCTTGTATGTGAGGCTTGCTTCAGCTTCACATTGATTGCAGAAAAAAACCCCCAAAAAACAGGAGAATGGCATTTTGATCGTCTCCTTTAATTCCTGGCAATAAAGCAAACTTGCATAATATAAGCAGATCAAAATCACAATTTTGATCTGCTCATAATTCAGGCTGTCCTCTAAGGGGAGAGCAGCAACAGCTTCTCTTGCCTTGACACAAATCTTACATTGTAACAGCAGCCTCAGTCACAGACACACAGACACAACTCTAAACTAGAGTGAAAAAAATGACACTTTCTGAAATTAGCTCAAAACAGCAGCTAAAACTAAATGTGGGGTAGCAGCTCCTATCCCTTACAATTCCACAAAAAAAAGATTTACAGTTGAACTGCCCCCAATCACAATGCCAAAACAGATTTCCTGACAAAGAATCTACCGAACACGAGTGTCCTATGCCAGCGCTCAGCCCCGATTGGTCCTGTGGACTCTGCCCATTTTTCAATCAGCAGCTGGTTCCCTTGGTATCAACGACCTTTCACAGTCACACACAGACACTACTCTAAACTAGAATGGAAAAATGACACTTTATGAAATTCGCTCAAAGCCTAGCCCTCGCAAATAGTAAATGACCACTGGTTTTATAATTTTGCTCACAAAAGTTTAGAAGCTGATGGAAACATTGTTGCTTAAAATGTCAAATAATGCACAATTTAAAGTATTTTTTATGGTTTCATGGTTTTTTATGTGTTTATATTTCTGCTCCGCACTTCTGTTCAGTGTCTCAAATGTAAAGTCACATTTTTTTTTAAACCACAAGTAATGTGACTTTTTTAAACCACAAAAATTGAATGATTTATTCAAGGCAATAAAAACAGAGTAAACATGTCTAACTCAATATTGCAAGTCACTTTAAAAATATGTGGATTTAGAGTATTTAGCTGCGCATGCAATTGTCAGGAATGTATGATAAACAATCAAATCAACTTCATCGTCTATATTTACTTCAGACATGACACAGTTAAAGTTTAGAGTAAATATACACAGAGCAAATAAAGCACAAAAAGAGAAGAAGAAATAGAGTCGTGACAAAACAATAAAATAGAATTAATGGTAATAATGACACCAAAAATGACAAGAATTATAAAAGATACTGTACTGAGCATGATCCAAGTCATAGTAGCCTATTACTCTTGGTGTTTGTAATGATATCAACAAGACCAGCATCATCAACATCATTATGTTACTCTCATCATTGTGATCACTGGACGGTGAAGTCAACAGCATCAGTTTAAAAAGAATCTAAATATGAAATCTTACCTGAGAGAGGTAAAAATATTCTCTGTGATGAACTTCATCTCTCTGTGGAATGATAAGCTAAAGGTGCAGAGGAAACTGGGAGGGGGGAAAGAGGAAGTGCTCTGAACACTCAGTGTCATGTTGATACTTGTGGGTTGCCTACAAGTTCCCATGAGGAAATAGGGATTAGAAAAGATGGTTCTCTGTGTGAAGCATGACACAACATCATGAGATATGATGCAATCACACACACGCACAATGTGACATTGGTCATAGAAGTGCGGATTCAGAGTGACATAATACATTTTCATTTTTAGTTTTTGTTTCATGGGTTTCTTTAAGTTTCACTGTCTCCTTAAGTTTGTAATACAAAATCAAATTTTTGGCTAAATGACAAAAATAAAAACAAAATATCTGTTGTGACTAAGCAAAAACACACAAATACGCAACACTTTTATGAGGAAGTAATTGAAGTATTATGATATATACAAAATTAAATGAGAGAAGATAACTGAATTTAATAGTTCTATCTGTGATTGATACGAAATAGTTGAATTTGTGTTTGTTTTGAGAGACGACAGCAGTTGGCATATTTATTATCTCTTTACAATCCCTGAAACAACAAGGGTGTAAATCAGCTTTGGTTGACATCCGTGTGTCAGAGGTTGTTTGTGTTGTGCAGATGGTTGGGGACATCCTGTCATGGTCTGTGAGGTTTTAGTTGAGTATTTTATAATTTTGCATTTTAGCACCACAGGACCTTTTGCACTGACCCGGCCAGCATTGAGTAACCACCACATCCTTGCACAAGTTAACCATTGTTTTGAGGCCTCGTGACTTCTGAGAGTTTACTACAGCAAACAAACATTGTAAGGAATTTACAGCTGTGTGCTCCCCCTGGCTGTGTGTGAGGCCGAAATGTGTTCAATGTGTGCGAAAGCCTGCAGCAACTAAAAACCCCAATTATCCAAAATACAGATTCAAACACTTTATTTGTAACAGCTAAATGCATAAAAATCACTCCATGTTGATAAAATATACACGTCCAGTTGTAGTGTTGATTCTCACTCTAACATAGAAAACAATTTCTGTTTATACTCTGTAGCTTTGGGAACTTCACATGTGCCATATAATACATAAAGAACATCATCTCTTTGTGATTTATCCAAAAATATATATTTCAAAATCATTATTCACAGAGGTCTCTCCTTCTTCCAGCAGAGGTCAGTCCAGTCGCATTTCAGCCACTCTGCCGTCTGGAGTTTCACATGCATATTTATGACAAAATCTTTCATGCTGCTGAATGAGCGGCTGAGATTTAAAGTCTCTACAGAGTCACTAATGAGGTTAGCTTTCAGCTCATATCAGTGGAAACTTAAACCTGTCATAAAGCATTTTAAAATGGTTCAAATAATCAAATCAATCTCTATTTTCACTATTTCACTTTTTAGAAATACACTGTTTGTTGAAATACACAGACTAAAAAATTGTTTTTTATCACTTTTCTGTCTCACCTAATCATTCTTACTTTAACCACTGACATTAATGATGTTCTACAATCAGGCTATCTCTCATGTTAACTTATCATACTGAAGACAAAACATGATCAGAATTTTTTTTATGAATCTGATTTTCTTACCAGCTAAACCAAATCTGCAGGGTATAAGCATAACAAGCTCAATAGGCATATAAATGGTACAGAAAGAAGTTCAGCTTTGTTTCACAGCAAAACATAAATCTTACATAGTAACATGAAGTTCCACATAACTTTCTTTTGCACGTCCTGCAAATTCTGCTAAAAAAAAAAGTGGAGGTTGATTTTAAAAACTAGTTTCTCTTTTCACGCGCACACTTACAAAATAAATTCTTCTACTACTTGCAACACTCAGTGCACCATTTTTGTCCACAAGGGACCACCATAATCAACACAAATAACATTCTCTATAGGTGCTTACTTCCTTAGAGTGTCCCTAAAGAAACAGATGAAATCTTGACCTTTTGAGCCTGCAAAGACTCTTGAATATAAAAAGAATAAAGTTTATTTTTAAAAACAGGTAACAGCTGACGCTCCCAGATTGTTCTGATATCAGTGAAACCGAGTGGATACGTTTACCTCTGGAGACTCTGGAGCTTGATAAGGTTTTTTACATTTCCTCTAAACTCAGGCTGAAGGTTGAGTGTGTGATCAGTGTGTGGCATTAAATGATGGTAGGGGTGGAATATGCACGTCTATAAGAAGTGCAGACTTATTTAGAGGACGAGCCCACTCTGGATACGTGTTCAAGTTAAACATGGCGACGCCCCATGTGTTCATGGCGAGGGCGACTGAAAGCACACCCAGGATGTTCATAACAAAGCCAGTTTTTACCTGAGAAAACAAAGACAGACACATAATAAAAGGTAGTCGATTAAAGGTGGAGAATGTTTTAGTGTCGGGTGTTGATGTGAGGATCTTACCATGTCTCTGACCATGAGGTGTCCTGATGCAAAGGCGATGGAGTTGGGAGGCGTGGACACCGGCAACATGAAGGCATATGAGCATCCTATTGTTGCAGGAATCATGAAGTACAGAGGGTTCACCGAGACGTGATTGGCCTAAACAGAAAACACAGAGCAAAGACAGAATGATGTTTTCCACCTTTACACTTCTAGTACCCCGTTACTGCAATATTAGTTTAAATGCTTCAGCTCAAAAATCATTACATTTTAGCAAAAGTGTAAAAAAAAAGTCCTGGTATGTCAAGTTAACTTGAAGAGAAAATGGTGCATATGACCTGAGATGTCACTGTCTTGTTAAAAGTATTAAAAAGTCACATCTGAAGTATTATTTTTGCACACACAAAGCAATAATTTGAAAAAAAAAAGTTGCTTATACCTGTGACTTGATTTGAGAAGAAGGGAAAAATCACTTGCTGTGGGGCAGCAGCACTAACCACTAAACCAAAATGCCCCCCATGCAGCGCTTACTTGTTTGGTATTATGTAATGTCCAGTTCTTTCTAGAAGTTCAAAGTGTGAAGGCTGCACTCCACAGAGAAAAGCCAGAACAATCAAAGGGGAAAGACCTGGCCTGGACTCAAACCATGAAGTCTTTTGGTCTGAGGCAGGAGTGCAAACCACCAGACTGCTGCGCTGTCTGAGCGCTTACTTGGTCATGTTTATTCATTTAAAGTGCATCACAGACATCCAAAAACATAGTCAGAGTGCAGTGGGATATATCCAGAACCCCCACTGAGATTCATATCCAGCGCTACACCACTGCAAGGCATCCATGCTGACCACCACACCTACATTTCCCTTTGCAGGACCCATTTTTTCAGGTTAATCTACAAGAAAATTGTGGTAATTCAAAAGCTCTCTTTGTTGGTAGGAAACAGTCAAATTGACACTGTGCAGTCCCTCCTAAGGAATCCAAACCCAGAACCGGCTCCCTGTGAGGCAGCATTACTCCAATGTGCTCCCTGGTGTCCTGACCTGTTCATGTTTACTTTCCTATTTTCTTAAAACAGAAACAACTTGATCTTCAGGACATCTATAAAGCTAAGAAACTGCAATAGTAAATAATCTACAGACATATTTTGAGTTAAACCTATAGAGAAACATGGTTTTGACTGCAGCAGCTCATGCAGTCAATGCAAATGTGGCATTTAAATAAGGGTCAAATGAACCTTTCCGACACAGATAGACTGCATAGACCAGTGAGCTAAAGCTATGCTAGTAACTCTGTGAGGCCTTACTGTGTTGTTTTCATAATGACTTTGCTAAAATGCCAGCATTTTGCCTGGATAATGTTTAACATCTTTGTTTTGCATGAGTCGTTTTTGACACTTTGTAAAAAGTTCATCCTCTGAAGTGTATGAAAGTCTTTGAAAAATTTTAATATCGGTTGCGGCATTTCTTTAGAAGAAGGTCTTAAATGTGTATTTAACTGAGTTACCAGAAGACAAGTTGGAAAATAATAAAGTCAGTGAACTTGATTCTCTGGGTGCCATTAATATCTGAATTTCTCACCTACTTCTGTTGATGATGACAGAACTACTAACACTAATCCTTCTTTACATCCTGGACTTGATTCTCCGAGCAGGTACTTGACAGAATCAGCACCATTTCAAAGTACAAAAGCTTTGGGATAATAATTACTAACAACAGCAGTTAATGTCCAACAGGCTACAAACATTAAAACATCTATTGCAAGAGTTTAACAAGCTTACTAAACCTTTGACTAACACAAAGGCAGTGGTCACCAACAAACCTGTGAAACATCAACATGCCACCGCCGAAACTTGTCAGACTTCATGTAAATGTTGATGTTGGTGACCAGTCTTACCAGTTCAGCGATGACGGGTAGAAATATGATGATTGTGGCGGTGTTGCTGGCGAACTCAGTGAAACAGGCCAGGAAAGCAGTGATCAACATCACAGCTGCAGCAGGAGGGACCTCTGCCAAAGGCTGGAGGTGGCCCCCAATCCACGCGGCGAGTCCGGACTCCTGCCAAGAGCCACAAGATTGGGGTTAAGGGTCAAAGATCAAATCACAACATAATAAAGCAAAGAGGAGGATGGAAATTTACAGAGCAGAGCAGCACCAACGAAAAGGATTTTTATCATTTAAGATCATTTTATAATTCGATTTTTTTTTGTACAATTTTCATCTTTATTCTGCTTTTAAAATCTACATTACAGCAACAGTCTTAGAGAGACTTAGAAACAGAAACTGTCTGTAGGATTAAACAGCAAATAGTTGAAACCATCACGTTTACCTCACAACCTTTAGCCATCGCGAAACCACCTCCGAGGAGCAGAATGATGTTCCAGGGAACTGAGTCCTGGGCTTTCTTCCATGATAACAGAGGGACATAAGGAGTATTTGCAGCTGGGGATGAATAAGCAGGGAAACATTCAATAAAACCGTTCAATATTTAAGGAAATTTCATGTTAAATCCTTGATTTAAATTTAGAGTTGTGTCGATATAACAATCCTCTAACAGGTCAAAAATCTTAAATGAACAACGTGTCAGAGGCAACTGAGATTCAACCAGTATATAGGCTTTTAAAGTCTGTTTAATCAGTGTCATATTCTGTCATATAACTGTGACTGTCATATAACCCCAGAGTGTTTTCTTTATGCTAATATTCTGAGATGTGACCCACTAGGAAGAGACAAACCCCATGATTTCTTTTGTTTTTACTCCATCCAGCCATTTATTTGTCCAGCTGACGATAATATACACAATCCTGAAGACATGTGTATTCAAACTGCACGAAGAAACACGTGCCTGCAGTTTGTGGGCACGCCTCCTCCAACACACACTTACACAACAAAATCCTGCAGAGTGCGACAACATAGTTCTGATGGATTATTCTAATCAGACAAACAGAAACACGGAGGTTTGAGCTCCACAGACTCTCTAATCTGCGTTATTAACATTCCCCAGCTGATTTTCAGCATGTTGCAAAAGCTGTGTTCAGGACACAGACTGACTTTGAATCTTTAATAAATATTTGGCAATCGAGTATATCTGCTGACCTTTCCTGATGAAGCCGCACAAGCTCCAAACTTGGTCATTACAAATGTTATATCTCTTTGACACGGGGATGATAGTCAGACTTTAATTGAATACACTTAACCCCACTTGTTTGACCTTGTTTTTAATTAGCGGTTGTAAAACAAAGATGGATTAGATAAGTGAAATTAGACTAAAATGTCTGACAAATGAAACATTAACAGCTGATAAAGAACGCACTGACCTTTTGGGTCAAACCACCAGCTCAGAGAAGGTTTCTGCGAGGGGAAGAAGAACAATATAGACACAATGATAACACCAGTGACTGCGTCTGACACATACCTGCAAGACAAGAAGAAATAATTAACAGAAGTAGATAACTGACGTGTAGATTCATTGATCATTTCCTAACAGGAAGAAGAACAATGACAATACAGAAAATGACTATAACTTAGTGCTTGCGTGTCTTACCCTTTTTTAAAAAGCACAGACCATCCGGTGACAAATTTGGGATCTCTCGTGAAGAGAAGAACAGCAAAAAGGACAAAAAAGAAAGAGATTGCTCCTTCTGCAAAACTGAAAATGAGCATTCAAAGTAAATGACGTTAAAAGGTGTGTGACAGAAATGTAATCGTTCGCCCTGTAATGCATGAGATTTGAAGACATACACGAGTCCTCACTTTATGGGCCCTAGTTTCCTGTAGTCGTCCTCTATTAGAGCCTTCGCTCTGGCCTCCGCCTCGGCTCTTCGGTCATTTTTCTTGAAGCACAATCTGTATGAAATAAAGAGTTTTGTAAGGAAGGATTTCACATTTTCACTCAAAAATCAAATGTCTCAAAATCAAATGTCTGATACAACATTACCTTGCGTTTAATCCTCCATAGAGAAACGCAATCCAAATCCATCCAAAAAACAGGAAGATAAGCATGAGAGGGAAAGCAAACGCGAACCAGGAGCCAAAGTTGATCAGGTCACAGTCTGGAAAGTAACTGAAAGGAACAAAGATATTATTTCAGAGTAACAAAGAGGAATTAAACAAAGTGCAAAGTTTTCACTGTTTCTAAAAATAAAAGACACCTTTTCAGCTGTCCAATCAGGATGAGGTTTGGCGCGGTGCCTGTCAGGGTGGCGGTGCCTCCGATGCTAGCTGCATAAGGGATACAGATCAAGAATCCTTTCCACACCTTCAGCTGATACTGGGCCTCTGATTGGACGTCCTCAGATGACATCAGGTCAGTCTGCTCCTTCCCATCGGGCCTTTTGAAGTTTTAAGAGACATTATTACCTTAAATGAACTTAGATACACGCTCTTCAGAAAGATCAGTGAATCAGTGAAAAAATGTTGTATCATATTCTTGTGAAGATATAGTAGCCTGTCATCACATTAGCTAAGTGCTTTCTTACCCATCTATGGACAGCATTTGTTTCTCTGAGGGCACTGAAGGCAGTGAATGAAGTTTCACATTAGAGTGACCTGAAAGAAAACCAGACCAGTTGAGTCTCTTCTACCTGGAACATTAAAAACTCAGTGTAGTATGAACAACAGTTCAATCACGCGCTTAAACTAGTCAATATTTTGATGAATCCGATATCCTCAAACACTCACTTTTTCAATACTGACTAACTTTGGTCCCTAAGATACTGTGTTTTGGAAAAACTGCACAAAGTTCAGTTTTTGGATCACATATTAAAAGACAACGCAGATGATGTTACAACATTACCCCAGTAATACTCACAGCCTGTGAACTGACTTTTATAAAGTTTTGACACTTTGATTAACAAACATGAACTGTTTTAGGCTTTTTAGACATTTTTTCATATGTTTTTGTAAGTCGGTAAAAAATGCGTGTTTTAAGATACAGCAGATGCAGGGTTAAGTATCATTCAAACACAAGTGGACTGATACAGATCCCTCATATATTTATCCATATGGTCTCCACCAATGTCAAGATCTTTGTTGATTTTTCCTGGTGAGTTGTTAAGTGTGCTAATGTTTTTTATTGTACAGATTAGTATATCAGAGTTTTTCTGCCTGCTGTTGCTCAAGAGTTCAATAAAGCAGTGAGATTGTAATGTCATAAACTGAAAAACTAAACTGCTAAATAATAACATGTTACACTACAAGACCTTCAGAGTCGGTTAAAAACTTCCCATCACTTTGCTTGTTTTGCTGAGCTTCACTTTAGGAATAAAAGTAGACCAGCATCAAGTCATTACGCTGTGCAAGAGGTTACACATACCGTTGATTATATCCCCCTCAGTATCCTCTGCGGCCTTGCACTTCTTTTTCAGGGTCTCCAGGTCTCCAAACAGACTCTCCAGGATGGCATTAGCTATGGGGAGCATCATGGCTGTTGTGGCAGTGTTACTGAGCCACATGGACAGGAAGGACGAGGTCAGCATCATTCCCAAAATGAGCCTGGAAAAGATAAAGATTAAATCAATAAAAGCTGGAATTATGTCGCTAAAAATTTAGTTTTCCTGTAAAGTCTCCTCACAAAGCTGGTTTCACTCCGACGATAGTGAGGACCTTCAGGGCTATTCTACGATGAAGTCCCCACTCCTCGATGGACGACGCCATCACCAAACCGCTGAGGAAGAGAAAGTTTGTTTCCAGGAAGTACTGAGGGCAGACTGTCTTGGATGGAAGGATTCCCAGTGTTGGGAAGAGGCAAACTGGAAGCATGGCGGTGACGGCCAGAGGAAGGGCCTCTGTGCACCAAAACATAGCCATCAGCACCACCACATAGAGACATTTTCCCTCCTAGAAGATAACGTGGAGTCAGTAATGATCAGGCATTAAAATTTCACAGAACAAGACAAATGTAGATTAACTACACAATGTTTTATCTCTTTAGCAGGTATGGAATTATGCAGTTTTCTTCCAGGAACAACAGTGTTACGTGAAGCTCTCTACACATGGACAACACTTGAAAAATGACAGAGTGGTGCAGTAGTCACAGAATAAAAGGTTAGGGTTAGGGTAAGGGTTAGCTGGGATATAACGTTCGCATTTCCTTCACGTGCATGCATGAGCTTTTTTGAAGTACTCCAGTCTGAGGACACACTTGTGGGGTTAATTGGTGACTTAAACTTGGCCGTAACATCAAATGCACACGTGTCTGGTTATCTGTATATCAGCGGGCGACTTGTCCAGGATGTACCTGCCTCACGTCTCACGCAGAGACCACTTGGATCTGCTCCAGAATGCTACTGCCCCAAACCGGATAAGTAGATAGATGATGGATAGATGGATGGATGGATTAAGCAGCAAGTGTTAAAGATTGACACAGAAGAAATCTGCAGTACCTAGAGTGTCCACTTGAGGCTAGTTCCAAACATTCTGGAGGTATTTACTGTGTTAACTTGCACAATTAAGTCCAGCTATGATTATACAAAATTGAGTGATTTTTCTTAACTGTTGTCCTGAGCAAGAATTTAATTTTTGACAGTAGCATGACTGCGGCATCCCTCCGTTCAGCTTGTCCTGATTAGATCATCTCCTGGTTGACTTATCATGCACCAAAACGACCAGCAAAACGTGTTAGCAAGAGGCTAACAGGATGTACGTCGAAAGATGAAAAGACCGTCACTTGGATTGCCTGTGCCAATTGTTCGGAAAGTTTCGTCTTTTTCACGTCCTCTCTTTGTCAAGGTTTTGTTTACTACTCGGATCTGTAGAAACCATCCATGCTCTTCGGCTTCCAGAACCAACGACTGGGACACTTGCTGAACACTCATGCCAGTTTCTGTTGGGTTGAGTTGTATATATCGAAGAGAAAGACAGTCCCCAGCTGCATTTTTCAGGTATGTTAGTCTGACTATGAGAAGTTTTCTACCTCAAATATAATCACTGCCATCATCTGGCTTTCGAACCAACGAGTGACATCCCTGATACTGGGTTTCTTTTTTGCCCCTGACCCCTACGATAGGCCAAAAATGTCTTAAAATCATCTGAGTTAGTGAGCTGGAAAGACAGAGATTTATAATTAATTGCTTAAACAACAGTTGATATTTCTTCTATAACTTATCTGCAGGTCAGTTAGTTTAACTTTTTTGAGACACCATCAGCGTTCACTTCTTATTCTCTACAATGTCATCAAACAATCAACAGAAGTACAGTTCCTTAAATAAGTCTTGAACTTAAATTTACAACTTTATATTGGAATTTATACGGATAACAAATTGATCACTCCTAAGAAACAGAATACAGACCAGCTGATGATAGATTTGATTCTCAACTATCTCTACCTTGTTTTTATAATTATTATAATGATCCATAAATTCTGCTCCCATAATTTCCTTGTGTGAAATGCCAGGAAAAAGCATTCCTGAAGTCTCCCAAGGTAAAATGACTCACCTTTTCCGGCAGAGTGAAAAGTAAAGGCAGGAACAGGACAGGAGTGAGCAGGATGATCAGCTGTTTGTGGGCACACCACAGCTTCTTGGACACAGCTGATACATTCATCCTCACAGTGAAGTGTCGCTGCTCCTGACTGGCTGAGGGGAGCCGGGCAGGGAGCACTTTGAAGCCTCTGGCGGAGTTCAGAGAAGATTAACTACGCGCCCTGATACAGTTTAACTCCTCGTAGGGTGGTGTCAAATAGTTAAGAGGGACAGTCTGTCTGCTGTCAGGTTTTCCCAGCAGTAGGCCTCTTGCACATGGACGACTGAAGCATTTTGAAGGCAGAAAAGTGGAAATGACCTCTGCACAGCTCATGCATGCTAACAGGCTTCTCGCCGTACAACTTGTTCTTTTGGTCGGTGCCGTTTGGTTTGCCAAACTTTTTTCCTTTTGCCTTTTTTAGCAGGTGTCAAACAAAAGTGTAGCTTAACCCTTCGACACTTTTTCTTCGATTGCAGAATTTTGACACAAACTCCAAAAACTCTTTAGACCCCCATTTCATTCAAGTCTGCACATCTCTGCACATCTCCATTAAAGCTTTATTTCGTTTAAAAAATTTACCCAGTCTGCCGACAATCATCGTAAAACCTGAGAATCACAAGCATTGCACAACCTACAATTGAAACAGTCTTCAATGGCTGACTAAACAAAATTAAATATTTACTAATGGTCACATGATGAAGACAAAAGATGAAGTTTACAAGCGTGATAATGGCTCCGTGAAGCTGCAGGGACACCGCTGCTAATATTAGCATGCTAACAGACTTGCAAATGACAGTGCTAACCCAGTAGGTAATGTTTTCTTAGTTTGCTTGCGTTCGTTAAGGATCAATCATCATAAAGTGCATCTATCTACTGAGCCTGAGAACTGCTATTAAAGATAAGAGTGGAAAAAATAAATAAACAAAACAAGGTAGAGTTTAAGAGGTCAGACAAGACTTTGGTTTTGTGGGTGTTGGTGCGAAATAAGAAAAAATGACTTTCTCCTCGGGGCCCAAATGTTCACAATTGTCAAAGTGCTTTCTTAAACAAATATTACCCATATCACTCTAAATTTACCCACTGGTGTTTTCACTGATGAATAAAAAAAAATTTAAATAAAAAGAGTTGGATTTCTCATAAGTCAGAAAACTGCACAAATGACCAAACTTCTGTCTGTCCTCAGAGTTAGAAACCACCTGTAGAGGTCCTAAAAAAACTGTGTCATCATCATAATAATGGTGAAATGTCACTTTAAAACACAAGTTTATAGGTGTCACCTAAAGAGGAAAATATGGGCTTTTTTTAAGGGTTGTGAAGGCAAGTGTCATGTCTGTTAAGTTTCCTTTTTATTATTTCAGTATACTTTTGTTGGTTAAGTTTCCTTTTCTTCTTGCACATTTATGTTTTTTTTTCGTGTCATGTATTTCCTGTTTAATTTTGTAATTCACTAACCCTTATTTCTATTTTCTAGATTTTCCAATCTGGTCTGTCCTGCCCCCATTTTGTCACACCTGCTGCCTGATTGTGTCTCCCCACCTGTTTCCCATCACCTTCATTACCTCTTGTATTTATCCGTGTGTGTCTCACTTTCTCGAGTTTGTTGCACTTCTTCTCTCGCTCCGGCATTTGTTCATAGTTATTGCCAAACTTTCGAATCTTGACTGCCTTTTTGTGTACCAACCTTTGCCTGAACCTCATTAAACCCTGTTTGTTTGACTAACTGAATTGGTGTCATGCCATCGTGTCCTACACTCTGTACTTTGGTTCATGACAGTAAGAGTGGGTTCCTGTAGAGAGTTATCTCAGGCAGTTTCCGACTTACGAACAGACCCGGGGTATTCTTTCAGTAGTTTGGTTTTTCCTTGACCTTCGGGGGCCCTCTTTAACTGCTCTACCTGATGCTGAATTACAAAGGCTAAACAAATGTTGGTTTAGTCAAAGAGGTAAACGGCTGCAGTCCTTCAGTCCTGGTTTCATCATTGTGTCTTTATTCTCTTTAGTCCAGAGTCTTTGCTGTCCTTCTGAGTCAAGACCGACTGAAGTAAAAAGGTCATAGATAAAAAACAGTTTATCCATTTATTTATTTATCAGTCCCTGACATCCAAATTGTAAAATTTCTAACCATTTATTGACGATAAACAACAAGAAAACTTATGAAATAAAAATTAATAAAAAATCATTCCTCTCAATAAGAGTGAAAGTAATAAAATTAGAAGTAGAGTGGCAGAAAAAGGCAGAAGGAGCCCAGAAATAGTTTGTCCTTAGGTCAAAGTTTTGTACGACTTTAAATGATCCAATTCAGCTGAAATAGTTCAAGCCTGTCAAATAAATCTGGCTGTTTTCTTGTTGTTGTTGTAGTGAGTCTGAGCCAGTAGATGGTGGTCTGCGCACATTTTTCTGCAGAGCGACTTTACCCCCTCTGTGAGACTGATCTCATATTGATGTTTCTACAGGCAGTGACTCACTTCATGTGTTTCCTGTGTGATTCTGACTCTATGAAGCAAGTGGAGGGCTCAGCGGTGGGTTCGCTCCTCTGTGATGCTCGCTAGTTTTGCTGCAGGATGAAAGCTGCTGCTCCTCTTCACACCCCCGAACAGAGAAAGTCAATACAGACTGTACAGAGTGTGAACACACGCTTCAACATGCTGGGTTGCACTTTCACTTCAAACCTAAGGCTGGAAACACACGTATTCATCAAATTAAGTGTCTCAAACTGAAGTGCTGAGATGCTTTAATGAGAAGATAGCCAATAAAGATATCTGATAGGGGTTCTCTAAATCCTTTTTACCTCTGTGGTGTCAATAGTTTTGCACAGGAAGTTAAGCCATGGGGGGGTGAAAAAGGAAATGCACAAGTCTGAAGTATTCAACAGCACAATAAAAACAGCCGTTTAGTTTTAAAGCTCCTGTGGGGAGTTTTTGGCTGGTTATGAAACAGACTGAATACTGAATACTGATGCCTCTTTATGAGCTACAAATAAAAACACAACCATGAGCACACAGACCAATTATTTCTACAGTTATTTTTAATGCCTGAAACCTCTGCCACAGAAGGTGTCAGATGAAGTCATTCACAGGGTGCAGCGTTCACAGCTGTTCTTTTACATTCGACACTAATTCGCAGTTGGAAATGCCTGGAAAGAGAAAAGCTAAAAGCCTCACATGTGTAGGACAAAATCAGCAAAAACATGGGCGTATAACTTTGTTTACAAGGTGCTGAAACTTGCACAACCACAAACCGCAACGTCTGATATTGCAGCATATGCAAACAAAAAAAAAAACTCTGCGGTTTAGACTGACAGCAAAAGCCAAAAGGCCTCAATAAGCCCAGAGCTAAAATGCCCGTTTTTCCAGCAGAGATACTTGTGCTCATAGAGTCAAATGTGTGTCAAACTACCAACCTTAAGCTATTAGTTCAAATGGAAGTCACAATATACAAAGTGTGTTGATATACACAGTTTAGCTGAGCTACAGTTACAGGATCATTTAGTCAAGATGAGCGAACTGTGACAAACAAGTTAGCAAGAGGCTTACTGGTTTATGTCCAAAAGAAATACAACTTTCCAACTCTGTCACTTTTCTGATTACGATTTGACAGCTTCACTTTGTTTCTCCTTCTGTTGCAGCTTTGTTTGCAGCGTCTACAACGCTGTTAAGTTAAACCTGATTGGGTGGTTAACTGGACTACTGTCCGTGTCCCAGTTTACTACAATGTACGGAAATGGATTTATTGACTAAAGTATGTCTGCCTTCTTGATAGCAGGTGGTGACATGCCTCCTTCCCTTCAGTTCATTACTACTGGGCCATCTCCTGGTTTGCCTAATACGACATACACCAATACAATCGACAAACATGTTGAGAAGAAGCAAATAGGATGTACATCAAATGATGAAAACACTGTCTAGTTCATCTTGAGCGGTTTGATCTAGTGTGGTTTCAGTGGTTTTAGATACTCAGATACTCAGATACAAACAGATTTTTTGAACAACATGTGAGGAGGAGAAGCTTACAATACTTGTGTTTTCAAGGTTCAAGTCTGGAGATGCAGCAAATGCCATTTTTTTTTTAAATTGATTTGACACTTTTGTTTTAAAGTTGCACTTAATGAAAGCACAAGTGAAGCACAAACAGAGTTTAAAAATAGATTTAACAGTCATCATGGAGGGAAGTGGAAGTGAATGTTACCTAGAAACAAGTAAAAAGCACTCTGACGAAAACATTGTCAGTGGATGCAGCTCCTCTATACAAGTGTTTTTTTTTTTTTTTTTAAACAAGCTGAGTATGACTGAGTGAATTAATGGACTAGATCAACCTGAGCTGGTTTATCACTCAGTTTAATGCATGTTTTGGTCAGCAGGAAGGCTGTGACTGCAATCCCCTGGCTCCAAAACCCTTCTTTGCATGCCTGGGCTCCACAAGCGCAACATGAGGTGGATTTTGGTTTCATGTCTCTTGCATTAAAATTGCAGTTAATGCCTCAAATACAACATGAGTATATGCCATATAACAAAATGATAGTTTTATTAAATAGTTAGATTATACACCTCAACTTTTCACTAGTAACATCCTGCCTGTAACCACCTTACATGGAGCAAAAGGTGGTTTTTGTTCCCCTAAATACGCCTCACATCCTCCTTGGTCTGTTTTCTAAAGAATCAGCTAAACAAGCTGACCTCTTCCGTGTTAATAAAAAGGCAGCAAGTGTTGTGGTTTAACACAGTCACACACAACTTTATATATAAAAAATAAAGCCAGTACTCATGAAAGACTATACATCTTTAAAAAGTACAATAAATATATCACAAACACACAAAATATTACACAGTAAAAGCTGTTCAAGAGAATTTCTTTGTCCATTCCAGCTGTCAGCTTCACCACTGCTGCCGCCGTTGTCTTGAAGACCAGGTTTGAACAGCCCGGGTTACCTGAACAATCACAGAAAAAGATGAAGACAGACAACTTTTACATTAGTGAGTCAACTGGAAACAAGCCCACCCACGGTGCGTGTATCAAAAAAGAAAAATGTGTGTACCCCCCTGTAGAGGAAACGAAGCCTCAGAGTGAGCGTGTTCCCGTCTAGCTTGTCTGCAAATGCAGCTCGGCAACAGTCATCATAAAGCTGTCTCAGGTCCCCAAAAATTAACACCTATGCGAATTATGAAACTCACTAAACCACGTGAAAAATGTCACTGCCATTCGCCTTACATGGTTGTCACCCTGAGGTTCAAAATTGGGCATTTACCTATACAGTAGAAGAAGAAGAAAAATAAAAACTTTATTGACCCCTGAAGGGTGCAGTAAATGCAGTGGTTTCAGTTCTTTGTAGACTGTCGACCCTTTGCCACACCTTGCGTTTCATTTGTTTCATTTCTTCTTCTGCAGCAAGTCTCTGTTGTGGCATCTCATTTGCACCTTTCTGAGTTGAAACATCTTTGAGCTCCATTGTCCTCGACGGCCACATTACTTGGTCCATTACATAACAGGCCGCACTCTTTTTGATCAAAGTACTTGCATTTCAGTTGGGCTAACATGTTTACATGCATTTTTAAAGTCCAATATTATGATTATTATTTACCTGATCACACTGTAGTGATTGCCCCTCTCTTCCTAGTAGACCCTATGTTGCATACTTAAAAAAAAAATGTCAAAGTAGTTTCTCAAAAATGCCGAAAAGTCAGCCAAAACATCCCCAACACATCAACACTAATATTTTAATAAATAAACATGTCTCTTACATCACCCTTGTTTATTATTTGTTGCCATGCTGAAAAAGCTACATGAGTCATCTTGACAAAACCACAGAATTTCCAAAAGCCCGAGAAGGTTAATTTTATGTGGGGAATTTAACCTACCATGGAGCACTTAGTTTTGAGTGGCTGAGGAAAAGAACATAAATGCTAACATCTGAATAACAACCAGGAAAACTTTTGTCAAGTTGGGAGTTTTTACCTGCTTTTTAAGTGTTTTCATTAAGTTATATAAATTACAATAAAGTTTGTATATTCATAGCTTTCAAAATAAAAGCACAGTTTTACAGTGTAGGAAATAAAGCTACCTAAACGCAGGACAGGAAAAAAATTAAAGCATAACAAGGACATATTTCATTGGGCAATTTTTTTTGTTTGTTTTTAGAAAAGTTTCAGTTTCACAACAAGTAATGTGAATAAATCATAAATTTGAGCATAGTTAGAAACAGACAATGACACGATGCAATTTTGTTATTGTGATATTTTATGACTGTGATTATCAAGAGGTGAACGTCGTATATCATGAAAGCCCCAGGGACAGTCTGCAAAGTCTAACTATGGAAAAAAAAAATCTGCAACAAAAATGTCTAATGGTGTCATGACGAGAATTTTCCTCGTAACAGAAAAAGTCTCTTGTTGGTTTTCCTTCAGGGTTGAGTTTCGAAAAATGAGCTTTTACATAATTTACGTCACAGAAACTTTTAAACCCCCCCGCCCCCGTTTTTTCTTTTACTTTAACTTGAGTAGATTCACAGTCCAGTAGTTTAACTTCTACTTCCACCAAAATAACTTTACTCCTGATTGAGTTTAATATTTTAGTTCTCTTTCTCATCAAGTTTCAAACCAGACTGTAATCCAGACCTGATCCAATGACGTGGTTTTAAATCACAGCACTGACTGACCCTAACAAACACAAATCAAAACTTATTTACCAAAATGATGTTGGCAGACAGAATAATTTTGGCGAGTCCCACTGCCACAACACCAGTGATGCTCCACTGCACGGGCAGATCCTCCTCGCGTCCATGACTGGGCGTTTGTGTGCTGTTCTGTTCATATGTTATTGTTGTCATCAGCTCATTCTCACACTCTGTGTTTCCACAAAAAGAAAAAGAAAAGAGTAATCAGTGTTCAAAATAAGACACCATTCATCTCAGCATGATAGAAACATTTCACAACATAATTTCTATGAGAATTTGATTGGTGCACACTTTGTTTTAAACAGATTGTAGATTGAGTACATGTAGGACTAAACTGGTGGCTCAGTAGAAAGGAAATTATTGCTCTCATTTGGGGTGATGGGTGAACTCGATGAGTGTTTCCTGTTGTGTGATGTGGCGAGAAATGTTCTGTGACAGTTGGGATAGAAATGAGGTTGAAGTCAACAAATGTGGGTCATGTAATGTTTTTTTTATTTTTTATTTATTTATTATTTTTATTAATTTAACACATTTTATTGAACGTAATTTCTCTAGAACTGTTTTAATAAACTGGATTAAGCTGGTTAAGCTGGACATTTTTGAAAGCCGTGACCAAAGAACCACAGATTAGATTTTTTGTTTTCGTGATTTCTTCTTGTCGGCAAACACCATGATGATCTAGCCAACAATTTTCCACCTAAAATTCACCCCTGCCTCACAAAGGTCCACACTTTTATATTATCTGATAAATACAGAGTTTTAACTCTGAAGAAAAATGAAAATGATGACATGTCTCTGCTCAATAAAACTAAAAAAAAAAAAAAGGATTTAACACCTTTTTCTGGAGGGGCTTGGCACACCCACATCTCTAAACACTGTTATAAATTTCCACCACAAAATCTCAACCCAACAAAGGTGTACAAAAATGAAACCCACATACAGTTGTAGACTAGTGTTTGGGGATTTACCATCATCTAAAACATTTTCCAGATTTATTTCCACTGTGGGGAACACAGTGCACGAGTTAATGCTGTGACACACACCATAGATTGAGCTTTTTAAATACCCCCCAAGATGAAGTAACCTGAAATACTCTTATGATTATACTATCTGTTTTAGACAGCACAATATTAAAAATATATATATTGTTGAACTTTTCAGATGTGTGTCTAAATGTAAATGAAATTCCTGTCTCACCATTAACCGTCAGTTTGACTTTGGAGTGCAGGTTTGTATGGCCCAGGTCTGCAGTGATCTCACACTCAAAGAGTCCAGAATCATCAGGTACCACGCTGCTCAGGAACAAACTTTGGTCCTCTTTGAATACGGTCGGACGAGTGAAGTTGTAATCCTGAATATTATCTTCGCCTTTATCCCTCCTAACGATGCCATGGGGCTTCTGCTTATCAAACTGTTAAAATCACAACTTTTAACCACATGTTTATTTATTTTTTTTATTCATTTTTGACTGAAAGGAACATAAAAACCATCTCTGTGTGATTTAAAAGACAGATGCAGCTGAAACGTATCACTTACCTTATACCAGGCCACAGAGATGAACTCCATACTCTCCACACCTGAACACTTCAGGGTCACATTGTCCCCACACTTTGCATGACTCTCTGTCTCACTTTGGACACTCGTGCATTGCAGCAATAGCATCTGAGAGGAAACACCATCAGTGCTCTAATCTGCTGTATCAATTAAATAGAGGTAAACAGGTTTTACTCACCTGAATGAGGAACACCGTCTCAAACATCCTTTAAGCTTCATGAGTTTCTTCAGTTTGTAGAACTTGAAAATGTTTCTGCCTCTTTTCTTTCACTTCACTGGAAAAAGGTCAATGTTTCCTCTGAGGGGAGACATCAGAGAATTTACGCCATCTAGAGGTTAGAAGGAAGTGTTTTTTTTTTCTCTTTTAATAAGCGGCATTACATTTATTTTGTGTTTCACTTTCTCAGTAATCATGGCTGAGTTCTGATGAAGTCTTTTTTTTTTTCTTTTTTCACTTAAATAGAAACTTAAAGGAGCCTTCCACCAATTCTACACAGGAAAAAAAACAGTGCTTTAATTCAGTTATTGAATTTTTGGAGAAGAAAACAAAAACTTCTTTTTGTAGAAATTATTACACACAAAACTTAATGTACCACAACAACTTAACCTCAACCTGAGTCTTAATTCTGGTTCTTAGGCTGTAAACTCAGTTGGGGTTTTACGGCGAAAGACCTGCTCTGACAAGCACCTCGGTCTACAGGGGGTCACCAAAATCAACACAAACAAAAGTTCCCCGCAGCAGCTAAACATCTGGTAAATAAAGCGAGTTTAACCTTTTCTTTAAGAGGCAGAAACCTCAAGCAGAACCAGATTTGTTATAATATCATACATAGTAATCCGAGCTTTTGATGTATGCTTATGATAGAGATAGACAAGTGTTGTAGTGCAGCTGGTTTACAAATGTCTTTGATTGTCTGGAGCGGATTTTACTTTGCATTTAAGTGAGGCGTTTCTCTGAGAAACAGGCTGTCTTACATACTGGGGGTCACATCAATCACACACACACCCACCCACACATAGAACTCTTATGAGGCGAGCTCATCCTGTTGTTTTCATCTCAGGGAACTCCCCATTGTCTCCCTTCAAGCATATTATTTGTATGTGTCGCTCTTGTTGACAAAGGGGCTCGATATATGTTATTAATAGCAGAGCAGCTTTATGGAAAAGGGAAGAGTGAGGTCTTTGGATTCCCCCATCTGCATTAAACAATGCCTCATTCAGCAGCAGCTGGCACGGCCAACACAGGAGCGAAGAAATCCACTGATGTTACTACAAAACAAAACACAACATGGGTGGAAATGAGGATTTTTTTGGCCTCTTCCGATTGGAGGACAGGAACTGCAGCTGTGAGCGTGTTGGGTTTATGACAGAGGGTAAAATCTCAGCAAACCTTAAAGAATGACGCACTGCATACTTCAAATGTCTCTCGTTTTGGTCTCTGCAGATGTTCTGATTCTGTTTTTAGTGCAACATCTTAATCAAACTCCTGGGAGTTTAACTGTTGAACGAACCATGTGCTGCGAGGAATAAAAAATAAGGTTGTGACAAAAACGGCCAAGGCCTGTCATCAAAGTTGTGATTCTCCAATGACTTTAATAAAGGATGTAACAGTGATTGGGTGCACGTGTGATGTGTGCATGTACATGTTTGATTCTGGCCCTATGTAAGGGTGTTGCACGCCACACTTAGTCCCCGAGGTTGTTAGCACGCCCAGCTGCTAGTGCAGGTCTCCATGTTTCTGTCAGCGAGGTTGTTCGCTGCACACTCTCTCGCCTCTGATTGAGGAAATCCTCTGACTGTTTGCTCTGTTGGCTGAAATGAAACGTCCCAATGGTTCCGCCGTCTCTCCCACAGGTCCTGTGCGCCAAGACTTTCCCATGAAGACCGTGCATGTTTACAGGGGTGTGACAGATATATGGCTCTTTGATGGGCCGTAACAGTACCAATGTTTCAGAGCTGGAGAGGCTCAAAGATGATAGTGTTGTCAGGAGGAAAATCCCCTGAAAAGGTGAGTTTGAAGAATCAAATGACTCTGAAGTGAGACCCAAAACAAAATTAAAACCTCTTTTTTTTTAAACACTTGCTTATCCTCCCACAAGAGGTCATTATTTTTGCAGCAAGGAAGCATTAAAACATGAAACGTAAACACAATAAAGACACAATGAGACAATAAAGGCAGTAAAAGCACTTGAACAAGACACGCAACTTCAGTGTGCTAGAAAACAACTGTGTGAACAAAGAAAATAAGAGCCAAAGGAAAGGCAAGAAAACAATTTAGTACACATGAGATTAAAGAAACTTTGGCTAACTTATGTTTGGTTTGTGTTTATTTTAAAAGCTTTTAATGAGACATGTTTGTCTGACAAAAAGAGGCCACAGTTCAGCATATTTCTAACAAACCACCTTAAAACCAAAACCTCATGTTTTGAAGGATAAAGTAGACACAGAAGCCTCAAACTTCCAAGATATCAAGGTTGTGAATTTTGCTGATTTGACTGACGGGTTTAGGCCCACCTCAACTCCAATTCTGAGTTTAACAGAAAGTTGGGTTGAGTCAGCATGTCCAACACAGCATCCACCACTGATAAGCTTCAAAACACTGCTCCACACACCAGCTGCAGACGTCATTAAGACGAGCTCCATGTGTTATACAGTTTAACCTCCTGAGACCCTACAAACAACCACAATCAACTTTATATCAAGATCAAAAAAACAGCAAAACTCCACCATGCCACACCTGTCAGCTGTGCTTGTTTACATCTGGGTAGTAGGGCATTGAAGCATCATGGCAAAAGTCATTATCAGGAGCTACAGCCCCATCTGGTGGCGAGTGTCCATATTAGAGCCTGGAAACAACTCAAAAACAGGCATTCTGGCCTTATAAGGTCATCAGCATTTATTCGTAAATATATCATTTATTAGTTTGACAGATCTGATTTTTAATAGACTCTCATCTTTCACATGCGCTGTGATAAATAGATCCTGGAGGAAATGAGGATCTAATATTAGTTCATTGAAGTCAGCTGTTACTGAAACATTTGGTCTGTCTGAGTTAAAGCTGCAGAGCTGCATCTCTCTCCCTGCTCGACTGTTTATTTAGGAAGGTAGAAATCTCTTTTTGTGCGTGTTGGATTCTCACCTCTGCCTCTGGGCTTTGGCAGGCAGCTGACGGCTGATTGTCTGAGCCTGCAAGCAGAGCTGAGCCGCTTTACCTCCATCTGTATTGTTCCCTAATTTCTTCTCTGGGATTTCCTCCTGCCAACTCCCCCCTGACGCCCACCCATCCTATTTACTGTAAGACCCTCCATCATCCTCCCTCTGTCTGAGAGCCGTGCCAAACTCTCTGGCACATGAAAACAATTGTTCTTGTATGTTTGAGGAGACACAACCTGCTTTCTCAGACAGGCTTTTCTCCCCCACAGAAGCTCAGCAGACAGACTTCCTTCTCCTCCTCCTCCTCCTCCTGTTAGAAAAAAAATGTGGTCATGTTCAGTAAAATCGGAAGCGAGGTATCCGAGTCCTGAGTCCCAAAGTGACTCAGGGACATTAATATCTTTGACATGCAGGTGGAGTGAGAGGCCATCTCCCCAGCCAGAGAGTGTTTGAAACCTGCTGAAACAGCCTGTGAGAGCAGGAGCGATTAAAATACGACCATGTGCAGGTTTGTTTCTAACAAGAGCTCTCTGGCAGGACTACAAAATGCTGAAGGTAAGCACCCATCTGGGAGTCAGGACTGGGCTCCCAGATGAGGCTGAAAAAACGCCTAACATCCTTCCTGTTTCTGGATCATCTATTTCAGCCTTTTTTCCTCTACTTTTTTTTTTTTTTAGAGCGGAGGTAAGGACAGGAACATGTTTGAGCGGTCAGAGCAGTGATTTGTGTTTTATCTGTGATGATGTTTTTATGGAGACATTGCACAAATCGTTCTTTCTGAATGTGTCTCTTTCTTCTTCTTTTGTTTTGTTTTGTTTAGGCGATCAATAATCAACAAAATGAGGCCGCGAAATAAAAAAAAGAGCATCAAACTGCAATATGTAAGTGATAATAAAACTCTAAAACCAATTTGACACACTCACCGTTGTTTTAGCTGTACTCTTGAGTGAACTTTATTACTGTGGTGCAACCATCTGGCCTCCACTACCAGAGAAAATATTGTTTGAACATTACCATAAAATGTGTTGCAGCCTCTTTCTCCGGTTTATTTTTAGGAGTTTATTCTGCACGATAAAAAAGAAATGTTAAGTGCTACACCGAGCAAATTTGCATGAAAATAGCACTTTAACGCAGCTGTATTAGCTAGTATTAGAGAACATCTAAGAAAGTACAACCCTGTCTAAGTGGTTTGTAGATGTTGTTGTGTTTTACAGTATTTGATTATCTTTGTCAACATTGGTGCATTAATTGTAATAAAATTAAAAGCTTGCTATTTTGTCCCTTCCAGTACACCATAGTTGCTGCTGCCAAGGTGGAAAGTAATTACCTCGGAGACAGCTCTACCAGTAAGTCAGAGGTAATTTGGACTTTGTGTCGAACTTAATTAAAGCTCCTATTAGGAACTTGTGTCAACTCTCTTGTAAAACTCTTGTAGGACCTGCAGAAAAATGCAAATTAAAAGCAATTAACTTATTAAGTTTCTGGGTTATTTATGATCTTTTCAAGTTAAGATTTGGAAAATTATAATGATCACTCAAAGGTTACAAGAGGTACACTCCACTATGTCTTTTTTGTGACTTTCAGTCAATCGGTTTGTGCAATTTTAAAGGTGATATGTAACGTAAGTGTTTCATGTTTCTGTCTGACAGATCAAGAGCACATCTGAGTATTGAGGTCATTTTCCATCTCAGGTCCGAACGGCTGTCTAGCCTCACTTCGTCTCTGTTTTCCAGCACATAATGTCTTCTGGGATTAAGATATGTGAGGATCCAAAGACAAGGAAAAACTAACCAAAGGCCCCCCCATGGATCCTCTCCTGTCAGACATGTTAAACAGATCCACACTGACCTTATCTGCTTTCCTCCTCTGATGATCCCCGCCATCAAATTTGTTACCTGTCATCTTAAAGGAGAGGGAAAGACAAGGATCCTCTTCCAAATTAGTCAAAAACTCGCCATTTGTTCCAAAAAGCACCACCAGAGATTTCTACATCTGGGTCCCAGCGCCGGATGATGTCAAGACTGGCGCTGACCCAAAGCCCGTCGCACTGAGAGTTCCTCAGAGAGGTCGGCTGCACGTTGTTTTCCCTTCCTGTGCCTCCGTGACATCTTCCTGCCTCGGGGAGCCATTTGAGGAGACCGGGGCCCCGAGCATGGAGGACTTAGCACAGCAAATTCCAATTAGCCTGACAGGAGCAGGTGGGGGAGGGAGGAGGGTGAGGTGAGGGGAGCTTAGACCCCCAAGCAAGAACTTTTAATGGCCTTAAAATTCACTTTCCATACAGCCTTCTGTACCACCGGGGAGCCTCCCTGCGTCTGATCCAGGTTTAAGTTTTTAGTCTGATTCAGAGCCGTGCCAGACAGGAACCCGGGCTCAGCTTTCTGTGAGTCTGAGCTTCAGTCGGCCTGTTAGACAGATCACTGCTGTGTGTTTTTCAGACCAAAGCAGAGGAGACAGAGAGAGGTCCAGAGAGACCGGACTGGGAGGGTTCTCGCCTCAGCAGACTGATGTCTCAGCAGTTTTAACAAGTTTTCAGAAAAATTGTCTGAAATTTCTTGTTTCTGCAGAGACCAAAGGAATATTAGAGTCCAACCTCGATTCCAAAAAGGTTGGGATCCTGGTAACATGTCAATGAAAACATTCTTTAATAGTTTGTACATTATTTATATGTATAAAATCACATTTTGGTTCCTTTTCACAGGGTTGTAAAAAATAAATCTGACTTTTGCAGCGATTGGCAAGAGTGCACACATTTTACTTGTTTGTCTTTATGATAAAAATAGAGCCTGAGAATCATATAAGTGGGTATTTATCATCTTTTGACACATTCATTAATTAAGAATTATTGCAATCCTGGTATTTCAAAAAAGTCTAAAGCCAAATATCCAGCAGGGACCAACAGAAAAGCATCGTGTCAGGGAATATTTTGTTATTTAATGCTGGAAAAATGCTGTAAATTGTAACTTGTTCTTTCTCCCATCACATATAATAAAATATGTGCTTCTAAATTTTAAGTTTAGTTCATCAAAACAAGCATAAAACAGTTTTATGTAAAAAAAAATAAAATAAAAAAGTTTCTCCAGTGACAGATGAGGCCACAAGCAATGCAGCTAACTTTACAAAACTTTGAATCAAAGCAGCAATCAAATCACATTTAAAAGCTTAGGAAGAGTATCAATATTAAGTATATTTTCTTAATGGGGCTCTTACAGGAGGATATCTGCTATCGACCTGTGCTCACATCAGAGTGCAATAAAAAGACAAAAAGAAACAGATCTTTGTGGATAAAGCTATAGATGGGCGTTATATTGATATAGCTGCATTATATCTGCATCTATTGCCATCACTACACATCCACAGGGGTCTTACTTCAGCGCTCCACTGTGACCCCTGACCTCTCACCCCATCCCTCCCTGTCCATCGGGCCCACAGCGGTGATTTATCCCTCTGACATACCAACAGCTGTGTTGGGGGCTCCGAGCAGAGTGTGGGCTACTATTTGCCGTGACTAATCGATAACAGACTTCAAAAAACAGCGATCGTGAGAGCTGGAAAAAATACACCGGTCACTGACACCAGAAACCCCGAAACCTTTGCTGCTGCTCTGCGGGCTTCATAAACAGCGTCCCGGCAACGTGGCTGGAAACAATAGAAATGAGTGTGTGTAAGAGAGAGAGACAGTAATCCTTTCATGAAGACATTTAGGACATTTTCTGTCCAGTTGTTTTTTAAGTAAATGGATTTTTGCAGATATAACTTAAGGGAAATACACGACATAAAAATACAACATAAAAATAGCTATTTTATCAAATGCAATGCAGATCTAAACAAAGAAAGTCTTAGACAACGATAAACTTTCTATTTTATTAATATATTCAGGATGTATTAACATGAAACACCCCTGTCATCATGCTCTTTTAGTTTGAAAGCATTTTACGTGTCAACCAGTGTGTTTCTCTCTCTCTTTTTTTGTTTAATTGCAAACATTTAAGCAAGACCTGGAATTAGAAAAAAATACCCACTTTTATTTTCATAAAATATATTTTATTTAAAACTTTTGGAGAAAAAAAAGTTTAAAAAAATTCACAAGTTTCAAAAAAAATGCACTGCATCTTTGAAAGTTTAAAAAAAATTCTCAGTAAAGTATAAATAGTCTCTTCTTCGGTTTCATCACTGATCCAGCATGTTCATGTGTGTGCTTGCTCGTGTATCTGTAGATATGTGAGTGTTTGTGTGCTCTGTAACACCAGCTTTGACTCTTCCCTGAGAAAGTCTTTGAGGATTTTCAGGTTGTAATCATCCACTGGTCTTCAGTCAGCGTCTCATTCTCAGTGGACCCAGACCTCTCATTTTTAAACAGTCTTTGTCATCTTTTATCTGGAAAAAGCATAAAAATAAAAGTCTCAGTCACACTTACATGTAAAACTCTTTTTGCTCCAGCAAAGAAAAGACGAACTGAAATTCTACGTGCATCCTCTACAAATCATCATTAATGCAAATAAGATGAATTCTTTTATTCATACTACATGTTTTGTAATTTGATTTCATATAAATTAAGGAATCTGTGTTTGATTGAGTAAAGAATTTACAGCCAGCTTCGACATGTGCTGTGCGTAAAAGCACATTTTACGCACACGCTCAAGGACAAAACACTGGGCTACCATAAGGTGGGCATGACTGAAAGTTAAACAGATGCTGCATTAGGGACAAGTTTTTGTAAGAGCATGGTCAAGACGAAAGGTCAAGTGGGCCTTGTCTCCGAGCTCATACGACACTTTTATCTTAAACTGGACACTTTTAAAGTAGCTTACATTTTACGCACGTTTGAATTTACAAAAAATCTTAATATAAGATGACCAGCAAAGTAATATTACCCCTTTCCTCTGGTTGCTCAAACAGAAGGTGCAGATGGTCCTCGGCTGCTGCGCCCCGCTCTCTCCTTGTGCATGAACCGCGCCGAGGCACGGCTGTCCATCCGCGCCCCCGTCCCCAAGGAGGAGCACATTGGCGAGATGAGAAATGTAGCTGGATGCCAAGCGGAGGGTTTCAATTTTTGAGAGTTTTCTGTCCACTGGCTCGGTGGGAATGAGAGTCCGAAGAGCCGTAAAGGCTGTGTTAACACTCTGGGTCCGTCCTCTCTCCCTTGCATTAGCTGCGCTCCTCTGTTTCACCACAACCGGAGAGTCAGTGTCCAGTTTGCGCGAAATCCTGCGTCGCTTTTCGGAGGAGCCACAGTAACTTCTCTCCGAGCTGCCGTCGCTCTCGCTGCGGTTGTCGTCATCCTCGGATGTGATGGTAAAGTCTGAAAAGATCAAGTGGGTCGCTGCGGGCCGCAGCATGGCGAAGGTCATCATGAAAGTCTTCAGCTCCCGCTCCAAATCTCCTCTTAGGTCAGACCGGAAACCGTCTGCAGGGACTGTCCCTACATCTCCATATGGCACAAACGCTGCATGTAAAAACTTTAAGAGAAGAAAAAACTTGACCGAGCTTCCATAAGTCAGTGTGCAGTGGCCTGTTTGAAGGTTGGACCCTGACTACCTGCTCTGCTGGCTCTTATAGCCGGATGGGAGGAGCTGCTGGAAGCACTTAAGAGTTACAGTAACCTTTCAGACTCTGCAAACACAAATCATTGCACACTAATATGTCAGGCTGATATTAATCAGAGGAGCACATTTGAATTCACAACGAGAAACGAAACTGTCACAGTTTAAACAGAAACAAAACTATCAGGAGTTTGGTCTCTGGACCTTTATCATTTTGTTTAGAATTGAAAATTATGCAGATGCAGAACTGCAAGATATGCAACCATTAACCTCCACCTACCCTGCAAAAAAAGTGGTACATCATTGAGTGCCTTATGATAATCATTTGTGCACTGAGGTTTACAGCTCCTGTGCCCAGTATTCAAAGGGGTTATGAACAGACTGTGATTTACATTGGTGGCACTAAATGGTCAACATTACCACAGAAGACCATCAGTGAAAACACTTGTGATTTCTGTCATGTGGTTTGTCTTGTTGTCGCGGCAGACCTGCGGTCTAAAACAAAGTTACACCTGGTTTCAACTGCTTCCTAGACTGGTGTCTGAAGATCTGCACATAAACAGATGAAACACATTTTCCAGCACAAGGAAATGCACATCTATGCAGACAGATAGAAACCACAGAAGCTACCTGAAGTCATGGGTTAGAGACTAATTTTGTCAAGTAACTGATGAATGTGAAATTACTCTGTATAACTATAATTAAGCAAAACAATATGAGTCATAATGTGTTTACACTAGATTAAAAGAAAATAAAACCAAATAAACTCACAAAATCAATGTAAGTAGCCTCTTAGCTAAGCTAGCACACAGTCCCTCTGAAGTCCAACAAAAGACACATTTTTGACAGCCCACAATATCTCATAGAGACAGAGTTTCACAAGTACATCAAATATCACAGGGATGCTGAGAGGACATGCTGGATTTCCGCTTGTCTTGTTTGTTTGAGGCATTAAAGCACACGGCTAGAAAGCAATGAGGTGAGGCAGTCAGGAGCCACTCAATTCAACACAAGCCAAAAGATCCTCTCCGTAGCATTGAGTAGAATCTACATTTCTGCAGGGGGGTAACAAAAGTGAAGTAAATTACTTGGAATCATTTCAGAAGCTAAGACTTAAAAACATTTTATTTTGTAAACTGATTTCATGCTCTTTGAGTAAAATGTTAAAATGTTGATCACAGCTGTTGAAATAATTGGATAAAGTTAAATCAGTATAACATAATATAATAAAACTGTATTTATTAACATTTGTTTGCCATTGTACTGCATTGTTGTCCTCGAATAAACACTTTAATCACTGCCTGTTTCTACTGTACGCAGAAGACGGTCCCAGAAACTCATATGACCGTCTCCAGCTGAGGGATTTTAATTTTTAATGCTCAAGCATTAAAATATCGGCCAAAGAGTCCTTTAATGCCACTCAGGGACTAATATTTGCTCTGCAGTCATTTAACAGCTTTACAGTCTTGTGTTAGTTTGACATCTTTACAGCACGGCCACCCGCTGAGGTTTGTTTTGATTGGCTTGTAAACCGCTGTGATACAGTCAGGACCAAAATGAGCTTAATCCTCCACTAAAGTAAACCCAGTTGCGCAGGTGTTTGGAGAGCATTTGCACTGGATGTAAATGTAAACCGTGTTGATCTTGCCGGCTCTTGAATTTCCATGAGATATAGTCAAGTCACATGCAAGGAGCTGTTTATTTGAATATGTTCTTCAGGAAGCATGACTGAATATTCAAGCTTTTGTCCCTACATGCACAGCCACACTCTTGAGAGTAGATACAGTAAATATAAAAAGTAAGTTTTGGTTTACACAGCAGCAGAAGTGAATGAACCCTGAGCAGATGAGCTGAGGCTTTATTTGCTCGAGCCGAGCCAAATGGATGATTCAAGTCTCAACGGCAGCCATACTCCTTCAGCCACGGTCTGCGGCAAATGCATCCACCCCACAGTATCTCAGCTGCAAAAACAGTCAGACATCAGCCACCAAAACTGTGTGCTGAGCGAGCGCCGAGGTCTTAAAAAGGACACAAGTAAACATAAATCCACAGAAGCCAAGGCTGCATGAAATCTGAAGTATCCTCACATTAATTAAAATAATCATAAACCATAATGAATCCATAAAGTGGTGCAAACTTGTGAAATCTGATGATCCAGTAATAACACATTGAAGGTCAACAAATTCCCTCAAGTATCAGAAAACAAATTAAGTTGCAAATCTAAGACACTCTTTGCTGCGAGGACTAATTACATTTACCAGGAACCCTGAAGCATCAATTTGACTGTGTTTATGTGGAGCGAGTAAATCAGCCTGTGTGTTAAATGTTGGAAAAGGTTAGCTAAAGATGAAGTGTTTTGAAATGACTCTCCAACAGAGGCAGTAGATCCATTTATCCTCGCTGAAGTGGAGACAGCATGTTGTGTTTGACCCCCTGCTGATTCCTGTGGTGTTTGTACTTCAAAGATCTCTGTTTGTACCAGAGGGCAAAGAAAGGCTGCCTGTGTGTTTTTTAATCATATATAGCAAAATAAAGCTGTCAGTCCATCACCTTACACAAATTCATAATCCTCAGAGGATGAGCCTTGATGGTCCATTCGTACTTACAATGATTTTTTTTCTTCCTCCTGATAGCTGTGAGCAAGTTAAGTGCTCTGAGCAAACAGTGTGTCTGCCAAATCATTTTTTATCCACATGCAATGTTTGAAAAGGCTGATCTGATCATTCATAATCCAGCCTGCACACACTCCACTCTCTTTGTGGATATATGACTCTGGAGCAGAGTCTTCCACATGCCAAAGCAAGCATGCTAGTTGAGCAAGAGTGGCAGATTGGTTGATGTACGACTGGATTATCAGTCATACTGGTGAGCTGATTTTTTGGGCTGACTTGAAGCAGAGGTGAGCCAGAGCACGCTCATATGTTTAGCACTTTTCTGATTAAATACTCCTAAAATCGAGTTTTCTTTCACTGGTTTCTTCACAGTCGGTGGTTGACACTCCCTCTTTTTCCTAATTTTTGCTTTTAATTTGGATTTGCATTCAAGGCCAATCAGATTAAGCATGTTTGATGCAATTGGATGTCCATTATCTGAGTCCTCATCCAGCCTTTAAATCAAGGCCACTGTTTCCTCCACAAGTAGGTGTTGTCTTTGTTGACTGAGCGCGGCTTAATGCCTACTTTCTCCAGATTTGGTGTTATTTCAGGTACTTCTTACCATCAAATAGTCACATCAAAGCCTGAAAACCAACAATGATCGATCCCTCTTCGGTGTCGCCTGCGCAGCCAAAGCCGGATACAGTTTAATTCCTCTGTGTGATAGAGCTCCATTGTTTTCCAAACGCTATTAAAAAGACATCAGTGATGAGAGGGAGACATGTTTCTTCATTACAATGAAGACGGTTTATTTTGAGCGGACTGCACACACACACAGTCCCCCTGCTTATATCACTCTATTTAACATTAATCTCTGGTTTAAATCAACCTGAAAAAGGACGTTTATTGTGTTTTTGAGTCTTTCAACGCCCACCTCACGATCAAAACTCTAAAGCTAAAACCCCAAAATGAAGACAGTGAAAGATTTGTGTCAAACAGACCTTTGGCTTAAAGATACATACAGTTGGCTTTGGACTGTTCGTAGTATTTGAAAGGTCTGCTTTCTGTCTGTGTTTCTGGCAGCAGTTTGGACTGATTACTGTCAGGAGCTGCAGAGAAGAACAGTCAGAGGTTAGGTCCAAGGTTTGTCTGAGGTAAAGAGGAACATTAATCAAGAACGCGGCATGCAACTATATATCAAATATTTCCCTCAGCCTTGCAGAGCGAGACAAAATGGATTGGATCTGTCATCAGTAGGATGATCGATAAACATATTGATAATCCAAACTGTGAATTATTTTCCTCTGGCTGTGTCACTGTAGAGCAAGTCAGCACATGTCAGAATGATACTTCAGAGTTTATTTTCAAAGTTATCTCTAAAACTTTGAACAGACATATAAAAGCTTACAAAATAGACAAAATAAAGATGGTTTACTTTTAAAAACGAGCATCTTTTGCAGGGATTCAGGTATGCTTTTCTACCATTTTATTGACCCAATTATTAATGGATAAATGACTTAATTAAACTGAATGATTTGCCAGAACCCTATGAGTCTAAATGTATGCTACCACTTTGATTTGTTTAACGCTGTTGCCTGTAGACTCATATGTTTGTCTTGCAGATATAAGTTTGTAGAGGAAGAGAGGACTTTGTTTACACCTAAATCTGACCTACAAAACAATAAAATACTGACATATTTGAGTAGACATTGCCTTCTCAGGAGTCAACAATCCTTTCAAAGTAGATTCCTGTCAAATTGTTCATTACAATTGGCATGGTCACGAAGATAAAGCCACATTAGGAGACTGAAGGCTGTGTGAAATACTGCTATCATACCACATGTATACTTTCAGAGATGGAGGGCCACTCACACTGTGTCATGGAGCTCTCTGCGGTGAGGTCAGAGGGTGGATACAGCGCTGAAAATCTGGCACAAATTACACGCCTGCAGCCACCAGCGGTCTGAGGGAATTCCGGATAGGAAGCTGTGAGAAGTCATCATCAAGTCAGGCACTCAAACCCTTCAAGAGGATTTGGTTTGAAACCCCCCTTGACTGGAACAAATGAGCAAGCCGGCCCAACAGATCATTTTTTAGCTGTATTTCAAGAGGACAAGGATTCTATAGGAGAGTCAGATACTAAAGTTATTTAAGATGGTTTTGTTCTGTTACTGGATCGCTTCGCATTCCTGAAGTGAGAGCAGATGTTTCATTCAATATTTATTACCTTTAAACTACTTGGCATAAGATAAATCTGACATTAAAAATGTATGCTAAAGAAAGCCTGGAATATCTCTTCTGGTATAGCTGTCTTTTAATCACCCCTACTGCAGTAACCTTTTGGACTTGTACAACACACTTTGATACAGACGTAGACAGAGATGTTGGGAATGCAGAGGTTTTCTGATAAACAAAAACCTGCAGAGGAATGACAGATTCTCTCTGTGTAATATATAATTGTTTTCATTAACAACTCTGAAGGCTGACAGTTAATTACTACAGCTTTAAAACGAGTGTCTCTGAGGAGGAGAGAGCACATGACAAGATTACAAAGTTTAAATCTATTCATAAACAATGATTTTAAAGCTTTCCCCCAATCCCTTCTTACTGAAGGTGAGTCATGCTTCCAGTAATAAAAAATCTACATGCAACATTATTTACAGCCACCAGAGGGCCCCCAATACACTTAGAAAAATATGGAGAACGTCAAAGAACTGTCAGATTGATTTTATAACTTGTAGAACATGCTTTCAACTTTTTCCATCAGTCTAAATTAGACTGAATTAATATCCAATTTAAAACAAGACATTTACCAAAAACCATCTACTAGAACGTTTACTTTTCTCAATAATGATATCTAAGTGTAATTAAAAAAATATATATATATCCGATGTGCATAGGTTTTTGGATTGCGATGTATATTAAAAATATCTGAGAACCTCAATATAAACAATAAATATTCATTTTAACTTAAGCCAACCAAGTATTATTAATAACTGTCTCTGCAATAGAGCTACTACTGTCACACTACTATTACACATACATCTCCCCAGTGAGTATCCAAAGTGTATTTATTTTACTGACAGTAAATATCTAATCTTAAGTGAATCTATCACCGCTGTGTTGATGTGCTGGTACCTGCACTAAATACTTTGTTTAATCTTATACCCCTCAGTGTTTTTCCATTGTTAACAGGTGAACACACTGTATGTTTGCTCTATTTAATGTTTGTTTTAGTTTTTTTTTTATGATGTTGCAGGAGAAACTCTATCCTGATTATGGCCTTTTAAATAATCCAACCATATTTAAAGTTCAGCTTAATAAATGTTGAGTCTTGATTTTAAACTGTTTGTTTTACTTTTTGTTCACAGCTGTTGCCTTCAGATGGCAGTAAACTTTTTTATACCAAACTGTAAGAGTCAAAAATTAAGTACTTGAAGTTAATACATCAATTATCAATGTGCAACAGTGAAAGTAAACGACATGTCTCAAATCCACTGGTGAAAAAGACCACAAAGACTTCCTCCTCTTGGCCCCTTAAACCCCCTTGATCTGTGTAATCCTCAAAGATAAAGCGTACAGAGCCACCCATGGAAAACACTCCCAGAAAGCAACAGGTGCATTATATGTTTTCGTACCGGTGTTGCGTGTCAGAAAGCCTTTGAGGATATAGTTACTTCCAGACAGTGAGCGAGCCACAGGAAGTCTTCTCACACGCGACGATTCAGGGAGAAATTTAGAGTCCTTTAGGGCCGGTCGGTAAAAGCTGCCCCAGGTCTCTCCCTTCATTTCCTCGATGGCCACAAAGGGAGACCATCAAGCAGCTCTGAGCTCGTATTGTGAAGGAAAGACCTCGTCTGTGTGTACTGACCTGCAATGTATAGTTTACACATATCAAACCTACAGTTCCTTCCTTTAAGAGGAAAGGGAACTGGCTTGATTTAATGACAGGGTCAAAAAAGTCAATATAAACAACAAACAGGAACTCGTAGGAGAACAAATTATTTTGCATGTTGAAGGATGGCAAAGGCAGTCCAATTTCAGCACCTAGCCCTAACTCCCACGAAACAGCTTCACTAAAAATTACAACCCCTATTCCATAAGCATTAGGACGCTCTGTAAAAAGTTGTTGTAAAAAATGATGGTTTTAGGATTGTTTTGCACCAAATGTTTCCAATAGGTGATCAATTGGAACTGTCGGGAGGCCAGTTAAGCAACCAGACTCTTCTACTACAGAGCCAAACTGGTCTAAAACATGCAAAATATAGATCAGCATGTTTTTGCAGTATTGTACCTAATCTTCCCTGCAGGCATTGTCTGGATGACAGCATATGTTGCTCCTAAATCAGTATATTTTATTCAACATTACTTATGCCTGGTCATGCCATGCAGGGCAGTCATGCATCTTTATACTATTAGGAATGCTAACTTTTGAGCTGTGCACTGATAACATGCTGACTAGTGGATGTAGTGTCCATGATTCCCCCAAAAAATGTAAAATTTTGACTCCTGGAAAGTTTACCAACTCAAAACAGGCCATCCTAAGTGGGCCCCAAAAGGCACCAGCTCTCTGATTTCCTCTTTGCATGGTTCAGTTTAAACCTGTTTTTAAAAATGCAGCGACAAACTGGGTTCACGGACTGTTTTTTTTGGATGAGATTACGCCCTCATGTAGTGATTACTACAACAGAGTCATCGCTTTTTTAAAGCTGTGCCACCTGAGGCCTGAATATCACAGCCTTTCAGAAACAGTTATAAGTTTTGTCCTAGTATCACCCCATTTCTCTTTCATATCATGTCCTGTAGATTATGAAATCCTCAAATTCTTTCCAATTTCACACCCAAGAACAATATCCTGAAATTGTTGAACTATTTCCTCAAACAGTCTCTCATAGAGTGGTGAACATCTGCCCTCAGAAGGACCTGTCCTCTCTGGAGAGCTCTTTTTATACTCAGTGAGGTTATTAACTAGTTGCGTAACATACTTTGCTGTGAGAAGTTCCTCCAAGTGTTTTTTAGCATCACACAACTTTTCTAGTGTTTTTGTCTCTGTCCCAGCTGTTTTGTAATGTGTTTTTGGCTATTTAAAGTTAGTATGTATTCTCACAAAACCATTATATTTTTTAAGTTAAATCATTCAATTTGTTGTTTTTGCACAAACTGTATTTTTACTAAAGCAGAATATCTTGATATTTTTGGATGGATTAAACACAAACTTACACACACTTTAAATAACATTACACAGGTTCTATCAGGAGTTGAGGATCATCTGTTTGGCTAAAGAGTTACATTTCCCCCTGCTGGTAAATCCTTCACCCTGCAGCCAGCAGCTGTCACAGAAGAGTCAAAGTGTGAGTCATCTGAACCAGATCTCTTAAAAAAAGCAGCTACTTTCTCTGTTATCACCGCAGATCAGGCGTTGAACCTCCCAGGTAGGTACTGAGGTCTGAGACGTTTGACTTGATGAGCTTGGCTGGGATGGTCGACATGTTTAACCTCTGATAGGCAGCAAACCTGTGACAGCCCCCGAATGAGTAGAAGTAATTCCCTCCCTCTCTGCCTTTGATCCAGAGCACATCAATGGGAGGAACAACGCTGACGTCTGCTGTCTCCTGGAAGGAAAGTCACACTGACTGTTGATCTTACAGCAGGATTAGGGACACAATAATGACAGGTCCAAATACAAATCTAATTTCAAGATATTTTAAGCCAATAGTTCTTAAGTTGATTGAAAAAGCACCCATTCTTTTTTCAATTAACATATAAAGATTTTTTTTCCTGCTGCATGTGTTGTCATTTTTACTCATTGCAGTAAATTCAATCATAATTTGACCAAATCCTGCTGATTATGTTACAACAACTTCAGGATAAAATACTTTGATAGCAGGGCACTGCAACTTTGCTGAATTTTTTGCATGTTAGTTAAAGAAAGCTTTGTACTTCTTGTATAATCCAATTATTGCTCAATATCTGACCTACTGTGTTGAAGTGTGGGGAAGTGCCTCCATACAGCCAATTTTCATTTTACAAAAAAGAGCGATACGAATTATTAGTATAAGTAAATAAAGAGATCCTTTAAACCCAGTATTTGCTCGATTGCAGTTTTTAAAATTAAATGAGTTAGTAGATTTCAGTATGTTGGGGATTATGTCTAAAGCTCATAGGAAAATTTTACCAGTCAACATCCAGAGCTAAAGTTGTTATAATTGAAAAGGATTTGAAATATTTTAAAAGCCAAGAATCAGAACTAAAGATTGTGGAACAATCTGAACAAAAAAATTAAATCAAATTTTATCTTCAAAAAAAGTGTCAAAGCCAGTATGTTGGGTAAATACAGGGAAATACGTTCATCTAAGTCTTGGTATGTTTGTTTTGTGAAAAAAAAAGAGAACTAATGTGGTCTTTTTTGTTCGTTTTGTGGGTTGTTTTTGAAAATAAGAAATAATGAAGTGTAAAAAGGCATGTTGGCCTGCAGCTCTTGTTTATTTTTATCATGTGTTTAGTTGATTAAGAGTTTTCTTCTTTCTGCTCCTTTTTATTCACATGTTTGAGATTTTCCTTGTTTGTATTGAATGTTTTGAATATTTACTGAATGAAATAAAGTATGAAAAAGAAACAGAAAAGGAGAGAAAATATAATAGGTGTTAACATTATGAAGTATAACTGCCTTTGTTACCTGTATAGTTTTCATCAGACCCTGAACTTTCAGCTCATCCAGGACCGGAGGAATCGGTCTGATGATGACTTCCATTGGGACGTTGTGGATCTCCTCAACGCTGTCCGAGTGAATCGACCTGTTGGCGCAGTTTCTCCCAGAGTCATTCCCAGACTCTTTCGACATGTTTCTAGCTCTACAAGATAAAACCAGAAGCTTCACCCGGGTGTCAAAGCCGTGCCACAACCGAAACATTTACCTGCCGACTATAGTACTTTCTCAACGTGAGTTTTCGATCACTTCCTGGAAACTGGTTAGTTTACGTAGTACGTAATGCTGTGTCATCAGTGGAAGGTATTAATTGGTTATTGGCGCTGTCAATCATAAAGGAGTAACGCCCTGTTTGAGCCGTTCAAATTTACAAATGGATCTAGTACTTCCTCAATTTAAGACTACTCCGTTATTTCCTCTCTTACATTATTGGACAAACTGATTAATCCAGGTGTGTCTGAGCAGTCATAATGATTAGTCACGCCTAGATTCATCGGTTTGTTCATTGCCAAATAACTTGTAAAATGAAGGTAACGTTGTGTCTTTTCGTGAATTTGTCACTGTCGTCAAGTAAATAAGGAAAATAAATGCTTGGTGTAGCCAGAAGGAATAACTCAAAGAAAATGGCAGCAAACCAGGTGAGGAGTGGCACCCAAACACTGATATATTACTCAGTTTTAAGTTATGAATTTGGGGCAAAAATGTAGAGTTTAAAAAACGTATCAATCCTTAAAGTGAACTGTTTTTATTTTATTTTGTTTTTGACTAAATGACATTAATTAAGCACCAGTGGGGAGTTTTAGCTTTAACTTGTCTTGTATGATTATACAAATATGAAAAAATGAGGTAATTAACCATAATTGTAGTGCACATACACCAGACAGTGAGATTTTTAATTCTGTTGTTCTGGTCCATGGGTCATACCTGAACAAACATATTCCTTTTTGACCAAAATAATCATGTTTTTATTTTATTTTATTTTATTTTTGGCTAAATAACATTAATAAAGCACCAGTGCAGAGTTTTAGCTTTAACTTGTCTTGTATGATTATACAAATATGACAAAATGAGGTAATTAACCATAATTGTAATGAACATACACCAGAAAGTGAGTTTTATATGTTTTTTTTTTCTGGTCTATGGGTCATACCTGAACAAACATATTCATTTTTTACCAAAATAATCACGTTTTCTTACATGTGCAGGCCGATTGTGTGAGGTCAAATAGACCTTTTATGTCCAAAAACACCCCTGACAGAATTGTTAATAGACCTGCTTTAGAACCAGGAGGGATTGTGCTGTTTTTTAAGGACCATCATCACCAATTACAGCATGCATGTTTCACAGCTGGAGCCTCTGTGACCCCAACAGAAGTGGTGTGTTCCCACTGCAGACTTCTAAAAAGTCATCAAAATCATGTTCAGTACAGTTAGAGGAAGTAATGGAGAATCAAACCGATAACTATGCAGAGTGTGTTTTTTGAGCTGTCAAACACACCATGTGGGTTAACAGTGGCTCTTTTATTGCATGTAGACTTGCTTTCATTGGTGAGAAGCTGTTGAATATTTCATGGCATATGTATCTGTAGTACCAAACACAAACTTTACTGTTTTTCTTAGACAAGTTATTCATTTCATGGCCAAACTGTTTCTCATTAAAATTCATTCCGGCAATTAGTCACACAGTTAAAAGGAGCCGCTACAAGCTCACAATCCTTTGGTGACAATAGTTTTTAATGAGGTCAGTGTTTTGTGTTGTCGACTGTTGCATGATATAGGCTTCCATCTTCAAAGTGCGCTAGTTGGTGATTTTCTATTTTTGCAGGGATTTCAAAGAGCCATCCAGGTTGCTGTGGTTACAAAAAAAAGGACGTCTGGGCCCACAGCATCGCACAGGTAAGTGGAAAGCTTCAAAGATCTCTGGTGGTGGAGCGCATACAGAACTATTGTTGTTTTCTCCAACGCACAGCTACAGCATCTTCTAATGAGACAATTAAAAATGATTTCTTGGACAGGAGAGGCAGGCCATTATATTGAATTATTACAAATACTTTGAACTACAATGGCAACGTCTTTTATGTTGATTAATTGGTCACACGGGGATCAGTAGCAACATGAAGGCGGTCTATATATAGTATTTAATCACTAACAGTGGTATCTGTACATTTTATATCCTTGTAGAATTAAAGAGAACAAAACCCAGCCTGTGATTTAGGAGCTGAACTGAATGTAATCACCTTTTTTTCTGATATGCAGCAATAGCAACAATTTGTTTGTAATTTCACCAAAAAGCCACTTTAGATTTCGGCTTTTTTCCCCTCAAAGAGCAATTTAGCTGACAGTAGGAAGGTATAAAATAACTGAAAAACTCCAATTAGACTGTAATGTGCTGACATGAATCGTGCTGCTGGCTGCATGACTTGCTGTTTCTGTCTGAATAACTTCAGGATAGTAAATATGTATGGTGACATCTCCCCCCTGGGCATTCACCACTTTATACAATGTCAGATTCAAGTGGTGTCTTTGCTGTCAATCAAAAGCCACTTTATCACGCGCCAAAGACACCGAGCTTCACACAAAAAGAAAAAAATCCTGTCAGTCAAAGCATATAGACTTGTAAATCATCTCTAGTGCTGAGGTGTGTTTGGAGTCCCACTACACTCTGCGTGACCCTCTGCTGTCACAGCAAGACTGTATTCTAGTCACTAACATATCTCAATTACTTAGATTGAGTTAGTCACACAGGTACAGCAGCAGGTCACGGAAGAACAGTTCCCACATAATGATTTGCTGTTAATATTAGATTTCAGTCCCCGTGGGATTGTCACACTTAGAGCAGCTGGAGAAAATTACCTGCCAGCTTTCCGACAGGGAAGTGAGCTATATTTATTTATACCATCTCTCTCTTTTTTTTTTTTTTTTTTACACGTTGACATGCTTTTAAAGTGATAATTATTCTGAAGGCGATTTTCACTCTTCAAACTATAGCTTTGTGATAGATGAATGTGTCTGAAATCGTGACACGGTTTAGCAGCAGAGGATGTAGCTGTATTTGTGACTGCAAGTGTGACTGATTTCTTCACTGATGTTGATTATTCACTGGTGACTCTCGCAGCCTAAACTTATGAAATTACTTTCTGCTCTGGCTCCTTTTAGTACGACTGCCCAGAACAGGATTTCTGTTTAATGATCTTCTTTGCCTTGAAATGAAATTGCTCTCCCAACCTCACCCCAGAGAGAGGAAGTGGGCGCTTTGGAGTGAGATTATTTAGATGTGGATTAAGCTGTAGACTTATACTTCAGCTCATTAACTTAACCCTAAGAGGAGAAAACAGACTATATTTTAACACTTCAAACATAAATATAAGCAGACAAAGCTTTAAAGTAATCTTATCTAACTCTAAAACAAATAATGAAAACCTTACATCTGTAATTTCTTTGCTCTCTGTGTTTCTGCATGTGTTGTATATAAAGAGGAGAAAAAGGAGCTATTTAAGGAATGCACTCCTTGACTTCTGCTTGAGTGCTGATGACAAGTTGGATATCTTAGATGCATAAAAATGCGATTTTGACATGACTTCAAAAAGAGAAGCATACGGATGAGGTGGACCCTCTGCCAACAGAGAGACGGGGAAACAGATGGGTTTTACACAAACAGCACAAACATCAAGAACACTGAGTTAAAGAGCTTGGCAGTCTCACTTGATGAAACAGTGAGGAATGGAGGCGCTTTTAATGAGCATCTCTCCTGTGATGCAGAATGTGAAAAGACAAACTGTTAGCTCTTAAAGGGCCAGTTACAGTTGGTTGGCCCTGACTGGTTGAATTGAATGTTTTTACTAACCTCTTGTTGAGTGGCTTTGGTCAGTATTGGATACAGGATGGATGGAAATAATGTTGATTTAAGATTCTGCGCAGTAACCGTGGGTTGAATATCTCTTACAGTCGAATTACCCAGTGAAAGCCATCCCATCCTCGTGATCAAAAAAAGCTCGCTTTTATTGTTGATTGTTGGTGTTGACAGTTGGTGATTGGCCAACAGATGGCGCCAGGTGTATGAGGAGGGTCAGGTGGAGGGCCGGCACCAGTTGAAGCGGTGTTGAATCAAGTACTGATAGTTTTGTTTTTCATAAAGCTCGCTTGTGTTTTCTTGTCTAACCTGTTAGACACAGACAAACACCAGTTGCAAATGAACATTTTTAATTTTTTTTTTTTTACATTATTACAAATAGGCAATGATAAAGACTTTATGAACGCAGCTGCCAGAATTTTAACCAGGACGAATCATAGATCACACATCACTCTAATTCTAGGTTCATTTCAGTTGCTGCCAATCTATTGATTTTAAGATTCTTAAAAAAAAATTGGAAGTCTTAGGATGTCTATTTTTACATCTCAGGAAATTCTCAATTTACACAGAAAAATTTGGGATGTATGTTAAAATCAGTGCAGGCCTTATAAGACTTCTCCTTTTCTGTCTTCATAAGGACCAGGACCCCTTATCACAGAAGCAGCCATCTTGCACCACCATGTTTCTATCATGACACAGAACGAACAAGCAGTTACATATGTATTTTTGTATTAGTGACTGACCGTTGAGAGTAGTATTGATTTGGAGAAGATGAGAGTGGTTGTTGTTGTGCACAAAAGAATTTGCAGTGGAAGACGATTTTGATGGTGAAAACTTGATAAATGGAGGATCACTTGTCATGCTTCGTAGGAGCCTCCTGTCCTTGAAGGCCATCATAGTTGACAGTTGGGCTGGGCGAGGGAGTGTTTCAATCTACAAAGTGACTTCCATTTATCACAAAATATCCCCATTTTACACACGCTATCGCTACTTGTCAAAATCTTAATCTCAATCTTAATATTGATATGAATCTCCTGACAAACATAAATATATTTATGAACTCTTTGGCTGAACAAATAGTTTCTCAGTTTTTATTATTATAATTTTTAAATGGACTAATCACTTAATTGACTTGTCATTTTGACCTCTAAAAGGATGTAGTGCTTTATCCTGTGTGAGACTGAAAGACACCAGTTGCAGCCAAAATACTCCTGCACCTTTTGAACTTGATGTGGAAAATGATGCTGTTGAATACAAATGTTTATTTTTGTCTCTTAATCTTTTTATTTACTTTCATCTTAGCATTACAGATAATTTATCTGTGCTGGGCAGCACTTCAGAATGAGAACAGCTCTAAATATGAAACATGATCGTCTTTACTAAGTGGTTCTTGTTCCTCTTATTTGTGTTGATTGAAACCTGTTTCTGCAGTAACCTCATAGTAACCCCTCACCCCATCAAAAGGTAGTCATATTTCCTCTCAGACAGTCACTCAGAAGATGATGGTGTTGTCAGGTCAGTATCTCAGAAGAGAGCGTATGGCATGCTCAATTTTGCAGGATGTGTTCAATAATTTACCTGATGTGCTCCGAGTGTGTGTGTGTGTGTGTGTGTGTGAGGTGGTGGAAGGCAAAGACGGAGTGTTTGAGGAACATGTATGAAGGGTGAACTACAGTACCCCAGCCCGCCTGCTGGTGCTGATCACTCATTGCTGCTTGTTCTTACACACACAGCACAACCTCGGGTGTAGTAATTGGATTGCATGGGTCCCCATTTTATAGTCCATTGCCGTGTAATGAAATCAGTTATTTACTTTCATCATAAAATGTGATAAGGGACAACATCTGCCAGGGTAAAGTTTGAGTGAGTACGCACATGAATGTTGATGTGCGATCTGCAGTGCTCTGAAATCCTGCTGCTGTGTGCATAAGAATGAATCCGGCTTTAAATGTAACAATTTAAGTGCGTATTTGTTTAACTTTAGAAACACAAAAGCATAAAAGCATGCAAGAACAGCCGTGGCTTTCTCTGCTTTGTGATGTTGAAGAGAGGAAAGTGTAGCAAAGTGTCCCTGCTCTGCTCTGCTCTGCTCTGCTCTGCCTGCTGTCTCATTATACTGCTGCTGTGCTGCTGGAGGACACTGAAGGACACAAACGATTGAATTCAAGTGTTGTATATTCCCTGGAAACCAATCAAGAAAAGCCCCAGAATAATAATCCCTGTCCGCTGTCATGATTCATTTTTATTTTGTTCCATATTTTTCTCCCGCTTTTGAGTTGCTCAGAAAGACTAGTTCCAGCATAAAATCAATGTTCCATTAAAATTTAATGACCGGGAAGGGCTTAATAGTGGTGGAACAGATGCCTCTGCTTTTGATAACGCCGACATCTCAGGAACTCTTACTCAAAGCTGTACCAGTGTTGTCAGGTCCTCTGACCATTCCTGCTCCGAGGCTGCTGAGGAGAAAACAAAGGATGTTGGCATATTTGTGGCTTGTGGTGATGGAATTAAAAGTTTGTCATTTGACAGTAAAGCTCATAAATTGATCAAACATTGACAGAGGAGAGACAGCTGATGGTTCACCACCATCTGAACTCTGATTATTCACTGTGTTGACTGAGAGCTTTGATAAACAATCCCAGAAACATTACTATCCTATTTGCTATATTATACACATGTTTTATTTTTAAGAAAAGATATAGCACCTAATTTAACAGGTGGACCTGTTGGGTAGGGATGTCCTGAGGCAGCTAATATTCTAGTTGTCCAAATGAACACAGTCAAAACTGAGTGCTATTTTTTAAACATAGCTCAACATCAGGTCACAAAGTATCAGGTAACAATGCCAAATTCAATAGTTTTTTAAACATGGCTAATTCTAACAGAGCTTTCGTCTTTCATGTAAGTTAATGTCGACATGCCTGTGCTGGTTATGATCACGTTAGGCCAGTTTAACCAGAGTCAGCTTACATACAACTTCATCTAATATTTAAACATTTGTGTTCTTTATTTGTTTGCATCCAGGTAGCAGAGCACCATGGTATTTTTTTCCCATTAATTAGAGCTACAGCGCCTGCTAGTGCTACAGTTTTGACACAATATATGACTGGATTGTGCCAACAACATAATTTTTATAACAAGCAATTCTGGCACTGGCTAGTGAGGGCAAGAATATGTAAGCATTTAATCGTCTAAACACAAACATCCATACCATTGACCTCTGCACTGTGCAAGCTGATTAAAAAAAAGGGGGAACAATCATCTCCTTAAATCATAATCAGGTAATACTGGAAAGAAATAAGAGTAGACGTCTGAGTGGTTCCTTGTGCTATTGTTTTTATTAACGTTATCATTGCTATTGTTGTCATCAGTATTAATTGTAGCAGAACAAGAGAAATCAAAACACCCCTCAGCAATCATGGCTTAAGTTTCTTCATACTCAGCTGGAACAGAGAAATAGAAAGATAAAGAGAGAGACAGTGAGAAAGAAAGAAAGTGGAAAATCTTAATCAGTTTTTTTTTCTTTGAGGACCATATGGAAGGTTTTCAAGCAGCCAACCATATGTTGAAGGCTTTTGTCATGGAAATCATACTTTTTGGCACTTTTTCATTGCGCAGCCAAGCCGGGCACATAAATAAAGAGAACAAGAAAAGGAAAAGAAAAATCATACAGAACATGATCAAATCTTTGAGGATACACAGAGTTGGAAGTTTTTGTTTGTAACTTACAACAGATAGCTTTTTTTAAATCAAGACACTCCCTGATTCTCATAGCCACCCAGACTGCAATTGGTACCTGTATTTGTCTTTTTTTTTAATAAAAAAGACAACATGAATAGAAAAAGAGCAATTAAATGTCTACATGCATTGTCATATTATTGCTGTGGTATATTTACAGATATATTTACAAAATCATCAAAGAGGAACAATGTTTCCCTACATCTGTAGTGAGAAGCCTCGTTTTCTGTAATTAGTATTTTCTCTTTAGACGATCTGTAACGCTGCCAGTTCGAGATACAAGCCTGCAAACATTTTCCAATTGATGTTTTTAATGATCTCATTGCTTTTATCTGCCTTATCAAAACAGTCCCCAGGTTCTCTCTGTTCCATAAACATAAAAAACATACAAAAACGAGTCTATAGGAAGTAATGATTTCTGCGCCGCTACAAGAATATAGCAACGTGCCAAACTGTGTGGTCTGCAAGTGAATAAGGAGACAGGTGGTTTAGATGCTCTCATGCAGTGATTCAGCTGGAGCACTTAGACGACCATTGACAGGATGATGGCAAAACAGGAGAGGAGAGGATGCATAAACCGAGCGAAACTCCTCTTTGTTTTTTTGATGTTTTCTTTTTAGGGCGAGCTCAGCATTACCGTGATCGTGTCATCCATTTGGAATATGCAAATAGCTGACAGTGCATTTGCCTGCTGGTGCTTGACCTTCCCCTTGGAGGTCGCTCACCGACTCAATTACGCTCCCTATCTGCAGTCTGTCTGCAAACACCTGTTATCCTCCCACACTCCACCACCCTCCGCCAATCCCACTTCAGCACATCTCATCCTCGCTGCGTCTGTTTAGGGCCAGTTGGGTTTGGATGAGGGCGGCTGGTATTGGGTTTTTGGGGGTGGCGGATGGAAAGGACAAATAATTGGGGAGTTTGAAGTGTGTAACAGAGCAGCATGCTACCACAGTTGTCTCCAGAACTTTTCCTACCACAAGACAGTTTGGCTCAACATCTTACGATAAGTGCTGTTGAGGATGTTTGTTTCCCTTAAATCTTTAACTGTTTCCTGCAGCTGTTTGACTCTGTTGAGAATGATTTAGAAGCATCAGTGAGCTTTGTTAAGTGACCTAAATGAGATTCATTGTTATCCTGTTGTGTAACCCTCTGAGCAAAATAGTAAGATCATACCTGCCTTTTCAGCTGTCGGAAGAGATTTATTTTTACCTGGTTGCTCTAAAAACAAAGAAGTGGTTTAAATAATACTGACAGTAATATAAAAAAGCAGCCGTTTCCAGTCAAAGTAACACTTAAAGCAGTTTTGGACTCACTGTAAAAAGGATAGAGTGTTGCTCATATTTCTGCATCACCAACATTATTGCTTTTGCACCTTTAAAACCTTGGTGAAGCTAGATTACACCTACATTTTTGGCTGTCTGATTTTTTTAACAAATGGATGGTGTTTCATTTTTGGGCCGGTGTCTACATGCACATCAGCCATTTCTGATGTATATTTATTGCCTGAGATTTTAAGACTAAAAAGGGGCAAGAATCTCCAGTAACAAGGAGGCATTGGACTTTTAGAAACCAGCAAGATGATGGCTATTTTGGTGTCTCATTTTCATTAGTTTATTTCTCTTTTTATTGCCCTAAATCGACTGAAAACAGGACGGCTGTGATTGTTATACATGTCAATCGCTGTGTCAGTAAAGTTATTGCCACAGAAACAAAAAACTTCATTCTGCATTCATTTGAAGTTTCCTAACACTGATTCTGTACATTGTTCCTCTTTAAAAAAAACTAAGTCCCATGGACTCTCTACAGTTTTCATGCATATAAACATTTTCTTTGAAGATCAGCAGCATCTTACAAGGTGAATGGATGTTCATTTTTTAAATAATAAACAATAAATAAATACATGATAAATAACAAATGGGCGAGTATTCAATAAATACACAAAAATAAGGTCAATAAATAAATAGATAAATAGGTTGATAAATAAAGTATTTACATGATAAATAGATGAAACGCATCTAAACCGTGGGCGGAGCTTTGAGCGACATATAAAAGAGACAAACAGAAGGGTTTGAGTGTCACTTTGTAACTGAGGGTGTGTGAGTCCATACCTTCACTCTGAGGTAACACAGGCGGAGGGGGAGCACCTCAAACACTGGGTGGAGATTGCTCTTAAAGACGGGACGATGCACCATAAAGGCAGCTGAGTCAATGCAAGCCACCATGGTGGAGGAAGAACAACGAGAGTTTTCATTGCTATAGACGAGTCGACCACACATGGCACTTATTACTTTAGATCATTTGGTCTGGCTCCCAGTGTGTTTGTCCAAGTCTGTACATCAGAATGAGACTATGAATCTGATCAGACAGCGTGTGAAGGCCTGTTCAACAGGCTTGTTAGACGTTTAAAAAGCTCTGCTCTTGCAGAGTTGAATTGTATGACCTATGGTCTATGATCTTGTATAGCTTATTCAAATTATTTTTTTTCTTGAGTACCCACAGTTACAAAGATGATTTCGATCAACAAGGGATAATAAGCACAAAAAAATAAATTTAGAAAAATCAAATAGAAAAATAACATCCGTTGAATTGAAACATTGGTGTGGAAAAAAGGGCTTGTCTTTTTACCATTTTAAAATGATCTCCCTTTTTTGCAAATACTGTCATAGTTCACATTTTCATAAAAAGTTCATGTTGGCAGTTGCAAAAGAATTCAATTCTTAGCAAATAAAAAGCAGCATAAAAATACAAGAGGTCATTTTGTCTCTAAAAAACAAAAGAACACTGTTAGTCCTTTTTTATGTTTTTTTTTCTTTTTCTTTTTACTATTTGCTATAAAATATCAGGAATCTAAATATTATTACTATTGATATCAATATCATTATAGTCATTGATAAAAATTCACATGCCAGGCCTCATAAATAATTGTGTGTGTAAGAGTGTGAGCACACGTGCGTACATTGTGTGTCTGTGTGTGAGTGTGTGCATGTCAGTGTGTCTGTCAGTGTGTATCCATGTGCCCACATCCGTGCAAGCACATGTTGCTTAATTGTGTACAACTATCATCTACAGTCTCTATTTGGGGGAAGGTTGTTTGATTGTATGTTTCTGTGGACGATTAGCTACTGTGCAGGGAAAAAATCCAGCATCTTTTGAAATTGTCTTTGCCATAATCATAAGAGTTTCTTCACGTAATCTCAGTGAAAATATTGCTTTCTAAAAAAAGGGAAGAAAAAAGGCATGGAGGGCAGAGTGAACAGGGTTATTGGTTGTGAACCGACAAACAGAGGTTCAAAATTTTGCTTCTTCCTTGCCGTTAGTTTTCTGATCCAGAGTCGTCTTCGTCTGCAGAGCCCTTGAAGCAAGCTGACTCATAGTGCTTGTTCAGGTAGGACTTGAGAGCGAAGGTCTTATTGCAGCGCTTGCATCTGTAGTGCTTGAAGGCAGAGTGTGTTTGCATGTGGGCGCGGAGGTTTGAACGGTCAGCAAAGGCTTTGCCACAGTGCGCGCAGGCAAAGGGCTTCTCCCCCGTGTGCGAGCGCATGTGACCTTGGAGGAGCCACGGCCGGCTGAAGGCCTTGCTGCACACGTCGCACTTGTGCTTGAGGTCGTGGGTGAGGATGTGCATGGCCAGCGCAGGCATGGACACGTACACTTTGTTACAGGTGGGACACTTGCGGGCCATCTTGCTGTCCAGGCTGCGGTGCGTCTGCTTGTGTCTGCTGAGGTTGGAGGAGGTGGCGTACGTCTTGCCGCACTCGTTGCAGGTGTGGCGAGGCGTGCCAGCTACCCCTCTCTCCTGAGCCCCGGCGTTGGCACTGCTGCTTCTGGAGCCCCCTCCTCTGCTCTCGCTGTCACCCTTCCGTCTTGAGCGCCCGTCAGAGATGAAGAAGGCATCCATGGTGTAACCCTCGGCCAGGGCCTCCGATTCACCACTGTAGAAGCCGCTGGCCGTCATGCCAGACTGTGGGCTGTCCGGGTGCTTCAGGTCGGGGTCGCAGTACTCCCCTCCGCTGCTCACCTGGGTGTAGAGGGGGTCCGATACCGGCGAGGCCAACTTGTGCTCCATCTTCTTCTCCTCCTGGTATACAGATGGCGTGATGTAATCCTGGATGTAGCCTGGGTAAGAGACACACGCAAACACAGTTGGCCAGGGGTTGTGATGGATAAGGACACAGTGACATGCTGCTGATTACATGATTATCATGCTGGATGATTGCCCTGCGTAGAAACGGTGAAAGAGTGAGTGGCAGCACAGAGCTAATTGCTTTTTTTCCAGAACTCACAGGTTGTTCACACAATAGTGAAGTGATGCAGGAAGGCACATTGTGCTCGGCTACATTCAGGGGGATTGCAAATCTACATGAAGATTAACGTCAGATAATAGCTCATTAGGAATATCTCCTGTGTGAGTAGGTGCATATTAAAGCCCCTACTAAATAAATGAGTCTTATTTATGAGACCTCCCGTTTCTCATGTCAGTCCTCCGTGGATGAAGCCTAATAATCTTCATCCGAATCATGTTTCATCTCTGAATTGTGGCCAATATTTACACTTTTATTTTGGCAGGTACTTTTTCAGAAACACTTTCCAAAACATCTTGCATACCTGATTTGTAAATGATTTTTCATTGCAAACAGATACCTTTTCTGGACCAGATAAACTTGTTACATTGCTGCTTACATCCTGCAGGAATCCATCCCTCTTCCCCAAGCATAATGCCACAAAACACAAAGTAGCAGAGCTCATTTAAATGCAGCCCAACTGTACAGAGCATGATTTCAGACAGATATATTTATTTCTGTTGGCATCACTCATGTCTTTTCTTTCCCTCCAAAGCAGCCCGGTGCCAGAGGAGCTAAAAGGCTTCCTGGCAGCTAACAGCACTCAATACATTTCTGTGCTGTGAATATCAGGAGCTTAATAAATACTAAATGGATTCCACCTTAAGTGTTGACATTCTATAGGTTCAACATGTGTGTGTAAGGATAAAACCCAGTGAAACTCCTTTCTTGGGAGAAATAGTGCATAAGTGCAGAAAAAAAGCCATTCCTAAGCACTGTGTGCAGCAAGCAGTGGAAATTAGTTATTGACTGCTTTTTAATGAAATTCAAAGTTTAGAAGTGATCAATAGGCTATCATATGTAAAATAGTGCAGCTGTTGGGACGGAGGAGCTGCAGAGAATTGTGTGAGGAACAGATCAAGTATCTATATCTGCGGCACACAATAACAGTTTATGGAGTACAGTGTGCTTGAGGCTTGATAATGTCAGGCATGGCCTCACACACATTGTTTGTGAAGAGGGTCACCTGTGTGCAGCAGGGAGCACGTTGAAGAGCCTCCAAGAAACAGGCCATTAAGAAATCAGTTGAAGTGCTCTCTTACTACAGCGTCCCTGTTCCCAAGGGGTTCTGTTCACACACACACGCACGCACACACACTCTGTCAAAGACATGGCCATGACACCCAGGGACAGGGAAGCAGCAGGTCTGTGCACACAGTATTCTGCTGCACCATGATTGGGTTTTGTTAAGAGATATCAACCCTTTCGTTGTTTAACAAAGAAGATAAAGAAAGAAAAAAATCTCCTTTTTTCCAACAGAAATAAAAACCTCTTCAACAATCGTGCAAATGCAGCAGCTTCAATATCTATTCCCTGCTAAATCCACCTGTTAAAAAGTGACACTATTGAGTAAAAACAGCTGAAGGGCCTCTTTATTAAACACAACAATGTGGCCTTTAATTTAACTGGGATCCTTTTTTCAACATAACAAACTGTACGTGTGTAAGCAGCATTGTTTACTCTGTTTCTATTACCCAAGGTCAGACACGGAGCTCATCATTTAGGACCTGCGCTGTCTCAGCCTTTACAGCTCATAGACTCATTCCTCTAATGCAAAGTAAGCATGTAATTAATGGACCCTCTCAGCCACCCCTCTTTGTTGTTCGACAGACACTCAAGTCAAATGTCTCCACAATAGGGGGAAAGAAAATCTGCTGGCGCGGCAGAAGTGCTGATGGTTAGGCATTTCAGCCGCGCTGAGAAATCCTTGATTTTTTTTTTCCTTTTGACTCAGCATGAAAATAATCTTTTGTTCAAATGAACAGCCTTTTCCTTCCACCAATGAAATGTTTATTCTCTTTTTCTCTCCCTTAAATAACACTCATTTTTCATAGTGTTGAACAATAGAACGAAGAACAATAGAGAGTGACGGTAATTATAAAAATGGATTTGTTTTTACTGATAATGTAAAAATCGTGCAGTATGAAATGTTAACAGCTTTTATCCCAAGCTGAAAATACGCCTGGTTAGGCTTATTAAAAATGCATTTATTTCTGTATCTCTGTCATAATTCTTCATCTTTATCCAGTTAGTTGTTTAAATTTAGCAGCAGTGACAGTTTAGCACACAGTCCTGATATTCCTCTTAATTCCACTAATCCCGCTCTGTCTAAAATTCGCTTGGCCTTGTTATAGACACGGTTGAATAACAGGTGGGCAGCATCATCACAGCACTAAGCTGTAGTCTGTGAAGCCTCTCTGCTGTGGAAATAACCCCACAAATCACAACAAAGACACACATATGGTCCCTAAACGTGGCCACAAAATGGAAGCGACAGGCTTAAAGCAGAGCGTGAAAGTGAAGGTCGCCTCTCGGCTCAGACTGGAGCTTCCTGTGGCCGGCCCGCCGTGTGCTGACCACAGTGCAGCTATGTGCCTTTCTTCATGTTTACTGTACAACCTCCATCACGTGATCTGCCTCATTGCTGCCTCAAGCATTTTTGTCTCCTTTTTCTCCTTCCCTTTGCTCCCCACCTCCCTCCCGGCCATACTGTACAGTGTGTTGATGTCTCTTGTGGCGACGATAGGCCTGTACGGCTGAAACTCTAACCCCTGCTAGTTTTCGAATGCCCGGAAGGAAGAGAAAGATGTAGTGGAGCGATGGGGGTGGGGAGACTGTGCATGCTCCATTTGGATGGGAAGAGGGGGGCAAGGGAGGATCGGACCGTGATGGGAACTCAAGGACAATAACAGCTAAGGACAAATGTATCATCTGATACTCATCTCTCATATTCATGAATTTTTTAGTCCACATGATGGCCAGATAAAGTCAGCATTTGTCTGTTCAGCCAATACAGGATTGGTACAGTCATACAAATACGTAACCGGAGCTTCTCCTGATTATACACACGTTTTGTTCCCTATTTACATAAGCTAATCCGCGACTGTGACCTGAATTGTGTCTGTCCTTCACTGGAGTCAAAAAACAAAAGTCTGGGAGCGGGGTGATGGGGGTGGGGTGCCAGTGGAGAGGATTATTGAGGATATTAATGCAAAAATCAGCTGGCAGCGTGTAACGTCTCACACTAATTTACACACTATGAGCATGTTATTGGCTGAAGCTGAGGAAAATCTCACCCGACACAAAAACAAAAGAGGATGCCATCTGTGCTAAGTGTGGAAATGTCAGGCATGCTGAAATCAGCAGTGGAGCTGTCTACAGGTAGGAGCGCTTACACATCTTTAACCAGGCAGACTGGAGGCATGTTAACTCACCATTCTCACTGAGACGGACCCCAAGGCTGGTCACCGAGTCTGTGATGGAGCGTGCAAAAGTGAACGAGTCGTCCAGGTGGTGGTGATGATTGGAGGTGGCCACATTGGACGAAGAGAAATCATCAAGCTTGATCTTCTTCACCAAAAATGAGCGGGGCATGGTTCAATGGATAAAAACACGGAGCTGAGAAAAACGCATGAGCGAAAATAAAAGAGACCCTCTGAGGAAGCAGGCGCGCTGAGCTGGCTTGACGGTAATCCTTGCGGTTAATGTGAAGACAACGGCCAAAAACATAAGATAAGAAAGAAAATGGAAACCGGTGGAGAACAAGGCTGACGGCAATGCTGTGTGATACTCTCTGGCTCCCCCAGCTTCCCCCGGAAAAATAAAAAAATAAAAAATAAAAGCGATCCTGTTCAGCACTGGATAGCTCCTGTGATGCAGCAGGCTTAAGGGACCAGTGAGGAAGAGAAGAGATGGAGACAGACAGAGAGAGGAGGGAGAGAGAGACTGTCAGACTAGCTGAGATCAGCAATCACGCCAGCCTTTATATGGGGCACAGGCAGTGGAAGATCAGGTGGTGCTGCGAAATGGAGCTGCTTAGCTTTAATCCATCAAATGTCCCCAGGGACACACATCAAATTACTACTGAACCGTCTGTGCATTCGCACACAGACAGAGGAGAAAGAACACAGCCAGACCCCCACTGCCCCCACTGCTTCTCCCCCTTCTCCTCCCCTCCCCTTCCCCTCTTTCACCCCGCTTATGCTCCATGCTCGGAGGAGGAGTAAAAGAGGAGGGCAGACAATGGAGATGTGGATGAGAGCACACTCAGTGTCCTGTCCCCCATTGTTTTCAGATGAAGTGGCACAGTTTATGTTTGCCTTGTACAGGCGCTGCCTCCCTCATGTCATCTCTGTTACCTCAGACAGCCTCAGATCTCTGGGCTCCTTCGACACACTGCACTGTACTCACATGCTGAGGGCAGCCGTACAGTAGAAGAGAGGTTATCTGAGCGTCTGGGAGAGCTGGACCCTTTTATTAAAGCTGCTCTGGATTCCAGCAGTGTTGACGAGTGAGCTACGGGGAAGCACCAGAGCTGCTCCGCTCGCCTCCTCTCTCTCCCTCCCCATTACGGCTGCACAGATGTGTGTCCTGCCATGCGTGGCAGTGAATTATCTGATTAATTAATTACATTTTTTTTGATTAGGGTGAAATCTAGAATTAGATCCGTGCTCGCTAAATTGGCTGGCTATGTCCGGGGTGGTTTATTTGTGAGGACTTATTGGCTCATATTATTGATGTTATACATTTTATTTTTTTCATTTGAGGAACACGTTTGTTGTTTTCTTGTAAGAATAAATTAAAGACGGTTATTTAGATGGGATGATTATATGTATGTCCTGGTTGTTTCCGAATGCACTGATAAATATTCTCAGCTGAGACAGAAATGATGCACCTGTTTGATTCACCATCAACAGGAAACTGTTGTTACATCACATGTTTGATGAATTTTCAAACACAACATTCAACACGTAAATAATACAACCAAGGAGGAGGGCATCATGAGGCTTCCATATTTTTTCTACAGTTTCATTGCTATTTTTTCTCTGTTTTCTTCTTCTATTGCCTTTATTATAAAAGATTATTTCTTTATCATGTCTGAAAAGCGTGTCTTGAAATGTGTGTATCTCTATTACTAGGCTCTATAAACCGAAAGTTATTTGAATCTTCATGACAGTAAAATACTGATACCATAAGCTCTTCATTTACTCCCATGATCATGTTTAATTGATTTAAATGCGACATAATAATTTAAAAAACATTTAATAAGTTTTATCATTATTGTTAGTTCAATTGTTTTAATTATAAAAACAAGATCTGGTCATCAAAAGTGTAGAGAGGTCATCTTTTTGTCAGGATTACTCTATATTCAGGCTAGTATGGATTTATTCTCATCAACAAATCAACAAACACAATATTTGTTTGTACTTGTTTTATTCGTCAGAACAAATTTCTGATGAGCGAATTAAGTGTGCTGTAAGAGGAGTGAAATGTGGACATTCACAGAAATGTAAAACCTTTTTTTTAACATTATCAAAATGCAAACATACATTTAAAGCAAAATTGTTTAATGTTTAAAAAATTTAACCACCACTTGTAGATTCCACCAGGAAAAAAAAAAATCAAATCAAAAGTCATGCAGCTTCTACTTAGTCTCTTGCCTCTAACCTAATTAAAGATATTTTGCATCGCCGTGTTGATCCAAACATTGTGGTTGATTGTGGCTTAGCTGCTGCAGATTTATCTCAAGGATTAGGGGTGCCCCCTTGCTTGCTGGCTCCCTCTAAATCAGCCCTGACACTGACGGTGACCCTGCAGCCCGGACTGTGTTAAATCAGGAAGGTCAGGATTTACCACGTGTGTGTTTGATTGTACATTAAAGCACAGGTTCACATTGCTGTCAACAGGCTGAGCTTATAGAGCAGAGGCAAGGACAGGAAAGGTCAGTGGAGACTTCATTGTCTAAAATAAAAAGATCCTCTCAGGGTTTTTTTTTCTCGGGTAGGAAAAAAGCAATCTCACATGAACCCTCTTTTTTTAGCTTTTTTATTCGATTATTTTTTTTGCACAACATCACAAAAATACTTCCATCCAGCCACGGACACATCCTCTTGTTTCAGAGATCATCATTTGTTCATGAGAAAAGAAAATCGTCTCTGTTGAATTATTCCTCAGATTTGAGTCTGTGGAGCAAAGAAGTTAAATTAACAATGAACCTCCTTGACTCATATTGAACTTTTCAGCAGCTTTTCAAACCTGGTGATTCTTGAAAAAAAAAACCAACTACTGTACCTCCAGCAGAAAATGTCACTGTCCTTTTTTCTGTAGGACACAGCAAAATGCAACGGTTCAATTTTTAAAGCATCAACAGAGTACAAACCTGTCAGGAGCTTTCACTTTTTCATCTTTCCAGCTGAAATTTGTTTAGTCCACAAAAAACTAAAACCTTATAAATAATTAAATCGGACAGCTTCCCATGGCCCAAAGTAACATCTAAGGTTTCAAAACCAATCCAATATGGCAAAAGATGAGACTAATCCACTATGTTTTAATGCCTTTTGTACAAAACTTTTGAATATTTTCGTAATTTCATTTGGAAATAAAGTCTTTCAAATTAGTGTGAAGTATTTCTTTAAAGCTCCTGTGAGGAACTGTGTTTATTTAACGTGGTTACCCTATTAAACATTATATGCAAATTAGTGGTGACATCATCCCATTGTAAGCAAGTTTTACTGATAGAGAGTGCAACAGGTTGGCCACAGGTCAGCGGGGTGACGTGAGAAAACAAAAGAGCAACCTGCTGTGATTGAAACATCTCTCAGGTTACTTGTTTCCTGCAGCAGGCTACTTTTAGACAATTGTTTCCTCCTCCTCCTCCTCCTCTTCCTCCTCCTCATGCCGGAGCTCCGGTCCACTTATGGCCCCCAGACTCCCTCTGACATGTGGTCACTGCCTCAGGACGTTACCATAGCGACAGACCCCCTCGGGCAAGAGGAGGAATGGTTTTCTACTTGGCTACGGTGCTGGAGCGGGGGCTCTGCTCTGGTCAGATGGGAGGGGAGGGGGGGCCTTCATTAACATCCTGTATGGCCCTCCAGGGTTATGGAGATGACCTGAGCGGCTGAATGAATGAAGTCAATCTAGTTGATTTGTTCCTCCACAGTGTTCCACTGGAGACCCTGCCCACAATTACCTCTTCTACGGAAACATTTATTATCTCTACTTACAGACACGTGAAGTCTGTTTAATCATTTCATTCCAGGCTGATTCAGACACCTGACATGAAAAAAGAGAGAAAATATGATTTCCGCTCGGATTGTGATGCATTAAAGCTGAAACTTAAGCATCTCACACTTGGCACTGCTTATATAACGTCACTCTGAGCTTGTTGGGGTAGGTGAAGAGAAGCTAAGAGTCCATTAAGCACAGCCATCTATAATTCACCTCTCTTCTGCTTACTGGGTCACTTCAATGGGGCTTTTTTCAGTCGCTACAGCAAGAGACTGTTTTCTCTTTGGAAGCATAGGCACCGCTGATGATTAGAAAGTTTAAAATAGGATATGAGACCACATTGAATGCAACAAGTTTTTGTTTTAAAGAAGAATCTGATTTATTCTTTCTGTTGAGACATTTTCAGCCAGCTACCACGAGTGCATTTGACAGAAAACCCCTTTAGAAACCTTTTAACACAGACACTCATCAGACATGGCTCAGCGAATAAGGTCATGTTACTAATATTTAACATTTACTGTGGATCCTAGTCCGACATGCAGCCTGACTGGACCTTAACTGCCTCCCCAGCCCTACTGTATCTAATGCTGTTTGGCAGATAGTTCAGTGTATCACTCATGCCCTATTTGGCTTGTGTCTGCCTGTTGTCCTGCATGCATCTCGGAGCGTGTGTGCATTTGTTGTCCATGGGCAACTGTTCAGTAAATAGGGCAATTAAGTGTGAAAAGCAGAAAGGAGCTAGCATGTTCGTATCTCTTTGGTGGGGGGAGATAATTTATGCTAATAACATCTCTACCGCTCAAGCTGCCCAAAAATGATAGCAGACCCCTTTGGCTTCAGAAGAATCTTTTCATCCTCTTGGAAGGAAAAAAAAAGTGGTTTCTCAACACCTTGCAAATAAGACAGCTGTGTGGCAGTGAATGAATCTCTCTCTCTCCCTCTCTCTCTCTCCCTCTGCCTTTCATCTGCAGATGATAATCTTTCCTCCTTCACTGTCTTGTATGGAGCATGTTTGTTCTTCATTTAGCCTGTGGAATACTTGAAACCTAGTTTCCCCTCCATCCTCCCTCTCTGCTCCTTCTCATAGCCTCACACCCTGCACACAATCTATCATCATTTTTCCTTCAAGAGCCGTCAGAGGAAGTCGCAGCATGTGTGAATGTATTACTGTAAATAGTATCCCATGCATGAGTGATGCTTCTTAATAACACTTAAACTCGAGCTCAGTATGCTGTTCATGTGGCATAAATTCCTCTATCACACTGAGGGGCACACAGGCGTTGGGTGGCTGTGGAGAGCAGTGGCCGTGATGGCAGTTCAATAAATAACCCCAGTGAAAGTGGGAGCAATAAACCATATGAAATCTCTACCAGCTCCCCACTATCATCATGCTCAGCAAGGAGCTCTCGTGTCAGCAGCTAAGAACAAATGTATCAGTTTCCAAGGCTAACATAATTTCTTTTGTGCACCAGTGAAACAGAGGGCCTCATCAAAATGCAGGTTACAGTTTGAAATTTGCTCTTAAAGGAATAGTTCACCATTTTAGGAATCAGTCTGTGCAGACATTAGATGAACAAAGCTGTTTTAATGTCTGTACAATAATTATAAAACTACTCCGAGATGTCACTTTACTTAGTTTTTAGCACAAAGACTTGAAACAGTTTGCAAACAAAACATCTGAATTCACAGTATGAGACTGTAGCTACACCTTGCTGATAATCACTTTGACTTTGAACCCATACTATCTCATTTTTGTGCCATGTCGGAGCAGCACAAACACAGAGTAAAGAAAACATGATGCATTAAGAATAGAAATGGCTGCATATTTTCAGCTGCAGTTTCTGTTCAATTTGTTTTTTGCTTTTGGCCACCTGATGAACATAAGCCGAGTGTTGATTCTGTCTTTTAGTTCTAATTTTGGGCTTCATCTGTAAAGACTAGTATGTGTCCCCTAGGAAATAAATCTTCCAATCTGTTCTTCAGTTTGTTGCTTGCAAGGTATTGGACAGTATTTTTTTGCCTTTTTAGCAAGTTAAAAAAGAGCAATAAGAGTTAATCAGCAGTAAAGTGAAGGACCAGGCAGCAAATCAGTGAGATGAAACTCACTATTTAGCATCTTTAAGTTGAGAGAAAACACAGAACTCTGTCTTGTTTCAGAACTTTTAGTACCGACATAGATCACTTTTTTCTACTCTTTTGTCAGTTAATCAGTTTTACCTTCTATAAACAAGTTGCTTATGTTATTTTGAAGCCAAGGATGACAGCTTGTTTTCTTATTTGGTTCAATGATAACATTGCTGTAACATTGGACAAAACCATTTAAGGTTTTTTTTTTAATTTTCCCCCCTTAAATAAGGATACACATTAAGATTCTCATTTAATTTGAAGGGTACTTTTGTTCTGACTTTTTTCGCTGCAGTAGAAGATTTCACCTTTTATGGGTCTGGTGACACCCAAATGTTATGCTTCATTTCAAAAGGAAGCTGCAATAATTAAATTCACAACCAAAGATGTTCTGGAGCGTTTCAGTGTGTTCCAAGTAATGTCTTTTCATTTTCTAATGCTGTAATTAAACCTTAACTATAATAGTCATCATCACACCTTGCTCTGATTTATAGAGAAATAATTGTTCAGATAATCTTAGTCTAAATTAATTGGGTTAATTAATCACCAGTGTGTCCTCGCCCTCCCTCCTTCCAATAAAGGCATCTTAGGTCTTTTCACATTATGTTCTATCACCAAGGTCAGAGCAGTGGGTAATAGACTGTCGTTTCCAATTTGTACCTCCATGCAAAGGAAGAGCAAATGCATTAGTGAGATGGTATCAGTGTGTTTAAAATTAGACAACAAATGGGCAGATTTGCATGCATGCAGCATGCATGGAGCAGCCCAGCAGAGATTACTCAGTGTTATGAGCAGCAGCAGAGGCAGCAAGTCTGCAAAACAATTACACACAGGTTACTAATTTCCTTTCTTGAGGATTCACTTCACCTGTTTGCAGCCAAAGGGACAAACAAAGAGAGCCGTGTCTGACAGCGCAGGTCTGTGTGGCTTTATTGAAAAAAAAATTAAAGAAATCTGCAACCAAATAAATTTTCCAGCAGGCAACATTGAAACAGGCATTTTCCTCTTATGTGTTTTTCCTACCAGTGCATGTCACAGAGAGAGGTGAGATCAATTTCCACAGGATTAGGCTGCCTGGGGAAAATGATTGCTTTTTCTAATACTTAGTAACAATTTTTCAATTTCCTGTGGTCTTTGTTACTCTCAACATTTTTGCAAATGAGCAAAACAGAGGCGAGCAGCGTTGCTGCTCTGCGAACTTCACCTTGGGACCAAGCATCATTTGCATATATATTGAGAGCATACGTTTTTGGTTTATAATAGTCACCATTCTGAGGTGGGGGCGGGGAACTGGGGCGGCTGGCAGGCATTCTGTCACCTGTTATGAGGCCCTTGTCCATGAACATCCCTAGGAGACGAAAGCAGGCGATAATTACGGTGCTGGGACTAAACTGGTGTTACTCTCTGCCTTCACACATTGTTTTAAATCTGAAGAGGAAAAGTAAAACAAAGACTGCTTCGGGGCACCAAGCTCCCAGAGATTTTTTTTTAAGGGAGGCTACAAAATTCAGAGAAAATGAAATTAATCTAACGGCACAGCACTGATCCTGTGGTGATTACTGTGTGAGCCTGACACTAATAAATCCACACGTTCCACTCTTTGCACCCTCACAGTGTGCAGCAGCTAACTACATTCATGCAGAATCAGAGGAGATGCACTGCAGATGGTCACATGACAAATGGCTTTATTGCCCCGTTATGGAGATTTGAATCATAATTGAGTGTCTCTACAGTGATGTGTGCACTTGGTATGACTCACAGTGAGTCCTTTGCCAGGGGACAGATGAGCTCTGTTGCTTCTACTTCAATCTGCTGCCTCGTATTTAGATTTCACCTCAAATCTTTTCTAAATCAGCGGCGGTATTTTTGTTCTACTTGAATATTTGTGCAAGATTTATCTCTGAATAAAGAAGGGTTTACCCGGAGACTAGTATTTAAAGACAGAACGGCAAATAAAGCTCAAAAGAAACCAAATTTGATGGTTAAATTTGTAAGATATCGTTTCTATTAGTAAAGTTGAATAAAAAGCAACACGAGCGTGGACGTCTGCACACTGATGCATGAGGGCCACGCATCACTGCTTTTGTGTGTGTTGAGCGCTTTTCAAAGGGCATGCTTTTGTGCAGGCACAGATGATGCAGCTGGCAGAAGCATGACTATTGCTGGAAGCGCGTCCACATTGGCACACTTACAGAAAGCCCTGGCTCCTGGGTCACACTTTATATAGGCTACATAAAGGCAGCCTGTCCGTCTGCTGTCTGGCCCTGCGATAACGGCTGTGATGCGCCGTCTTTCAAGTCGAGGGACAAATGAAATCCTTCTGTTTCCTTAGATTCAAAGT